CGATTGGTACAATACCCTCGCAGATCTATACCAGAGGAAGCTCTGGCACCAGCTCACCCAAAAGCTCGAACAATTCGTTGCTCTAGCTGTGTTTCAGGCTAGTCTCCTCCATTCTTCTTCAATCGCAATCTTATATGTATAATTTACATTTATATTTTTTCTTGTATAACCTTGTGAAAAAATGAATGAATTGCCGAATTATTGGATCTATGTTATTGCTTTGGCGACTGATGTGTTTGGATTTTGGAAATTTTAGGACTTTTTTGTGTTTGATTTGATCCATGTGGGCTGTATTTCGTTGGGACTAGGTTTTGGAGATATAGTGAGGGTTTTGGGGGAAAGTTACGCTCTTTTTTGTTTAGAATATTTCTAGGAATTAAAAAGTGGACCAGGTTGGGTTTTGGTTTCAGAGAGAAGTGAGTAAAGGTAGAGGAAACATAAAGTTTGATACTTGGGTTTCTGAGGGTTTTGTTTTGGAGATGGGAAGCCGTAATTGAACTGAAACTTTAGGGAAAACTTGTGGCTTAAGTGGGGAAAAAAGTGAAATTGATGGCTTCATGGGAAAAAAACTAGTTAATATTCAAAAAAGTCTTGTGAGCAAACACAGAGAGAATGACAATAGAATAAACATTAGCGAAATACATGTCTTAGGATGTTAATATATTTACTCTTTCCAGTAAGTCTTGTGAGGAAACACAGAGAGAACAACAGTAGAATAAACATTAGGGAAATACCCGTCTTAGGATGTTATTATATTTCCTATTGAATTAATATTATGCATCTATATCTATATGTCCATTGCAATATTGTAAAAAATTAGGCAAAGTTCTTCAATTTATTGGTTTTCGCTCGGTGAAGCCCAAGTTGACCATTTTGACCCCCTTTACATGCACGAATACTGGGTGCAGCCTAGACAAGAAATGAGGTGAATTATTGGGTGAATTGATAGTTAGCAATTAGAGGCATCCTTTTTTCCCGAGATCAAGTAGTTAAACAATTTGCTATGAGGACTAGAATTTCAAAGGTTTTGCACAAATTTGTGAGATATTTTGCGATGTTAGTATTGAAAGGTGTTTAAACATGAGGATGACTTTTGTTGGAGTGCATTCACTATTGCTTTCTACTCTATATGTTGTGCAAAGTTTGAAGGAAATGTTTAATCTCTTGCTCATTACCTTAGGAACTCTTATGAATTTCTTGGGTGAGTGAATTCTGAATAGGTTTCCTCATATAGGAATCGGCAACATTAGGTGGTTTTGGAAATGGGCGGAAAATATGGGCATTTCTTTGTATTTGGGGATGTTTGGTTATACAACTTGCAAAATTCTAATTTGGGCTTAGATTAACTAGTTGCGGGTTATCTATCTTCAAGTGGTCAATTTTTTTTGATGAAAGAAAAACATTTTTTTTCTTGATAAGAAACGACAATTTTATTAATAATTAAAAGAAAGTGTTACAAAACTAATCATAGGTGGACAAGTTATCCAACAAAAAATTGGATACCATCCAAGTTCAAGGAAAAAAACAAAAGCACAATACATAAAGGCAAAAAAGTCAAATACAACCCGTAAGAAGTTGTCCAACTTGCATTAATGCTAAAAAAGGAATATTCTCAAACTATTTAGTTGTCGATGCCCATAATGAAGTCAAGAAGTGTAACTGGTCCCATAAACATTCAACTTCTTCTTTCTTATCTTCAAAAATTCTTGCATTCCTCTCCGTCTATATTACCCAAATGAGGGCAAAAAAAACACAATGCCAAATGGTCTTATCTCTTGAACTTCCTCCTAGACCCCTAAAATCCACACTAAACATTGATGTCATTGATCTCAGAACCATCCACGAAGTGCCAACAATCTTGAACAATTTATTCCATAATGAAAGTGTCAAGGAGCAGTGCAAGAATGAATGATCTATAGTCTCACCATCACCTTTACACATAACGCACCACTGCAGTGAAATACAATGCAAATGTCTTCTTCCTTGAAGCACATTATTGGTATTGGTATTAATCTTACTATGAACAATTATCCATGTACAAATTTGCATATTTAAGGACATTTTGGCCCTCGTAATCTTCTAAGATGGATAAAATACTGGAAGCGAAGAATCATCGATTAAAGACTCAAAATAAGATTTACAAGAGTGAGACCCGAAGAGTCCCTAATCCAAACTCTTCTATACATAGGATTTAGAGACAATAAAACATCATTAAGCATGTAGAGAAGTCCTAAAAATTCCGAATACTCTCTATTATTGAGGTTCCTACGAAATCCAAAATTTCAATTAATCGAAAAAGAAAAAAAATGAAACTAGAATCAATGTATCTACCATGAAAACAAGAAAAATGATAAAGACAAGTAAATAAACTTAAAAAAAAAGAAGATTCTCCCCTCCAAACACCCTTTGAGAGAAGTTAGTTAACCCCCGAGAAATGATATTTGATGAACTTCGAAAGGTACCCCTTTCAATCCTATTGGTATCCTACCCATTAGCTTGTAATCCGTTGTTGCTTATAATCACTTGCCACAGTGAATCTTGCCCCAAAGGAAACCTTCAAAGCTATTTCCTTACTAAAACGACATTCATTTTGAACAAGTTTTCTCTTGATAAACCACCATTGGCCTCAAGCCCGCCTAGACACTACCTCCCATCTGATCAAATGATCTTTTTTTCCTTCTCAACATCCCTTCCATAGAAAATCCTTCATCATCCCTTAAATCTCCCTTACCAAGCAAGACATTTTAAAGAGAGAAAATATATGGGGATATTGGCCAACACTGACTGCACTAACATTAAGCTCCCCCCCTTCCTTTAGAAATAAATGATTTTTTCCACTCATCTAACCGCTTCCTTACTTTCTAAATTATAGCGTCCCAAAAATGTGTTAGACATCGGATTTCCATATAAGACATGTTGGAACATCTGTTACATTAACACATGTTACCTTGCTAGCTTCGTAAAGTAAAAGGCTTTGCTCACATGATAGATCCTGTTACTGTTAATTTACAACTGCATCTTACTTTGTCGGTGACACCGAAGTCTGAATGTCTGCAATCTGGCAAGTCTTCAATAATATATACCCACTAGTCAAACCTTGACACAAAAGAATAAGAAAGCCTTTATGATGTAGATCGTAGTAAGAAAGATTTAGGGATGAGAAGAGAAGAAGAATGAGATGAGAAAAGAAAAAGAAGGGGATGAGAAAAGAAGAAAAAGGGGATGAGAATAGAGAGAGAATTTTAGGAAGAAGATTCAATATCAATAATCAAAGTCTACTAAACAAATAACATATCTCCTATATATATATATATATATATATATAGGGAGACCACAAATCCTAAAAGAACTCTAAAAGAAATAAATAGTCATAATGACAACTAAACTCCTGAAAAGTAAAATGATAAATGACAAATAACTTCTAATCCCTATGCTTACGCCTACTATAATAAAATATAATTCGATTTTTATCATTTTCTCCCGGTTGAAAAGAACTCGCCTCTGGAGAGATACGATCATGATAATGCTCTAGAAGATCAGGGTCAAACCAACGAAACTCCTCCTCAGTAATCCATGAATCATTAGTTTCTGGACGATCTCTCTATCGAATAAGATAACGACGATATCCTCCATCCGAGGAGCCCACAATCTGATCATCAAGTACATCTACAATATGGTCATGCAGCTGTGGTGGAAACGGTGGAAGAATAGGAACTGTAGTTGATGGTCCACACGTAGGAACACCTGTTGGCAACATAGGAGGCTCAAAAGTACCATGATAAGGAAACAAGTCCTCCACATTAAAAATAGGACTTCTTCCTTAGGAAACAAGTCCTCCACATTGAAAATGATAGGAATCGGATTATATTTCGTTATAGTAGGCGTAGGGATTAGGAGTTATTTGTCATTTTGCTTTTCAAGGGTTTAATTGTCATTATGACTATTTATTTCTTTTAGGATTTGTGGTCTCCCTATATATATATATATATATAGGAGATATATTATTTGTTTTGGTAGACTTTGATTATTGATTATTAATTACTAATATTAAATTTTCTTCCTAAAATTCTCTCTCTATTCTCATCCCCTTCGTCTTCTTTAGCGTGCCTGTAACTGAAGCCGTAAGCACTAAGCTAGTGACAGCACAGATGAAGATGCAAATGATGAAATCGATCACCAAACGATTACGGATCGATGACGAAGAAGTAATTGGCAGTGATGAAGAAGCGGATCTGGATCAACAAATAGCGATGAAGTCTGATTTTTTTTTTTTGCACAGACCTTTGATTTTTATTTCCTTACTTGGACAACCGATAAACAGTAGCTGTGAACAGTATCGATGAACAGTTTTTTATTTGGACAATCGATGAATAGTATCGAATGAACAGTGTGCGATGAATAGTACCGAGAATAGAAAGAGAATTTTAGGAAGAAGATTCAATATCAATAATCAAAGTCTACCAAAACAAATAACATATCTCCTATATATATATATATATATAGGGAGACCACAAATCCTAAAAGAAATAAATAGTCATAATAACAACTAAACCCCTGAAAAGCAAAATGACAAATAACTCCTAATCCCTACACCTACGCCTACTATAACAAAATATAATCCGATTTCTATCACTTTATCTAGCTAAGATCATAACAAAAAGGTGATGGCTATATTTATCTATCAATTGAATGGCCAGCCTTGGTGGAATTTATGACTTGTGTGATTGCTTTTTGTATTGTGGGGTGGATCAAATATTGAAGCCCTTTGTTGTCTGCTTCCTCTGTTAGTCAGCCTAGAAAAATTTGTGGATGTATCATTGACTGAATGTCATTACTCGCACCCAACCCAAAAAGGTTGGCCCAAGAAAGAATTTTTTTTGCTCTCAACATGCCTTCATATTCTTAAAGACAGCCTAAAGGCAGATTCTCTGATAACATTCCATGCTCTGGCATATACGGTAGGGAGTGAAGTTGCTATTATGAATGGCAGGTAAGAGATTATGAATGTCTTTTCTTCATTGCTTTGTGCAATCTCTTCATATGGTGTTTTCAGTTTTATGTAGCTGCTTATGCATATGTTGACTGGGAAAGCACATTATGAAGAAATTTAATTGCTATTATATTTGCTATTTATTCACATGTAACGCCTTGTTCTTTTCATTTTTCTTTTCTTTCTTTCATTTTTTCAACTTCAGGCTGGTGATGCTCTCATACAGTTATATCATAATTTCATCACTGACTTTGAGACTAAGATCAATCTTCTCAAGCTTGCACATTTTGCTGTCATAGTCTCTAGGCAGTATTCGGAGAAAGAAGCTGCCATTAGTTATCTTGAAGGGGTGATTGAAAAGCTTCGTGCTACAAAGGAGACGCGCATTGAGGAGCCAATCCTCTATACTAAGATGCAGATAGCTATATTAAAGCTTGAGCAAGGGGACCAAAAAGAGTGCAAGAAACTTTTAGAAGATGGGAAGAGTGCACTTGACAGCATGACTGACATTGATCCATCTGTATATGCTAGTTATTATTGGGCTTCATCGCAATACCAAAAATCTCGTCAGGAATTTGCTGAATTCTACAAAAGTGCTCTTCTTTATCTTGCATACACATCTGTAGAATCTTTATCAGATTCGTTTAAGCTGGTAGGCAGTTATCTCTTAAATACTCACTAGGTTGGTTTTGACATTTCACTGTTTGCGAAAGGTTGAATCTGTAGTTAGTAATGGTTAATAACACACCAAGTGAAACCTCTTTCAACATTTATTTACATAATGCATTTTCATATTTTAATTGTTGTTTTATCATGTTCAAAATTTTCTGGTACAAAAAGCCTTTTTTGGTTGTTCTAAGATTTTGTTTGAATCCCAAAGCAGTTATCAAACTTTGGTTGGATAATGAGGGGGTAATGTTTTGAGTGGAAACAAAATAATTCGAGGATCTCCTTGGACAAGAATAGAGACATCAATAAGAGAAAGCCAAAGTTGAGAGAGAAATGCAAGTGGCCCAACAATGATATCACAAGAATAGCAAATATGAATGTATAATTTCATTCTAGGTCTCTATAATGGTGGTGGTGGTGGTATCACTAAATGTTAATAAATCAACTTCAATCTCAACCACTCTTGGAAAGCGCAGACGTAAGGACAATTCACCATGCAAAGCATGCCTTACCCTTGGGTTTTGATTGCATTTCAGGGCATTTTCTGGATGTCGTATTAGAAGAATCATTGATGATGTTATTTTTTCCCCACTATAAGCTTAGAAATGAAGCTTTGAAGCTCATATAGAAGAAAAAATTCTTGCATATCTTAACAACTTCAACTTCCTGATCAAGCCTTTTGGATCAGTTTAGGGAATTTTTGCTGATGTGCTAGTGTATTGGCCTGTAAATGGCAGTAATGAGGAAAGTAGCCCATAAGTTGGGCAAGATGGGATTACATTCATTTTTATTGCGCCAACATGAAATAGTATTTTGGCTGTTAATAAGTGGGAAGGATTATTCTTTTGTTAGAAGAATAATAGTTGGAAACCTACCAGCCTTCGGTCCTTGGAATTTCTCCTCTTTTGTAGATTTGATGTATTTTGTGTTGATCATGAAAGTACTCTAGACGCCAAGGGAAATGGTAAGGTATCTGTGTACAATAAGCCGATGCTTTGGATGTTTAAAGAATGAAGGAAGCATGGTAATGTGCACAGATATTGAATTTAACAGGGTCATCATGTCTGCCCTCTCTGATGCCTTTCCAGCCCTGATTAGGGGGCCTGGATTCGACCCACATCTTTATTTTCTCTATCGTTTTCTATTTACTCCGACAGAAAATAATAGTTGGAAACGTCTTTTGTAGTTAGAAGCACAAATGTGTAAGTGTGCATCAATGGTTCTCATCAGGATAGTGTGGATCCTTATAAATCGTCACTAGTTCAATTCTTTTAGTATTTCTCTTGGTAGAATGTATCCATGAATCAATAAGATTTCCATTGTTATAAGTGTTCTTCTAACTTCTCAATAATTCTTAACATTATCTCAGGATCTGGCATTTGATTTATCCCTGTCGGCGTTGCTGGGAGAAAATATCTACAACTTTGGAGAACTGCTCGCACATCCAATTGTAGGTTAATGTCTGTAAAAAATTGTCAATTTTGTTCATTTTCCTTTATTTAAACTTGTATTACTTTGAAGAGTGTCATGAGGGTTCATTTATAACACTTATGGTGAACTTATTTTGTGTAGATATTATATTACATCATCTTAGATGACAGTTTTTCTTTTTTTGGCAAGGTTGGTGGTGTAGTCTTTGTTAGACTCCTACCTACCTTTGTGAACTGTTTTGATATTAAACTATTTTCCAAGGGTAAGTTGTATGCCTCAGCATTAAAATTTAAGTCACGCACTTATTGTATCAATAATTTTTTTTTAGGAACTTCCTTTATGGATGCATTTGGTATTCCATCTGTTGGACAAGTTTTTAGAATAATGAAATAATGACTGTTATTATTGAGAAAGTAGAATAATGTACTCAATCAACTGTGAAATGTTATTTTTAACTGCACTTGGTTGAAGGGTGGTTTGCATAAAGGGGAACAAAATGACGTGGAATAATAGAAACAAGCAAGCAGTAGTATTGAGCAAAGGTCACTGACAACGCTCCCTCCTTCCCTCTCTCTCTCTCTCTCTCATGTGTATACAGAAAAACTAAAACACACATCATTTGTTTGGATCTGGCATTTTGTCATAAATGATGTGAGCATTATCCTTCTTTTTAAAACTCAATTCCACTCAACGAAACGTCTACTCAACTAGTAGATTGGCTACGTGAGTTCTTTTGCGCCATTCAACTCTAACAAGGGTTATCACCTATTTTAAACCATGAAAAATACTATTAGTGTTTGTGAATATGCATAATTTTTTGGCTTATCTTCAATACCGATTTTTGTTTTGGCTTTTTCTATTATAAGGATTACTTAATGTATTTCCTTCTCTTCGTGCTTGTGGACCAAGTGGTTATAACTCATGCATGGGCATGATTTTGACTTGTAGGCCATCGTAACAAGACATATTTTTATAATTTTCCTAGTACTATGATTTTCTGCTTGTCTTATGTCAAAGGCACTTAAGCAGATGTTTTGTGAAGGACAATCAGATGTTAGTGCTAAATGACGTTTCTAGTAGTGGCAGTGAGGGTGAAATCTGTGATTTTGGGGGACACACATGAATGATAGTCTAGCCACATGTTGACATTGACACGTGTATTGGAAATTTGGAATTTGCATGTCAATATGTAACAGATGAACTGATGATTTGGAAAATATGGAGAGCAGCAGCTGACAAAAAACTATTAAAGGAGGAGGATGCGGATGAGGAGACAAAGATCTCTTTGTTTTCTTGAATGACCCTTTTTCTCTTTTTGCCGTATTCATGTGCAAACTCTTCATTGCAAATAATGCTGAAGTTAAGGATTGTACCCAATCTTTCCCTCCCAGACTTATTAATGGGGACTACAATGGGTGTTATTATGCTTCTGTTATAGGGCATTTGTTTCAACTCTATCCTTGAACTAGGAAATAACAATTCTAATCAGGTTATTTAAGGTGTTAAAACCAATTAGGGATAAATCCAAGAAACTTACAGGATTGCTTGTTTGTGTGCTCTGAAAACTAGTCCTGCTCTTGCACCATTGAGGAAAAACATGATTGAGATTAAAGTTGCTTTTAGGATGATAGGAAGACTGAAGGGACGCAGATTGAGGTTGTCTGAAATTACATATAAAAAGATGGAATTGGTTTGGATTTATAGAATTGCCCAATTGGATACCTGGAGCTGATGTGACATATTTGGAAGGGCTTGGTTGAGTTTGATATTTGGACTCTTAACACTACTGTAGGAATGCTGTAGTGTAGGTTGCAAGTTTTGAAAGGACAATTATGCAGTGAACGGTTTGTCGTAGTTGAAAACGATTCAATGTGTGTAATCAATTGGAAGCCTTCATTCTAGATGGTGTGGAAAATGTGCAGCTGAGTCATATGATAATGTTAGAATGCTTTTAAATTGTCCTGTAATGGTAGTAATTGTTTTACGGGTCATGTGGTCCATTGAACTTTTTTGTTTCCTCCTTTTTTCTCTTGTGCTTCTTTTGGCAGCAGTGCAAATGCTTTAGTTTTAGGTAAATGTTTGACCATAATTTACACAATGTTTTTGCTCAAATTGCTGGGATTCTTTGTGTAATGGTTTTTTGTAGACAGGTTGGCATGAAATCCAGTGCTGATGTTGTTGGTTTTAAGAATTTCATACTAACTTCTGTTTTGTTTTGAGCTTCTGGGAGTCTTGACATTCGTTAACTTCTACAGATTAAGAGTCTTCTTGGGACAAAGGTTGAGTGGCTTTACTATATTCTCGAAGCATTCAACTCTGGTGACTTAGTTCGCTATCAAGAATTATGCCACGTCCATAGAGCTGCTCTGAGTGCTCAACCAGCGTTAATGCAGAATGAGAAAAAACTTCTGGAAAAGATTAACATTCTCTGCTTGATGGAAATCATCTTTAGGTATCTCAGCAGAGTCCTTGTGCTTCCACTAATGCAGTTTGAATCATTTATTAGCATTTAATCAGTTGAGAGGTGCTTTTCGCAGTCGACCATCAGAGGATAGAACTATTCCATTAGGCATCATTGCAGAGTGCACAAAACTTACTGTAGAAGATGTGGAGTATCTCCTCATGAAGAGCCTCTCTGTAAGTGCATCTCTTCTTGAAAATTGAATGATAAGTAACAAGTTTTGTCCCATGTGAAACTCTCTCATTTTCTGAGGTAATGAAGTGAGAGTGCAAATATGCCAAACTATTTAGTTATATCCTCTCCATTCTGCATTTATTAAGTCCACTTGTCTAATTGTGGAACTTGCCGTGAATAAGAGATTACCTAACTGCTGTTCAATTGTTGACTACATTGCATTTGATGGAAGATATAATTGAACTTTTCTGAAAGTGATTAAGTTGTGGACTGAGCAATAGTAATATAAATTTTGCTCGAGAGAAGCAACTGTGATCTTTTCCTGGTTGGTCAGAATATGTAGTTGTTCATGTTAAATATAAACAGCAATATGATCAAAACTTCAAAAATTAAATAGACAAGTTTTACCAAATTGAATGATTTATATGGTTCAAGATCGTGGTATTGGCCATCGACTCAGAAGGATTGAGATACCTCGGCTACGGCATTGCAAAACTCTGTCGTGGGTACGCATGAAATGCTAGATAGAATAAGTTGGGCATGTGAGAGATTAAGGCCATATCGTGGCGTCGCTCCCATGACTCAGATGACTGAGTCACCTGAGATGTCTCCAAGTCAATTACAAGTTGAGTGAGACTCGTAGCTTGCATCAAATGTGTATCGGTCTCGGCACGGAAGGTGTCGAGTCGGATATGACTCAGTCTGAGTTGTATTGGTATTAGACTATTAGTGTTTTTTTTGATCAGGGACTATTAGTTGATACTTTGAACTATGATGTTTCGTTCTCTACCAGCTCCCAGCTTATTCATTTTTATGATTTGGGAAAAACCTTAGTGATAACTGAAATTCTTGTGAAAGAGTCACACAATCGCAAGAAATCTTGTATTTACTTGTTGCTCCGTGTCTCATAAATGTTGCCTTGGATTGTTGGGTTACAAATGGAGAAATTGTAATTTTTCTTGAAAAGGTCAATGGAAAGATGTATCATACATATTACCACAGTGGTCTGGCATCATATCACAGGACGTTTTTCATTTGGGCAAAGAGCATACATAAATTCTTTGAATGCTTTACTATATTTTGACATGGACGCTTGGTGTATTGTTGGCTTCTTCCATATCATCTTTTTCTCTCTTTTTCTTCACCTTTTAATTTCTAACTCCTTTTCTTTGCAACACTTCATTAGAAGGAATAGAAAATACCAGTCTATAAACTTGTATCCTAATTGATCACATTGTATTGGAACAAATTAGAACTTTCTTTTGTTGATAATTGGATTTGTTCTCTTACCGTAGTTTCTTGCATCTCATGCTTTGCCTCATGAACATTATATTTATGTCTTTTACTCTTTCTAGTTCCATGAAAGCTTATCTATTTAATGCGATTGTCTTGCTGTAGGTACATCTCATCGAGGGTACAATTGATCAAGTGGAGGGAACGGTTCATGTTTCCTGGGTGCAACCAAGAGTTTTGGGGATTCCCCAGATCAAATCATTGTGTGATCGCCTGGACAATTGGACGGAGAAAGTACACACTGCTTTGTTATCGGTCGAGGCAGAAACACCTGATTTAGTTGCATCATAATCTTTGTTTGTTGACTACTGTTATGTTCTCCGTCAGAATCTCTTCATGCCCAGAAGGGCTGGCAACTGCAGCTCCAACTTTATATGCTTCCTTTCAAATTACCGACTCATATCGCATTATTTTTTTCCCGGGAAGGAGCTGTCTCTTGCTGTACTTTCTCACTTTCTGAGTTGTCTGACTTATAGTTGCCTGCTTAGGGACAAGCTGAGGCGATTTAAAAGGCGGCTGTTTTTACTCTTAGTATGTTCACTGGACCATGTACTGGAAAATTTGGTCACAATCAGATACGATCCACTGTTTGTGGATGAAGTGCATTTTCATTTCAGTATTCTTAGATTATAACTACGTAATTTTATTTCTGAATGATGTTATGTTGTTTTGGTTGCGTTCCTACGTCGTCCAGCATGAAATGAATGGAGCGCGTAAAACACTGCATGGTGAAATCCTTTGGAGGTATCGCCCTTTTATTGTTCTGTATGATGTGCGTGAAAAAAGTAAAATGTGCTTGATAGTAGAGTTGATAATTGAACTAAGTTATTCGGGCTTGACTTGAGTTTGATTTGTTTAGACTCGATTGTCTTTTAAACGAACTGAACTTGAACATTTTTTTAAGTTTGTTTAGAAAATTAGCTCGATAGGTTTGACTTGAAATTTGACAGATTTGACTTGTTTATATGTAAAATATTTGGGTTCAGATTGGATTTAACTTGTTTAGGCTCGATTTATTTTTTCAAATGAGTTGAAAGTGAATTATTTTTAAACTCACTTAAAAGAACGAGCTTGGCAGGCTGGATTCGAGTTCATTTAAACTTATTCGATTATCAACCCCATATGATAGTACGATGACAGAAATTTATCCATGTTTTGAAAGGTAGCAAGTCTCAAAATAGTATATTACTTGTTTGCTTCGGGACAATCAACGATTGTTCATTTGTGCAGTGTTCTATGCTACTTGTGTAAGTGATTTGCAATGCCATTGGACCTTTTAATCCTCAAAAATACTTGTATCAATTAAGTTTAAGAACTGTTTTTTTTTATCAATTGATTCATTCTATTTACCTATGTTAGAGTGTGTCATTCACTTGATTATATGACACAAAAAGACAAAAGAATTTAATTGACACAATTAGAAAGTTTAGGAACTCAATTGACACAAAAAAAATTAAGGGTTTAATTGACACAAGAGTCCTAGTTTAAGGATTATATGTATAATTTATTTCAACTATTTTGTGTCGCGTGAGTGATATACTTCGTCACTTTCTGTTAGATTTGTCACTTTCCGTTAAAAATTCTAACGGAGAAAGATAAAATGGCTCAATTGACGGAAAAAAAAAAAAGATTTAGGAACTCAATTAATATAAGGGTTATAATTTAAGGACTATATATGTAATTTAATATAAAAAGTTTCAATTTTATAAATAGGTTAATCTCAACTTGTACCTTAAAAAATCATTGGAATTTTAATTTATACTCTCAAAGTTTAAAAATATCAATTTACAGCTTGAAAGACATAAATTTGCATCAAAGTTAACTGTCATCTATTTTGCCGTCAAAAAAATTTGAAATAATTATAAATTGTACCTTCAAAGTTTAAATATTTCATATTTATGATTAAAAAAGAATTCTATCCATTAATTTTCGTTAAATATCTCTTAATTGTTTCATGTCATGTTATTTTATGTCATGTCATATCATTTTCGTGTTGTGTTTGAGTCGATAAAATTTTTTTAAGCACAAAATATTTTCGTTTCGAGTCAATTGTGTTGTGTAGTATATTTCACATTTATCATAATTTATATAATACTATTTAATATTTTTTTAAATTATAAAATACCTATTTTTTTATCTACAATATTCATTAAATAATTATTTTTTATCTACAATTGTGTTATTTATATTTAGCTTTAATTTGATTGAATAGTCAAAAGATTTGTATCTAAGTATATATAGAAAATATCCATTTAATAAGTATCGTAAGCAAAAAATAGATATTTTATAATTTTTTTAAAATTTTAAAATTATTTTTTTATTGAATCGAACTTGACACGAAAATATTATAACACAATACAATTGAGAGTTATTTAATGAATATTAATAAAAAAAATAAATTTAAATCATAAATATGAAATATTTAAACTTTAAGGGCATAATTTATAATTAGTTTAAATTTTTTTAACGGCAAAATAGATGACTGTTAATCTCAACTACACGTTAATACAATTTTTTGTCTTTTATAATGTAAATTAATATTTTTAAACTTTAAAAATATAAATTAAGATTAAAATAATTTTTCTTGTGCAAGTTAAGATTACTCATAAATTTACTAGTTTTTGCTGTTAAAACGGCCCTTCTGACAAAACCTCAATACTCTGGCCCAGGATTCAGGTGGCTAACGAGACCCAGCAGATCTACATGGAGGAGAGACACACAGACCACCTCCGACCAACGTCTTCCTCCAAAAATCCTACGGATACCACCCTCCAATCGCCACCACCACGGGGGCGACCACAACCAAAGCGCTTCGTGAAGAACCAAATCCCAGACTCAATCCTCACGGACCCATCTCTCAACGCCGCCATCTCTCTCCTCCCCTCCAACTACAACTTCGAGATACACAAGTGCGTCTGGCGATTGCGCTCCACGAACGCCAAGCGCGTCGCCCTTCAGTTCCCGGAGGGTCTCCTCATGTACTCTTTTGTCATCTCCGATATACTTACCACTTTCGCCGGCGTCACCCACTGTTTCGTCCTCGGGGACGTCACGTACGGCGCTTGCTGCGTCGATGACCTCTCTGCCGCTGCTCTCTCTGCCGACCTTCTCATCCACTTTGGCCACAGCTGCCTCGTCCCCGTTGATTACACTTCAATACCGTGTTTGTACGTCTTTGTCGATATTAAAATCGACGTTGAAAATCTGTGTAATAACATAAAAAACGGTCTCGATCGCAAATCTAGAGTAGTTCTAGCTGGTACAATACAATTTGGGTCAGCAATTCGGGCGGCCAAGCCCGAATTGGAGAAATTAGGGTTTAGGGTTTTGGTTCCACAGTCCAAACCCTTATCCGCTGGGGAGGTTCTTGGTTGTACTGCCCCGAGCTTGCCTCTGAGCGGCATTGAAAATTCTGATGAGACTGTTCTTGTTTTCGTGGCGGATGGGAGGTTTCATTTGGAGGCGTTTATGATTGCGAATCCGAGGATTAAGGCATTTAGGTATGACCCTTATATTGGGAAGTTGTTTCTGGAGGAGTATGATCATGATGGTATGAAGGAGTCGAGGAGGAATGCGATTGTGAAGGCGAGGGTGGCGAAGAATTGGGGGATTATTGTGGGGACTTTGGGGAGACAAGGGAATCCAAGGATTTTGGATAGGTTGGAGAAGAAGATGAGGGAGAAGGGTTTGGATTGGACTATCTTGTTGATGTCGGAGATATCGCCTGCCAAGATTGGGTTGTTTGGGGATTCAGTGGATGCTTGGATTCAGATTGCGTGTCCGCGGTTGTCAATTGATTGGGGAGATGCGTTTGAGAAGCCACTTTTGAATCCGTTTGAGGCTGAGATTGCTCTTGGTGGCTTAACTGGGTGGTGGGAGAGAACTCCGATTATGAATTTGAATTTTGGTTGTAAAGATGGTTTGCAATGTGCCAAGAATGAAACTTGTTGCGCGTGTAACAACGGGGATGTGAAAGATAAGGGAGAGACTGTTGTGGATTATCCGATGGACTATTATGCTCAGGATGGAGGGGAATGGAATTCTTGTTACTCAAAGAAGGTGGCTCGTCCCCTACGGAGGAATGTTCAATCTTGTAATGGTACTGTAACCAGTGCCTAATTTTCACAGGAGGCCACATTTATATCCATATATACTTCCAGAGACTATATTTTATGAGCTTGGAGGCTATTCAAGTGATCACATGTTCCAAGTGAGTGTTTTTGCAACTCACAACTTTGAGATTGTTTTTGGTAATGTTATTGTCTGCAATCTAGCATTAGTTCCATTGGTTTCTTGTTTTCTCAATTTGACCGTAAGGGATATACAAAAGGCTTTATTTAATTTGTATTTTTGTCTTATGATTGAGTTGGAAATATAATTTGCATAGTTGCCTGAGGCCCTGAACTTCCATTTCTTCATTGGATGTAAGTTGAGTTTTGTTATTATGCTTCTTACAATTGCTTTTAGTTTTTCCAATATGCATATTCACTGACATTTTTGCAAATTTTCTGAAACTTTTTCACTGATATTTTTGTTGATGATTTTACAAAACAAATTTTGAACAAAGTTGTTCAATAGAAATTAACTATTATTTGCAATCTGTATTGTGCAAATTGCAAAAAGAGATCTGAGACTCTAGAGATGCCAATTGCGATATTGATTGATATTGGGGCAAAAATTAGATGGCTGGTATTGTGATTAGTATTACCTGAAAACCCTTGTATTGATGACCTCTTTCAAGCTATCGCATACATACAAGTACCCGTCGTGATCAAAGCAAACAATGTCTCCAGGGCAGCATTCCTGGTCGATGAATAACCAAGAGTGGGGGCTTTGTTTGGGTGAAATTTGACAGAGTTTTCACTAATCCTGACTTGGGCTGATGTTTTATCCTATGGTCAAAGTCTTACCACTCTCAACATTAGATCATTCTCCTATGTTTATCCAGATTGACGAAAGTGCGTCTTTTCATCTATCTTCATTCAAATGTCAGAACTTACCGTCTTACAAATTTCAGAACTTACCTTCTTACAAATTTCAGAGTATCCGTGGCCAACCATCTTTATCAATTGTAGACGTAGTTGCCTCCACGTTATTCAGGTTTCCTAAAACATAAAGTTGTGAGAATCTGTGTTCCATCAGGAAGGAAAAGATTCAAACAAGGAAACAAAAACACTGTTTGTGAGGACTATTCTGTGTGTACTGCGTGACATATTAACTACAAGCATAAAACTTCTTAATGCAACTAAACTAGTTTGACAATCTAAAATTCTTACCGCCTAATATTTTAAACACTTTTTAAAAGTAAGTTAAAATTTTAGGTAACAAGCTACCTATTTACTATTTAATAACGAAAATATTAGTCGGTGCGAATTTTTTTCAATTTCTCATAATTAACAAATATATTCTTAATGCATTTTACACTCTTAACTTTTTAATACCCACTATCCACCACCATTGTCGCCACCGCCGCCACCGACCACCGTTATTGTGTAATCGGTGCTACCATGGTAAGAATAAGGTAGTTACGATAAGATTGTTAAAAAAATGACAATTAGAATAATAATATTTTTTAGATTATATTTATCAAATAATTTGTTTCAATTCGATACTTAAATTTCCATAGATATTAAACGGTCAATAAATTAAAAAATTCAACATTCAACATTTAAAATTCAGTATTCAATTTTCAATTTTATCAAACACCACCTAATACCTAAATGAAATCAACATGAGGGAGAGCCAGAATGAACTCCTCTATTAGTAATATTACGTTGATCAAATTTTGGGACCAAATAAAGAGTCCAAATGATAATTTTAATACAGAAACTTTAGTAATACAGCTTATTCAATCTGAATTGCAGAAACGGCTGATGTGATTTCCTTTGTTCGTGGGTCATCGCCCTCTAAAGAAACCCCATGAGGATCTTCTCTCACCAGCAAGGCCAGAACATTGAGAGAACTCCATGCTTTGGTCGCATTGCTGCTTGAATCGGCCAAGGTGACAGCAAAAATTGCATCAAAGCCACCCGCACCAGGAACCCCAGCCAAAAGAACACCTTCCATATTCATAGTAACATCCAAGAGCTGTGTTTGTGACTCAGGTTCTATCTGCAAATTTGTGTATAGCAAGAGAGATAATCAAAGAGATTAAACAGGACAATGACACCTAGGACTCATGAGACTATAATGAAGTTTAAAATCCGTTGAGGCAATGTGCCTACAATACCAAACTCTTTTAAGTGCAGCACAATTTTTTCCATGTGAAAATATGGGCATAGACACAAAGTCTTAACAAAAATCAAGACTGTATGCTCAAAAATGGAAACAAAAATTATAAGAAAGGAGTGTATTGCTTTGGCAGACAATTTTTTGAAGAGCTAACCACCCAGAGATCAATTCTCTTTACCAAATTCATTACATACTCCAAGCTTTTTATGAAGTTATTTGTAGTATTGATATTTTAAAATGGTTATTTATAGAGTTTGGAAGTATAGGGTCATAAAAGTCATTACTCAGTTTGGTACACCATTAGTCACGGTGCGCCCCCCGCGCGGGGGGGGGGGGAGATGTAATTTGACCATAGTCCTATAATTTGGCATACTAATCCTCAAATTCAAAACCATGACCACACCATCGTAAGTTCGACTCTTTTACCATTGCACCAAGCAATTGCCCCTACTTTTGAAGTGTTTTTCCTTTGTTGTTTTTTGTTTTTGGTTCTTTTTGTTGGGGGGGGGGGGAGTGGGAACAAATTGTGCACCACCAAAACCTGCGCCGCTATACCTTTAAACCCTCGAAGTAAGGGAGGGGGGGGGGTGTACACACGAGAGAGAGAGGGGAAGAGATAAGATAGAGAGTGAGGAAAACCTTTAAACTGTTTTTACTTGGAAATTTTTTATAACTGGATTTTGTACTTGGATTATCCAACTTACAACAAATGAAACATGACAAAACTAAAAAGAGTCATGTGGTCAGAGATGGGGGAGGGAGTGGAAGACATGATTACATTGATTGCAAAGGTGTTTGGACATGATGAATATCGAGTTAATGTCCCTTAAAAAAATTAATGTCCAAAAATAATCTCTCTTGGGAAGCAGTTAAAGGACAACATTAGAAAAGTTACTTTGAACACCTTTAATAGGTATCTTTAGAAGAGATCCATGCAGGGGCTATGTATATAAAGTTTCCACATTGCAGCAGTTGATGACAGTGATCAAACAAATTGTAGAAAAGGAAATATCTATCATCACATGTATATGTGCATATAGATACAGAGAAAGAAAGAAAGAACAAGCTTCCAATCAAAGAGAAAGAACTTACTGGGATGCCTGCAGCCTCCCCCATTTGGCGCATGTAACGCCTGATTCCAAGCATGGCATCTCTTGCTCCTAACAATCCTTTGACAACTTCTGCTTTTCTCGGTTCATCAGTTTGCTCCCTCCACTGTTAATGTAATTTGGGTAAGATCATCTAAACCATAAACATGAAATTTGTCTACGGTACATGGGACATGGGAGAGAGAGAGAGAGAGAGAGAGAGCAGTTTTTTTGTGCCCATTGGACACTATTAACCGAGTTGAGAACTATCTAATTATGTAAAACTGTTGAAAACCCACTAAGAAATATCCTCGGCGAAATTTGATAAATCAATGAAAGATTCAACTTCAATAGTTGCACTAGATACCCTTAATCAAACCAGTCAAAAGTTTTCCTTTTGAAATCCAAGGGATGTAACAGGTTGTCTACATCTTTGTTCAATATTAGAGGATCACAATTTTGAAATGCTCTTAAAAGAAATGGTAGTCAAGGAAGAGTAAAGGGAGCAGGGTCAGTGATAAAGTCGGACAATATATTTGTTAGGCTCTTCATCACCTGTGTATATTAGCTACAATTAGCATCCCATGGAAAAATGAATCTCATTGAGCGTTAAACAGAACCGATCAGACAGTCCAAGAAATGTAGTGTGTCACAGATGCATCCATAAAAACATTTCAAGGTCACATTTCTTACTAATGCTACTAGTTTTTGTCTTGACAGAGCAAAAATCATTTCAAGCTCACGTGTCTTACTACCTCTATTAACTTTTGGACTTACACAGCATCAGTTTTATCTTTCACTTCCACTTGGCTAAAAGTCAAATAAATTTAAAAATTACCTTTTCTGACCTAAGCGTGCTGCAGCTATTAATGACAACCGTATATGCATCCCAATGCTCTTCTGCCAATTTACTTAACATATTGAATTGCATTTCAAGAGCTGAATTTGCTTCTGACAACTTTCTCCATGTGTCTAGAGACTTTTCAGGGTCAGATTTCTGCCACTTCTTGACAGCACCTACCATGGATGGTGTTGATGATCCTCCAGCACCTGGTTCTCCTAGTAACTGCAAAATCCATCACGACCCGTAAAAGTAACTCTTCAATGAAAAATAAAAATAAAAATAAAAATGATCAGTGGAAAAAAATGTATCTCTTTCATCAATAATATGCTTTCAAAGAGATAAATACCTATATTGGACTTTAAGAGTGCTGATCCTCCAACAATTTTTTTTTTGTTAATGTAGGTTCTTACCGTTTATTTCACAGGGGGATCCCTTAACCCTAATGCAGACCTTCACAACCCTACTTGAGGTTAATGGCAATTCAAAGAAAATTGCAATTCTATGGTAGACCAGACAAACTGTGCATTACCGCAAAACGCTCCACAGTAACCCTATATTACTGAGCAATGGTAGATTTTTTGAACACAATGGATTGGGAGCATCGATAATTCATCCAAGTAAATTAAAGGCCAGTAAATGTAACAAATGTATTAGACACCATTGATCCTCATAGAATTACAAAATACTTATTAATCTTATCCTTGCTTTATAGTTTAAAGACACAGAATCAAAATATTCATTAAGAAAATTATGTCCCCAAAAAGGGGAAAGAGTCAAACTCAAGACCAGGTTTTTGAATTTCTATTATGAATTAATACGGGAATGAATAATCTCCACTAAATGCCTGGGAAATAAGGAACGAGAAATGAAAGAACATGTGCTTATTGTGCTGTTGGTAAGGTCTCATCCAAAGATAGCTTTGGTTAACAAATTAGATAAGGGAGGGAAAGTGGCACGCAAGCACAATGGTATAGCCCATATACAATATAAAAAGAAAGTATTTATATACATAAACCTATTAACATGGCAAGGCACATAAATATCTTAATAGACTTACAAGACTCATCAATGGAGGCAATGAAAACTTAGCCCGTTCATGGTCCCACTTGCCTTTTAAGACATCAGCAATGACTTCTTCCAGTGGCATGCCTTTAGCTGCATCCTGTAGCCCCATTATAATAAATAGTAATCAAAACAAATCCTAGTGATAGTCTCTGAAAGAATTTACCAATATTTGCAAGTTTTGTCTCTGCAGGGGAAATTATTCTTCCATTTTTTCCACTTGCATTATATGAAAAAATGACACAAACAGGAATTCTATCAACGTCTTCATATAAGCTTTGTGTGAGATATTACTGATCAAATGATTATAGAGGTTTGCGGCCCACAATGAGGGAGAAAGAGAGAGAGAGAAGGGATGGGAAGGTGGTAGAAGGGAGAGAGACCTGAGCAGAAGAAAGAACTTCTGGAGAAAACCGAACATAACGTTGACTCCCATAAACTGCGGAACTGACATCGAAGCCGCTGCCAACTTTTCCCTGTGCAATACAGTGAGCAGTTTGAGCTATCACATGCACTACATCAAGATCCACAGTATCATCCTTTTCTTGGTGTTGATCTTTAGTCAAGGGGGAAAGGTTAACAACTCCGAGGTAATGAAGCAAAGCAGCAACCACTGCAGTTGTCATAGCTGCAGATGATCCCAATCCAGTTTTTGCAACTTCAGGCTTGCAATTCTTTCCACTTGCTTCTTCTGCATTGAAGGTAATTGAACTAAAAGATGGAAGGGCAGCCAAAGTTTCTGCTGTCAAAGGCAGTCCATGTGCTTCAATCTGCAAAGGAGGGGGGAAAAAGAACGTAAACTACATTGACATCTAAATTCAATCATCCGGTTGCAATGAGGATTCCAATGAAATACGATTTTAAGAAGCTTCAAAGCCATGATAATCGTAAATAGGAAGCAAAGATAGAGACACACATTGTTATGTATGTGATCATTCAAAAGGAAAATAGGAGATTTTGATTTGCCCTTTGTCCAAGCAAGTTGCACTCACTTGCGATTTTTCCCAGCAATGTAACAAGAATCCAGCCTATTTAAAATTTTAGCCATTCTAACATATGTGATACCATACTAAGTACCATGAAATTGCGCAATCCATGATTTATTTTCTGCACTGGTTGCAATCACATATTCCTTGCATTTTCTTCATGTTAGTATCTTTGCCACATAACACAAATGTGATGCAGAGCATGCTTTTGAAAAGAAAACATAACGAAACGTACAATACAGCCACAGCACCATAGGGTCAGATACAAACAAGACAAACTAGCATTCAATTCCTACAGAATACAGCCCTACAAGATGGCATATCAGATATGGTCTTATGTGAAAGCGAAATAAAGAGACTGAAATTAAAGTCTTTGTCATACAACAAAATAGTTTCAACATAGTATTGTAGAACTATCTACAGGACCAGTGGGAATGATAAATCACTAGTAATTTAGATCTAGGGCAAGATTCTGTTTAGGTTAATTCAACAACTAGGTCTGAGTCTAAAACTTGGGCATAGCATATTTAACTTCATCACCTCAAATGTCTTCCAATTATGTTAGCAATATTTAATCTGGAATCACACAAAATAAAAGAAATGTTCTGCACCATTGAAGTTGGCTATTGGGTAGTTGCCCTGGGCAGGGCCATCGTACTTTTAACTGTTTTCCGATGTGCAAGTCTGTGTTCATCTTTACATGTACAGATGTGATGTTATTTACCACAATACCAAAGGGGAAAAGCAATATTTCCTTCTGTGTATTTGGCTTTCACCTGTGTTGGACATTGTTTTGTACAAAATCAGGAACAGTAAATTAATAAAGAAGGTGTATGTTTCTGTTGAGATTACCCTACTAGAGCAAAAATTGGGTGCGGCGCATGTATGTTTCAAAGTTACATCTGGTTTAATGCAGAAATCAGCCACATATTTTTTGATTGATGGGAGTCATATGGGCTGCCCACAGGTTCAGATCCAAGTCTTCTGGCTAACAAATGGGTCCCTGAACTAGTGTTCCTATTTTGGAGTGAATTTGGGGATTTTGACCCATGGGCTGATTTGGGTTGGGTTTTGTTGTGCTCCTATCGGACTTTTTGGTTCTTATCAGACTTCATGTGTGTGTTTTGAGCTCTCTTTGTAAGTATGCTCCAGTGCCCTTTGAGTGTGTGCCTTTTTTTGGACGGAATTGAGGTTCATTGTAAGATCTCCTTTTTTCGGAATAAAAATTTAGTCTCCTACTCTCCTATCAATGGTAGAATGTTGTAGGACATTGTGTTCAAAGTTATGTGCTACAAAGATAAACTATGGTGCTGGTGAAGAAGAAAATAAGGAAAAAGATGCCACCAAAGATCAACCAAATGAATCAAAATTTATAAACAAACGATAGAAAAGGGGAAAAACCTGGTTACGGTATGAATAGAAGTCGTTGCAACCTAAGATCGTAATATCAAGACCTGCATGACTAATTAGTTGAAAATTAGACTTTCAAATTTCATTTCTCTTTATGAAGAAAGACAAACACATGAAACATCAAACATTACCTCGCAAAAGTAGTTTATGAAATGCATCCTTCTTATTCTGGTCAAATGTTGCATGTGCTGCTGCTATAGCATATTGCAATGCATATTCAACAAATGGGTTCCTTGATTCACTGGAATTTAAATAGTTGCGTTTACATTATATATGCACAGTTGCTCATACATGCATGATCAAAGTCATGCATTCATAGTGAAAGGCAAATAATTGTATGATGGTAACAAGGGTGGATGAATATATTTGATCATAATACTTGCCTTGAAGAGACAAACTGAAGTGTTAAATGTTTTAGTGACATTTTGTACATAGTTTCTCTTGACATCTGGGGAGAAGTCAATTTCACATCTGTCCATGCCTGAAATGTGATGTAGAAACAAACAAATTTACAAAAATTCAACAGTAAAATTTTAATGGAAAAAATAGTAATAAAGCATTATTCCTAGACTAAGTTATGATCGAAAATTTGTTCGGTAACTGAAAACAGTTTTGTCCCAATTGAGCAAGAAGCCAAAAAACACTAATCATAGAAATGAATGTACATAAGTAATAATGGTTTGACTACTAAAAACACCTTTTTTGTAGGTTGAATGAAACCACTTAGAGATCATATGATAGCCAATCTTAATAAACAGTTCAAATTATTGGGGAAATACTCATAAGCCTATATATATTTCACTCTGCACCTTTTATATTTAATTGTCAACCAAATGGGAGAAGAAAGTAAAATATTTTATATTTTGCACATTTACTGTGGTCAACTTTGGCTGGCTTCACCACTATCCACCAGCTTTGAAAAACAGATAGATGCATTTAACTGACAAGCGTGAAATGTAGATGAAACAAGTCTCTAAACGAAAGGATAATTTTTTCAGAAAAAAAAAAAAAAGAACAATCATAATTGTTCGACAAGTGGAGAAAAGAAAAGGCACCTAAAGCTTTGATCCAAGATTCTCAGACCTATCCCAATCCTAATTTCTTGATTCATTACAGTCATTGTGCCAACAAAAAATATCCAGGCATTTCAAGAACTTATATAAATATAATATAACATATCATAAATACAAGAAATGTCGGGTAAAAACAAGAAGCAAACTAAGTAATCAAGGACAGAGCAGAATAAAATTACAAAGAATCACGCACCCAAGCCCAGCTTTCGGGATTAACTTCTTCATAAAGTGGCTTCACAATTGCATAGAATCGAGCATTTGTACTCAGTACAATCCCAGCATTGGGCCTCTCCAGAACTAGGTAACCCCCAGTCATCAAAACCTTCCCAGGAGCAGAAGCAACTCTATTCAACCATCACAAAATCAAAATCAATACTGAAATTTCCTCTGTGAATTAGAGAAAAAAAAAAGAAAAAAGAATTTTGAGATATATTGATAAAAAAATCACAAACTTACACCGCCATTTTCCCACAACTTGCAGTCTGATCTTGGAAGGCTGAGATCAAAATCAATAAAAACAACAACGCTCTGTTTGGATGCTTGGAAAATGTAGAGCAAACAAAGAAATCTAATATCAGAACCGAATAAAACTGAAATGGAAGTTCACACGCTACTCTAGCTCAGTTAAGTCTTCTCCAAAATTGAATTACAATAAAGAGTCATAGCTTTGATTTCTATTGGTGTGCCCGATTTTCTCAGCTACGAAAAGGAAAAACTGTATCACTAGACTACTTGACCTTTGATGGTAATCAATGCAATTGAATCTTGATACATTAACTTCTAGAGAAGACTCACAAACATATATATAATTTTACGTGTATATATATAGAAAGAGAGAATGAAATCTAGCTTACCTGAACAGGAGAGAGAGAGAGAGAGAGAGTGTGCGACGGAGAAGAAGGTATTTGAATTGCCGGAGAGAGATATGGACAAACTCCTCCTTGGATTCGCAGGTTTGAACGAAGCGTTTCAGTGGTTTATTAAGGGAACGACAATGAGTTAGAATCGATGATAAAAAAAATATGATTTTTAAAGTAATTTATAATCGATTAATATTATCTATCACTTAATTAAAAATAATTATAACTTTTTATTTGTAAGGGTGTTTAGAGAGTTTGAAATTTTTTAAGTTACTCATTTTGTAAACGAGTAAACCTGACACGACACTATTAATAAACGAATCAATTATTAATAAAATTAATTAAAAAAAATACACGTCAAGACTCATTTATATATCAGTTATACATAGTTTATATATAACATATCTATATAAGAAGATAACTCACGAGTTGAATCTTATTTCTTGGACATTTTTTTTCCAAAAAATATCACATCACCTATTTCTATCACATACTCAATTGTTTTAATATTTAATTAATTTATAATTTAATATATTTTTTATTTCAAACATTATTCATACATGATAATATATATATTGAGAAATATTTATCGAATTATGTATTTTGAAAAAAAATTGTTGATATTTTTAAGTAAATAATGGATAAACATGGATTTTAAATGATATAATTAAAAAAGTGAAGGAAAAAATTTATTATTTAATATAGTGAGATACATTTTTTTGGACACTCGAATTTTATATTTCATCGTGTCTTCAAGCACAAGTTATGACTAATACACAATATGAAACAATTCATTAGACATGAATTAACGAACAAATTGAATATAAATAAAATATTTTTTGACACAAATCTATCTCATCCGACAAACTCGACATACCTAATAATTTACCTCCTAAATTTGGCACCATAAACTTATCCTTTTCTAGTCTTACTTTTTTGTTCACCGTAAAATTGTGACCGAGTCTTATATTTATGTTAGTACATAAAATTGTGACCAAGTCTTATATTTATGTTAGTACATTAAATCTTATTCCATGAAAACAATATCACAAAAATGTCAATCTTTGTAACATTTCTTTATTAACTTTTTAAATTATTAGTACATCGATGTTATTATTATCATCCAATTTTGAATCAAATTAAACAGTGATACTTGCTTATTGATATTCTACGATGAAAAATGAGATTGTCAATTTTCAGCACGACACGTTAATACGATACGAACCGAACATGAAATTAAATGAGTTAATAAGTTAAAAACGAATTGACACGCTTAAACAGAAAAAAAAAAAGAAAATTCATGTTGGGTTTATGTTAAAATAAGGTCAAACTGATTTTGGCATGATTAATCGTATATTTTAAACAGGTTAATATGATTCAGATACGAACTTGACCTAACCCGTTTAATTCATTTATGACAGTATAATTTGTCTATTATGTATGACTGGTGTGATCTTATCATTATTACTTATTAGTTCTTACTTTTATTATAATAATTGACAATATAGTTCTTAACATTATTATGATAGTAAACTAGTATAGTCCTTACTTTAAATGATTGAATGATGTATTTAATAGTAATAAACTGATGTGAAAATAGGTTATGTGTGTTAAACAAATATGTATTATGTGTGCTAACACAAGTTAAACATATTAAGTTATGTGTGTTAACTCAAAAACGACATGCTTATTAAACGTATTAAATAGTTCGGATTTGGATAATTTGTTTAATGACTAGATGAGGTTAGTGTTTATACATCTCAAAGTGATTATAAAATATATCAGATTTGAGTTTTAAAATTTTTAATATTAATTTGACATCAACCCCCGACACAAAATAATTTAATTCCACACACGTTTGACAAGAGTGGTAATAATTATACGTAGTTGATGTCTGTTTTAAGCATTGAATGCTAGGTGAAGAGTTAAGTCATAGTGTCTTTAATCCTACTATGACACCTGCAATTTTTAATTGGGTTAGGTTAGAGTAAATCGTAAATTTAGAAATGGATTTAGTAACTCTTGTACACTCCTCCTATGAAATTGTTGATTAACATCGTACTATTCAAGTGTGACAATTAACATTTTAATACTCATATACATATCTCTATTCCATTAAAAAAAATGTCTGAGCAGTGATGGGATAACAATAATCATCTTTTTTTTTAGCTCATCAATCAGAGGTGTCTAAATTAACTTACGGATATTTCAATTAATTTTTTTCCCGATTTAATCAAACCCACATTAAAATTAAGGTATTTATGAGAGGAATAAATTCCTAATAACCTAGGTTTAAGAGATTATTCAATTTCAAACTCAAAACGTTTAAATTTACGGTTCGTCCGCGTTACTATTTCAACTATAAATTAAGTAACAATCACCATCTTGTGATTGGGGCATGCAGTTCATGGTCAAAGGTCCTGCTTGGCAGGATTTAGTTGAAGTCTAAATTTGGACTTCTAGGTAGGTAGGTTGGTGGGCATTGGTTAAATTTGTTATGTCTCCATACTACTCTATCGAAATGAGTTTTTTTTTTTGTGGGGGAGGGTGGGGTTCTTCAAAATGATGTACAATCATCAAGTATCACCTAACTTCGAAAACAAAGTATAACAAAGGCTTTCATCCATTAGATTGTCATATTATTTTTTTTAAATTCATATCGTATTAAAATTTATTCGATCTATACCAAATTGATACCACATTGAGCTCATATCATGTATAATTATTTATAATTATATATAATCAGGTTCATGCTAATGTTAGGATTTCACACGATTTAAATTCACTAACAAACACACACAATCGAAGAACAAATCAAGAATATAAAGCAATAAGAAACAAGAAAGAACAAGACACAGATTTTACGTGGTTCGGCAATTTGCCTACGTCCACGAAGCTGCAGGGATTTCACTATTGAGAGAGTTGAATACAGAGAGCGACTGTACAATCCACGATTAACCCTAATCACCAAAACAACAGGGTTTATATGTCCTACGCACTGGACTGTATAACGGGCCAAAAAAAAATTTTCCTCGGGGGCGTTGCCCCCGAACCCCCACAAGGCTTGTCCATCGGCCCAAGTCTTCGCTCCATAGACTAAGCCTCAGAAAATTTTCCATTAAAAACCACACAACATTACTTCGGGTCGGGTCATCATCCGGATCACATATACAAACTAGACTCCATAAAAAAAACCAACAGCTAACACATTTATTAACAAGTTCAACCAATCAACTTGATTATAAAACCGAATACTTTAATCACAGTATATAATCCCCTTCAGCAATCTCTTTTTTTTTATTTATCAATCCCTTCAGCACTACATTTTAGACTTGTGACTTGTATAAAAATCTATCGTGTATGCAATCATTCAATATCATTTCACCTCCAGCGAAAAATGGCCATCATTATTCAACCATTGAAATTCAATACAGTTAAAAAACATACAAACTCGCTCAACAACATAACCTCAATGGGGAAAAAAAACCCGGAAGTCAATGAGAAAAAACAAATTACGATTGAAAAATAATAAAAACGTGTTTATAGATGTTTGCGTACGGATATCCTTTCATGTTCATTCATAAGATGGAGCCAGGCATTCGTCAAGCATGTCTACCAGGTTAGGATTTTCCAACGCTGCTGCCACTCGTTCTTTATCATTCAACTGTTTATTCACTGCAGCCAAAGAGCAGTATGACAGCAGTTACAAACAACAAAGATTTGACAAGAGCATACATGGTTTTGCTCCACATTCATGTTCAATCACGTATGAATAAAATCGTTAACTTGCATGGTAAATTATGATACTAAAATCCTAATCCCATCCTCCTTGTTTTTTAAAGACTTCATATGTTAGCACTTTTAGTTTTGTGATATAATAGCTTTGTCAACATCTGCCTGCTAGATTACCGAGACATCAAGTGAAAGCGGCTACTTTCGACAAGTAGAAACTCGAAGCATTTCCAAAGAAGTCAGTATTTACTGTTTTGAACACTGAGAAAGTTAAAACCTCGGTTGGTAACAAATTGTGTAACATCCAAAATCTGGTATCAAATACATAGCAAAAAAGGGATATCTTACTATTTTTATTTGTTTCCTTCCCTGATTGGCAAGGAACTTATGAAAAAGGATATGCCAGGAGTCTTAACCTACGTGCATGGTGCAACCTCTACCATTCATATCCAAAAAATTCAGTACTTAAAAAGGATATAAGACAGTTGACACAACACACACCCACTCAGAGAGACAGACCTGCAGCTTCAGTTGCATGAGTCCCAGGGGCTACCCTAATATCCACCTGGAAAAATGAAATAGGAGTTCACTAGAGTGAATAAGAAAGAAGTAGAAGAGAACAAAAAGAAAAAAAACTCACATGAATGCAGCAGAATAAAATAAGGCTAACTAGAACTTGGAATTTCCAATTAAAGGAGACATTATCTATCAGTGCATAGTTTTAAGAACTAATACATAGCCCAGAATATCTAAGGCATATCAATAATTAGGGTGGCATCTTTAGCTGAAGCCAAAATATTAAGCATAGGTAGCAGACCTAACTTTCCCACTTAGATTAACGAATTATTTATCAAAAGGTGTATCCAATTCTGTTATTAGAAATCAACATCAAAATTGGTCAGACCAGCAGATGTAAAACTCCACAATCATAGCGAGACCAAACTGGCTACTTAAAGCAGTTTCTAGTCTCAGTAAAGTTATAGCTAGCCAATATGCCCAAAATTTCTGTCTACTTATGTTGTCAATCTAAAAGCAATGCACAGAAGTCGCTATTCTAGTGTGATGAGTGGATCTAGTGGAAACATGAAAAGAAAAAATGGTTTTTTGGTAACTAGGAATCACAAGTGTTGCCTTTTACATCTATTACAACGAAGACCAAAACGTAAGTATGAGAAGTTTCTTGAGCTTTTTGCACTTTGCTGTGAAAAACTTTGAACTGAATGAATGCATTCTTTTAGTCACAAATTACACTAGTCATTGGATAAATTTAGTATTGAAAATGATTACCCAGTTTAATTAAGGGTGGTTCGTAAATTAACTGGCTGCTTTTTGAGAAGGCAATCATTTTCTTTAAATCTCCTAATTGTTTTAGGATCAATGGTATATTATTATTGAATCTCAAAAGTGAAAATGATTCACTGAAACACAAGGTAAATTCTTTTCAGAAACAAAGGGGTATTAGAAACCCTAAATTTCTACTCGGGAACTTGAGAACTTAAGCTCAATAGTACAGTAAACTAACTGAGACAAGCCATTAGCTCAATGATCTTGAGTTATTTCCTAGTATTTATAGATTATACAGATTCACTTTTTTCATTGTTTTTCATTTCTTTGTTTATTTTAACACATTCACACAGCCTCATACATATACATATACAAACACAACAAGTGAGAATATTTAATCCAACAAACAACTCATACCAATCAACTTTGAGCTAATGTCCCCTCAATCCTAAAAGGCATGCAATGGTGATTTTTAACAGCAAAAAGAGAGAGCATTGGATATTTCATCCTCTGCAGATGGTGTAGGCCTCACTTCATATGGCCAGTCAATCAGTCTCTAATCAAATCAGGTATATGGATGGCAAACATTAAATTTCCAACAACCCTGCAAGAAAGGGTTGATACAACTGTCCCCATTGTCAGCCAACAGAACTAGCTACTCCATTTATTTTTACACATTCAAGAACAACAACACTTTATTTCTAGAATTAAATTCATAGTCAGCTCCTGATGATCTCAATTTAGGCTGATCCCCGTAAGTACATAATACACAGATTATGTCATCCACCTGGTTGACCAGATAATAACAGACGCATACCTTATAACGGGAAGGCAGGCTGCGCATAAGTTTCACTCGCAAGCAGAGGCCAATCACTGTTGCCATACTGCAATGTTCAACTGTTGGAGTGAATGTTATCCTGAACCAGAAATATTTTTCGTTTAAACAGAGTGTTAGTCCAGTTCCAGTATAGCTGACATGCAAACACCGCAGAAGTATTTATTTTTACCTTACGTAGCTACTTTTGTCATCCACCTCAATTGCATCTTCTGTAATAACTTTCAGCTCCTCCAAAGAATATGGATGCTCTGGATCTTTTATGTCTCTAATATGATTTAAGAACGTCAAGAAAATTTGTTTTTCATAACTATTGGATTGCCTTTTATGTTGTGATTCAGAACTGAATAATTCCTACCTAGTTTATAATAGAGATAATGTTCTTCAAATTACAAAATAAACATATAAAAAATGAAATAATAACATATTATAGATATGCAGCAAGAGAGGGATTTGGTCTTTCACATGGAAATGCAATTGAAATACCTTATATCTCTTTATTCTCTAATTAACAGCATCGTCAAAATGAAGAAAGGGATGCAGTGGAAAATTGTCCATTCAACTCCTGAATACTAACATAAAACGGGACATTCTAAACCATCTGGACTTTGGAGCTTCCCACTTATTGCTTGTTTTACTTTGGATAGAAATACATGTGCGGTTTTCCTAGAAAGGACAATGTGCCACACAACTTTACAGATATGCATTCAAACCGCCGATACGCTTGTTAAATATAATATAACATAGTTACATATTTTGGCCTACAATCTATAAATCTATTTAAAGGATTTGCATAATTGACCCCAAATAGTGACAAACTGATCTACCCTAAGTTAATTTGTCCAGTAACCTAATTTTGGAAAATATTCAAATTATTCATGTTTGTATCTGTGTCTATCTGTCTCTGTATGCATATGCATAGGTTTGATTTGCACATACGAGAGAGAGGGGGGGAGGGAGGGAGGGAGGGAGGGAGAGATTTTGTATATTGTCTATGAAAATTACAACATCTCTGATGTGTTCACCATGAGTTCTTGAATTGTTCATTGGGGCATGCATAACACCAAGAAGTAATAGCACCATCTATTTCCCCTCATTTGAACCGATTTGAATTTTTTTTAGTAAAAGGTTTCATTGACGAACAATGAGATTTTAACAAATGTAAGCTTCCAGAAACAGAAAGAAACCAAATTATAAAAATTTTAACTGTATACTACAAAAAGGGAATAATATAAAAGAGAGGAGCACAAAATGTAAGCACGCTGAAAGGATATCAAAAATTTCTTGCTGGTCAATGGGTTCCACTGCATACTCGTCCACATCATCAGGTGGGTTACGAGCTCGGCGCTCCTTTTTCTCATATACAGTGGGATTAGCATTGATCAACTCCGAAACCATCGTCACAGCTCAAATTAGGATTATAAAGTCAGCCTCTTGCAGTTTGACAAATTAAAGAACATAAGCCATAGGTAAAAGTATGCTTGATATAGCTAAGAATAAACCGAATAGCATAGAAAGTGGTAAACTCAATAAAAATAACTTTCAAGACAAATAACTTTGTTTGGCAGTGTGTTTAAAAATAAAACCTTTTTTATGTCCAACCCAAATCTGAAGTTGCTTTTACTATTGGACATCTACTGTTAAGTCTTGCAATGGCAAATTTTTGTGACACGGATTTTGTTTTATGTTCAGTGCAACTACTCAACTGTTGTAGTTGAACATTCCACTTTTTTCATCCAGATATTTGGCAATTCTGCAAAACATAATTTAACATAGCACCCCAGTAATGAAAACCTCTGCATAAATCCCCACAGTCTGATAAAAAATAAAAACCCACAGATACAGAACCATCTGAATGAACAAATTGAGGGCTGGTATGGTGCGGATAAGTGTTAAATTTTGACCTCTTCATCCCTTTTAGGCATGCAATTAAAATAAATCCTAAATTCTTCAAACATAAGTAAGGATGAAACATTAAAATTTACATAACCCTCTTAACCAATCACATATAATCTCTCTCTCTCTTCAATACAAGAAAACTTGGCTTCAGACCACAAAATTCAACGGGAATTTCCAATAATATTCATGAATGAAGTTTCGCTTGAAACGGAGATAAAGTTGCAGACACGTGAATACATCTACATATACATATAAATTGATCTGTTTGATAAATATATAAACTTTTCCAAAAAAAAACATGACAAAGATTGTTTCCAGTTTTCTGGGTATTTTTTTCACAAAACGAAATAAAATAAAACGAAAGACAATAGAAGTATATAACTTAAAGATTTGAGCTTTTTTACCTATAACTCGAAGCAAAAAAGAACTCCCCTTGAACTTGACCTTCGGATAGAGAAGAGAGAGAACTTAACTGAAAATCTAAGAGTGGAGGAGATGTGTTTTGTATATGCAGATAAATAATATATGGAGAGAGAGAGAGAGAGAGCGAGAGAGAGAGAGAGAGGGACGAGGAGGAGGAGGAGGCGGTGGAGAAACCGACCCAGAGATGCAGAAGAGGAAAAGCGGGGAGAATTACGATTGGGTGTGTATTAAAAACGGTAAATTACATTAAGATCCCCTAAAGTTTATCACTAAATCACACAAATCACTTAATTATAAAAAAATAAAACTGAAGTTTGGTTTCCAATAATACACTGGACTAGGGCTGATAATTGAATAAGCTTGTTGTCGAGCTCATTTTTTCAAATTAGTTCGAACGAGTCAAACTTGAGTATTTACATATAAATATGTCGAGCTTATTTTTTAAATGAATCTAAAAAATTGTTTAAATTTGATGAGTCGAAACAAATTCAAAATAAGCCGAATCTGAATCAGCTTAGTTCGATCATCTACCTTACATAAGAATACCATAATCTCATAAAATTTAATTTGTGTAACACAAAAACTTCANGCCGAATCTGAATCAACTTAGTTCGATCATCTACCTTACATAAGAATACCATAATCTCATAAAATTTAATTTGTGTAACACAAAAATTTCTACCATCAATATCTATTTAAAAATTTGTTACTCCCAATACAATAGGAGAGAAAATTAGGGCTTATCACTAAATCACAAAAATCCACTCAATTATAAAAAATAAAACAGTAATCCCTTGAAGTTTGCTTTCCTATGACTCCTAGAAATACCATGTCCCTTAAAGTTTGGTTTCATAGAACATAGTGCTCTGCCGTCGATATCTATTTGAAAAGTTGTTACCATCCATAAAAATTCATAACAATACGAGAGGAAAATAGCACTGAAACCAAATGGGTCACAGCCCAAAGAAGTATTGTCAGTGGATAATTGCGTATGGGATTGTGTGAGGCAAAAAGATGTACTAAAAAAGGTAGAGTTGAATACATAAACATATGTTCTGACCAAAAAAATAAAAAAATACATAAACATATGTAATTAGATACTTATTTCTCTCCTTTCATTTTCCAATCTCTCTTGTAAGTTAAAGAAGTGAATTCCTATTTCGTTGTAGTTCCATGAGAACATCCTTTGTATCCATTCTTTCCTTTGGCATTTCATCAGAACATGAAACTCCAATCCGAAGGATTGACTCCAAGACTTCCTTGATCCTCTCCATGCTGCCTTGGCTAGCTTGCCTGTCATTATTTAACCCTTCTTCCTCTTCCAACAACATTTGTTGATCCACAATTTCAATCACTTGACGTGGAAGAGCCATCTTAACATAGCTGCGTAGGTTGAAATTGTCTGTGAACATGCTGCTGGTAGGCCTTTTCCCAGTAAACAGTTCAAGTAAAAGGATGTCGTAACTGTACACATCACCTTGTGCTGATACCTCTCCAACCATGCCATAATCTACAAATATACGCTATTCCGATTTAAGACATGAGCGGATAAATTTTGAAGAAGAATGAGAGCTATTGCTTGCTATTACTATTATTTTTTGTTATATTTGAAATTTATTGAATTCTCTGTTTTGTTTTTGTGTAATTTATTTGTCACTTCTGCAATGATGAATTATGAATAAATTCACATGTCAGACTTCAGAGATTTTTATAAAGAAAATCTATGAGAAGAAATTTCATGTGTTTCTAAGCAGCAGAATATCTCCTCCTTTTATGATGTCTATTTTTAGATATACACAAATCACATAAATTTGAATTTAGGCCTGAATCTGGGTTTTTACATTACTGTCGGCAACATGATTTTCATAAAAAAGTTAAATTAAGAGAATGCTTACGCAGAAGTCTATGGCACTAATTGTCAAGATTGTTTAAAGTGTTGTAGGTTAATGGTCTGATTGGTAGGATGGAAACAAAAAAACGAATAAATGATACAAAGTGATCCTTCATTTCTCTCTCTTTTGTGTTGGGTAAGAAGGAATAGAAAGTAGGAATGATTGAATTTTTTGTAGGGTGAGGTTATTTTTATCCCACAAAAATTAATTTTTATTCTATTTAATTTTTTATTATTAAATTATTGAGTTTATTCTTTTTATATACTCATTTCATTAACAACTAAGTCTATCATATATTATACTCATCTTATTAATAACTAAAAAAAATGGACAAATAAAAACAAAATGAGAAAAAAAAAAAAGAAACAAGTAAAACCGAAATAAGAAAAAGAAAAGAAAAAGAACAAGTAAAGACTGAATAAACAAAACCGCAAGCAAAACCAAGATATAAAATTGCATACATATATATAAAAAAAACATATAAAAGCTCTCAAATAATTAGGTCATGATGCCTAGAAATTCAAGAAAAATATAAGTGATCTACTCCATTAAAAGCAAATCAACGGGGAGGATCCAATCCCTTCTAAAAGAGTCCTAGATGCTACAACCTTAGATAAAAAAGGTCAGTGGTGAGAAGAGATGACGACACTACGAGGAGAGCATGAAGCAGTAGAGGTCTCAACATTTTATATGGGTTTGCTAGGTGTGGAGCTGAACAGCAGTTGGTTTCACTAGGTTGGGTCGTTGGGAGTGGCTGGGTTATTTTATGGAATTTCAGGGGCAGTACTCTTTTTTGAAAATATAGGTTAAAAAGTATCACATTTGAAAATATAAGTCAAAACGTATACAATATATAACAAATGTCTAAAATACACACTTCTATAGAAGGGGAACAGTTTCCTAAAGAGATGAATACACAGCCGAAATATCAGGGATATAAATTGTTACCCATTAACTCTATCAAAATTGCCGAAATGTGGGTTCTTCCAAGATTGATGAGAAAACTTCCCTAAAACCTCAATTCTTTTCAAAACATCCTGTTCAAAATGAGTTTTTTTTTTAATGGGTTCACTATGAATAAGTGACAAGCTCGGTATCATACTGTAATGACCACACCGACCTTTAATTGTTGAAGAAGAAGGCGTACATTGTGGTGAAGAAAGACTGGTGAGAACGTTCAAGAGTGTTGGAAAAGAACTTGACGACATTGGGGAAGGTAAAGCTGGAACGACGGTTGAGATCGTTAAAGTTTTTGGAAAAAAGTTGATAATTTAAGAACAATGTTGTTTCTCTCAATATTTTTATTTTATCTACTTTTTTTTCCCCTCAACTACCTTTCTTTTTCTGGTGTTTGGTACTTCATGCATACCAAGTGTTTGATTATGTGTCAAAAAAAAATAAAAAAATAAAAGAGGCCATATACAATTACATTCTCACAATAGACCTTACCCATCATCACCGCCTAAAAAACCTCTAACCCCACGTACACTATTTGATCAAAACCACAACCAACATCACCACCTCCTCACAACTCTAATTTCACCCACAAACACAATTCGCCATTTTTGTTTGTTTGTGATACTATGTAATCTTATTTACATTAAATTTAGTTATTCATGATGTGCATTGTGCCCTGTGTTATGTCAATGTATGCAATGTGACATTGGTTTGTAACAGTGTGACATAGGTTGGTATCAGTGTGACATTGATTTGTAATACTATGACATTGTTGTATACTATTGTGCCAATGCTACATCCACCATTGTTACTTATAAACACAATAAATAACATACATATAAATTTAAATTTAAAATACCTATGAAAAAAAAAACACTCATAACAACTAATGATATTATATAAGGTGAAAACATATATTCTTCATTACGATTTATTAAAAATAAATAAATAAATAAATTATACAAATGTGGGGTAGACATAAATGTTGGAATAAAAATGAATGTTTGAATAACTTCAGTTGAATGAAAAAGGAAGATATAATTTAAAATTAAAAAATGTTATTCTATAAATTTAGAAAACTGGATCTCTAATATAACTACAAGATTAGTCTCCCATTAATAAAGGAAAAGAACAATTTCGTAAGAGAAAAAATTAAAATTCAGCAAAAGTGTACTTCATCACCAAAAATTTATACACAAAGGTATAAATATGTGTTTTATATTGAGATACTTTTACACAAATAAGTATAAAATGGTGTACTTTTCACAATTTTTCCTTATTTATATGGGTTTGCTGGGTTTAGGGCTGGGGGTTTTGGGCTGGACAGAGTGATGGTTTCGCTGGATAGTGGGCTGGTTTTGTTGGGCAGTTGGGTTGGGCTGGGGTCGCTACTGGGCAGTGGTTTTGCTGGGTTACTGGTTTCGCTGGGGACTTGGGTTGGCTGGGAAATTGGGCTGCTGTCGGTGGAGTGCGAGTATGCTGGGAAGGGTGGTTTTTGCTGGGTGGCGAGTTGCTGGTTTTGGTGGCTTCGCAGGGGCTGAGTTGCTGATGTTAGGGTGCTGTCGGTGGATTGTGGGCGGGCTAGGGTTAGGGTTGGAGGTAGGGTTTTGTTCGGATACCAACTTGAAGTAGTTAAATAACAATATAAAGTGACCTAAACTTCCTTGTGGTTTAGGTAAAATATAAAAGTCACGGATAAAGGAAAAATTTTTTTTTAATAAACCAGACTATAATTCCAACAATATACCAAAAAAAAAAAAAAAATGGGGCTTCGAAACAGTAGACTCAATCAAATGCAACGATACAAGCCGATTTAGCAATGTAACGGAAGCAAAACCACAGATACAATTTTTTTTTATATCTCCAATAGTTCCTGTTCTTTCTCTCTCTCTCGATTCATTTGTTTATGTTGTAATGTAACCAAGGTTTGAAGCTTAAAGTTAGATACACGATTCTTCATCCAAAAAGGGTCAGTTAGTGTTGTTTTCCCTGTATCAAAATGGGTCACAACCCACAAAAGTATCGTCAGTGAATAATTGTGTATGGGATTGTGTCGCGCAGCTATCGGATGGGCTGGNCTGGATAGTGGGCTGGTTTTGTTGGGCAGTTGGGTTGGGCTGGGGTCGCTACTGGGCAGTGGTTTTGCTGGGTTACTGGTTTCGCTGGGGACTTGGGTTGGCTGGGAAATTGGGCTGCTGTCGGTGGAGTGCGAGTATGCTGGGAAGGGTGGTTTTTGCTGGGTGGCGAGTTGCTGGTTTTGGTGGCTTCGCAGGGGCTGAGTTGCTGATGTTAGGGTGCTGTCGGTGGATTGTGGGCGGGCTAGGGTTAGGGTTGGAGGTAGGGTTTTGTTCGGATACCAACTTCAAGTATCTATGAGTGAATGAGATATATAAACCAAGAGCAGAACTATATATATATATATATATATATATATATATATATAGTTAAATAACAATATAAAGTGACTTAAACTTTCTCGTGATTTAGGTAAAATATAAAAGTCACGGATAAAAGAAAAAAAAAAATTAATAAATCAGACTATAATTCCAACAATATACCAAAAAAAAAAAAATGGGGCTTCGAAACAGTAGACTCAATCAAATGCAACGATACAAGCCGATTTAGCAATGTAACGGAAGCAAAACCACAGATACAATTTTTTTTTATATCTCCAATAGTTCCTGTTCTCTCTCTCTCTCTCTCGATTCATTTGTTTATGTTGTAATGTAACCAAGGTTTGAAGCTTAAAGTTAGATACACGATTCTTCATCCAAAAAGGGTCAGTTAGTGTTGTTTTCCCTGTATCAAAATGGGTCACAACCCACAAAAGTATCGTCAGTGAATAATTGTGTATGGGATTGTGTCGCGCAGCTATCGGATGGGCTGGGGAAAAGATGTACTAAAAATGGGAGTAGAACACATAAACATATATAATTAGATATGATTACAAAACATACATTTAGAACTACTACTTAATTTCTCTCCTTCCATTTTCCACTCTCTCTTGTAACTTGAAGAAGTGAATTCCTATTTCGATGTAGTTCCATGAGAACATCCTTTATATCAATTCTTTCCTTTGGCATTTCATCAGAACATGAAACTCCAATCTGAAGGATTGACTCCAAGACTTTCTTGATCCTCTCCATGCTGCCTTGGCTAGCTTGCCTGTCATTATTTAACCCTTCATCCTCTTCCAATAGCATTTGTCGGTCCACAATTTCAATCACTTGATGCGGAAGAGCCATCTTAACATAGCTGCGTAGGCTGAAATTGTCTGTGAAGATGCTGCTGGTAGGCCTTTTCCCCGTAAACAGTTCAAGTAAGAGGATGCCGTAACTATACACATCACCTTGTGCTGATACCTCTCCAACCATGCCATATTCTACAAATTTGGAAACGATAAATGATCAAGAGCTTTCAAACTTGAAATCGGAGCGTAGACATTTATTTAGAGGTTACTGATAAGACCATTTGGAGGTGAATACTCAACCTGATGATAGAAAAGGATGCTATTGACATCACCAAGATAGGACCAACATCAATTCACATGCTTGGATCATAGATACATTTACATTTGTTATAAGACCTTTATTAGATTTCTTGGAATTGTCGAAACAATACACGAGTTAATGATAATTACCTGGAGCAACATACCCAATTGTTCCTCTAATCCCAATTGAACTGCTGTTTGCATTATTGGATTTACCTTTCGCGTCTAAAAGAAACTTTGCAAGACCAAAATCACCTACATGGGCACAAAGTTCATTGTCAAGAAGAATGTTGCTGGGCTTCAGATCACAGTGAATGATTGGTGTTCCACAATGGTGATGGAGATATTCCAATGCAGAGGCCACATCAATTGCAATGCTTAGTCTTTGTGTTAGGCTCAGGTTCCTGGTGTCCTGCTGCTCTTCTGATGAACTTGGATGTAACCATGTGTCTAAACTCCCATTTGACATGAAATCAAATACCAAAGCTTTGAAATCATTGCCTTTGTAATCCAGGCTTGAGCAAGCTGAAATGATCTTGACTAGATTGCGATGACGGACATTCCTCAATGCTTCGCATTCTGCCAAGAAGCTCTTGTTGGCTCCATGTTCTTGGAGTTTGAGCACCTTAACTGCGACAACTTCTTCATTGGAAATTAAGACCCCTTTATACACAGTGCCAAATCTTCCCTCACCAATCAAGTTTTCTGAAGAGAACCCATTGGTGGATTGGAGAAGGTCTGCATAAGAAATTTGTGGGAATTGTTTTTCCTCTGCTGAGGCTGAAGAGGGCTGCTGTCCTTTGGACCTTCTTATATGATAAATTGCATAAACACTTACTAGTAGCAGCACAACAAAAATGGGGATAGCAGTCGCAAGGATTACAACTGTTCGATTAGAAAGCTTTCCTTGTTTCACTTTTCCTCGACATGCAGGCAATTCCAATGGCTTAATTCCTCCACATAGCTTTTCATTTCCCAGCACTGAAAATTCACTGATGTTTGTAAAGACTCCTTCATTTGGCACTTCACCCTTGAGCATATTAAATGAAAGATTGAGATTCTTAATCAAATTTAACTCTCCAAGAGACCTTGGAATCGGCCCAGACAAATTGTTGCGAGAGAGATCTATGACAAGAATGCTTTTGATTTGACTCAAAGATGAAGGAATAGTTCCTTCAAAATAGTTACCTTGCATATAGAGGGTTTCTACCATCACACAATCACCAAGAGTGCTCGGAATTTCACCGGACAGTTTGTTTTCTGAAATATCGAGCGTGGCCAGATTTTTCAAACTACCCACTTGTGATGGTAATGATCCTGTTAATTGGTTGTGATCTAACATGAGTCCAATTGAGAGGGAAGAAAGACCAAGAACCTGTTCAGGTATGGCACCAGTGAGGCGATTCCATCTAAGATGCAAGCCTTGCAAGCCTTTGCAGTTACCAAGAGAAGAAGGTATGCTTCCCTCTAGCAAATTTTCTTGTAAAATAAGAATACTTAGTTGAGTGAGGTTGCCAATAGAGGATGGAATTTCTCCTGAAATGTTATTTGTGAACAAGTAGAGCTCTTGCATCTTGGTAAGTTTTCCAATGGAATCAGGGATAGTACCTGTGAGCAAGTTAGTATCTATAGTGAGGTAGCTCAAGCTGACAAGGTTCCCGATCTCGGGCGGGATGGTTCCTGATATGTAGTTGTTATTCAGCCACACTGAAGTGAGTGTGGTAGATAGATTTCCAATGGTACTGGGTAACACACCTCCAATCTGAATCCTGGATAAACTAAGTACTTGCAGGCTGGAACAATTGGTTAAGGAGGATATGAAATCGATATCATTGGCCTTATTGCTTCCAAGTGGGTTGTGACCAAAATGTAGTACCTGGAGATCTTGAAGCCTTCCTAAATTAAGGGGTATTAGTCCAGTGAGATTGTTATCTCCCATGCTTAATTTCACGAGTCCAGACGCGTTGGCTAGTGATGCCGGAATGGATCCAGAGAACTGATTTAAATCAACTAAGAACAGATTGAGTTTTGGAAGAGTGAGGCCTAAATTGGGTGGAAAATTTCCACTCAATTGATTGTTTGTGATTGAAAAAATTTGAATTGATGAGATGTTGAAAACCTGTGCTGGAACGATACCCAACAATTTATTTGAAGACATCTGGAAGGCAGACAAGTTGGAGAGCTTTCCAAGCTCATTAGGAATGCTTCCATGTAGATTGTTTTTAGATAGACCAAGTATAGTAAGAGAGGAGAGATTGCCAATGGAAGGTGGAATTTTTCCAGAGAAATTATTTCTGGCAAGACTCAGTACAGAAAGTTTAGATAAACTGCCAAGCTCAACAGGAATGTCCCCTTCAATCTTGTTTCCCAGTAAATTAATGACCTGAAGGTCTGAAAAATGAGTCAGATTTGTTAGAAGTTTTCCCTGGAAGGAGTTGTTAGTTAAACGAAGAAATTGGAGGCGAAAAAGTCTGTCAATTTCCGGGGGGATTGGGCCATGGAAATTGTTATTCTGTATGTTGACCTCCCTGAGAAAGGAAAGGTTTCCAACATAGGGAGACAATGAACCAACCAATTTAAGTGATGAAATGTTGAGGACAGTCACTCTTTGATGCCTAAGTCTGCATGTAACTCCATGCCAATTGCAGAAATGAATAGAATCATTCCAGGAGCTAAGAGCTTGGAAAGGATCAAGCTGTACTTGATCCTTGATCGCAAGCAATGCTTCGCGGTCTGTGTCGTTTGAGTTGAAGGTGATTGCAGTAACTGATTGAATGGAAGGAATATAAAGGATGACAGAAAAGAGTAAGTAAGATGAACTGATCACTAGCTTGAAAACCATGTTCTTGTATTCCATTTGGTGCAGAAATTGTGAACTGGAAAGAAGGCAGATGAGCTTTGTGCTCTAGTTGAACATTCCACTTTTTTCATCCAGATATTTGGCAATTCTGCAAAACATAATTTAACATAGCACCCCATTAATGAAAACCTCTGCATAAATCCCCACAGTCTGATAAAAAATAAAAACCCACAGATACAGAACCATCTGAATGAACAAATTGAGGGCTGGTATGGTGCGGATAAGTGTTAAATTTTGACCTCTTCATCCCTTTTAGGCATGCAATTAAAATAAATCCTAAATTCTTCAAACATAAGTAAGGATGAAACATTAAAATTTACATAACCCTCTTAACCAATCACATATAATCTCTCTCTCTCTTCAATACAAGAAAACTTGGCTTCAGACCACAAAATTCAACGGGAATTTCCAATAATATTCATGAATGAAGTTTCGCTTGAAACGGAGATAAAGTTGCAGACACGTGAATACATCTACATATACATATAAATTGATCTGTTTGATAAATATATAAACTTTTCCAAAAAAAAACATGACAAAGATTGTTTCCAGTTTTCTGGGTATTTTTTTCACAAAACGAAATAAAATAAAACGAAAGACAATAGAAGTATATAACTTAAAGATTTGAGCTTTTTTACCTATAACTCGAAGCAAAAAAGAACTCCCCTTGAACTTGACCTTCGGATAGAGAAGAGAGAGAAATTAACTGAAAATCTAAGAGTGGAGGAGATGTGTTTTGTATATGCAGATAAATAATATATGGAGAGAGAGAGATGTTGGGGTAAAGCCAATAAGTGAATAAGATGTGGGCCACATCATCCTCTCTTTTTTTTTTTTTTTGTCATTTTTTCTTTTGTGTTTTTTTTTTTTGGGAAAGTAAATGAAATTTTTATTAGTGAGTATAATCTTGATATTAGTAAAAAATCCATCTAATTACAAAAATAATTGGAAGATCCTACAATTCTTTTGAACGGTGAGGATCTATGCGCATCAACACATTGAATTTTTCTAAATTTTAAAATACGATGAACGTTTTGAATAAAGTAAGGTTTTTTAGTACAAAAAGATCATCATCGTTCAAAGAGTATTGAAGAATCTTTTAATTATTTTAGAATTGGAAGAGNAGGATCTATGCGCATCAACACATTGAATTTTTCTAAATTTTAAAATACGATGAACGTGTTGAATAAAGTAAGGCTTTTTAGTACAAAAAGATCATCATCGTTCAAAAAGTATTGAAGAATCTTTTAATTATTTTAGAATTGGAAGAGGGCCAAAGTCTCCTGATGTACAAGAGGAGGCGGAGTTCCCTACCCAAAACTTGCCAAAAAAGAGATTATTTATTCTACAATCAAACTATACTTGCCAAATTTATATATCAAATCTAACATCCCAAATGATGTGCTACAATTTCTATTACTGAATATTAATGGAACTCATTTATCTAATCTTGTGAAATATCTCATATCATTTTAAATCAAAATTTAATAAAAAATTTTGAGAAACATGTCATTTCCCCTCTAATCTATGAACAAAAAGCTGTTAGAAAGCTTATGAACAGTGTTGGAGCTGATGAGGTGATTGCTACCTTAGATCTTCATGAAAGTGCCCAGCAAAAAAAAAACTTATATAATTTCTATCAAAGCATAACCCTTGCAATTTCTCAGCTTTTGTGGTTAAATAAGCATGTTCTACTATAACATTAAAAGTTGTAAGTTGATNCTATGAACAAAAAGCTGTTAGAAAGCTTATGAACAGTGTTGGAGCTGATGAGGTGATCGCTACCTTAGATCTTCATGAAAGTGCCCAGCAAAAAAAAAACTTATATAATTTCTAGCAAAGCATAACCCTTGCAATTTCTCAGCTTTTGTGGTTAAATAAGCATGTTCTACTATAACATTAAAAGCTGTAAGTTGACAAAGTGCCTAATCTATAGGGGTTTGCTTCCAGATATGTAGATTCTGGTCCAAGCTTATAAATGATGATTGGAATCAAGCCAATCAATAGTCAGGTATTGGGTGAGAAATTTCCAGTAAAGCAGAGGAGGATTTTGGGAGCTCGAATTATCGTGCCTTCAGGCACGGGGTTATGACTAATGAGTCGATATTTGAACTGTGTGTACTACCAGTATCCCCAGTTCCAACCTCCCCACTGTAAGTTGAGAGTGACCATGATATAGCCTGGTAAATAATTTATGGATTAAACTTAAAAAAATAAACTGTTTTTCTTCTAGGATGTCCATTGGCATTGACTCTGTCTGTTAGAACCTTCCTCCCACTAGCTTCATAATTTAAAGCACCATGGAAATATGATCCTGATCATTTCCCAAACTGATGTAGATCCTTATGTATTCTTCTGTCATTTCGATAAATAAACATCCTTGGATGTTTCATGGGGTGAATTTAATTGACAAGATAAATGTATTGATGAGGTTGATGAGATCAAGTCAAAGATGTGAACTTGACTTTATGGGATTGAGCTTCTTAAAAGACAAGCTATTGTTTGATCCAGTGCATGCATAGTCCAAGATGTATGAATAATATAGTTCTAGAATCCATATATAATACCCATGAATATATTTATTAAAACCAAGCCAACTGCTAGGAATGCTTCCAGCCATTTTGTCTGACAAAGACAAATTTAATATTTTATAGAGTTGATGGGGTGATTGCTAGAATTCTGAGGAATAGTTCAAATGATGATAGGGATAAGTTGTAAACACATACGTTCAGAGTTCGAATCTTGACAACCCATAACTTGAGGTCAAGCCATGAGAAATACATTACTCCCGACATGGATTATATTCGTTAGTGATATTCAGACACTTTTGATCCATTTGTTCATTTTTCATATCATCATAAGCATTATATTGCTTGTTATGATCCTCAATGGAGGCCATAGTCATTTCCCATTGTTAAGGTAACGTTATAGTGAAATCCTTTTGAGGTTTATATCATGTGTAGAGTTAGTTTTTTTTTTTTTTTGGTATTAGTGTATTGTTATTCTGATCAGGAGGGGGCAATCATAACTATTAGGGTTAATCTCACATTGAAAGATGTTCCGATTCTCAATTTGTACCATCAATGTTATGAATTGATATCAATGTGAACTTTGCCAAAACTATCTTCAGTTTTTTGTCATAAATTAAAGCACATGAGTTGCAAATGATTCAGACATAGACTTGTGTATAAATTCAAATAATGTTGGCGCCTCATTTGAGTTGCACATAATATGATTAACCTCTATCTAATTAATGAAATTCTTTTTCTAATACATAAAATGATGTCAAATTGATTACAGATGAAAATCTACAGAAGTGATGGTCATACCTCAATCTCATGCCCGAAGTATTTGCACATTGGGTGCTTCAATTTATGACGAAAAACTAAATGATAATTTGGGTCAGGTCCGTATTGTTACTAATTCATAACATCGAGAGTGCAATTTGAGATTTTTTAATGTTTGAGGACACAAATTAAAAATCGAAACATCTTTCAGGGTACAAAGTAAAATTAGCCCTAATTATTAATCATTTGTGCACAACTCTAGCAGACTACCAATAAAATAGGTGAAGGTGATTTTTTTTTTTTCATGTTGGGTGTAATAGGAATACAGAGAGGTTACAATTTCAGGAAGAATAAAAACTACATTACATAAACCTCTTACCTACACAACCCAAACTCACTATACATGCACAAATTATTTCCTAAAACACTTTTAACACAAATATATTAAAAAAAAAACAGTTGTTTTAAAAGAAGACGAGAAAATAAGAAATCTCCAGAACATCACGATTTAATGACAAAGCACAACACCTGCATAATACACCAAACATATGTACCTGTGTTAGGTAGGTATACATATGTGGTGTATATCAAGCTTGTATGTTGCATTGTTATTTGATCGTGCTGTCACACGTACGTGATAATGTGATATCACCGTTCTATGACAAGTATTTAATCAGGGAACAGGCTCTGTTGAGGAAATCCCAACATGGTAAGAACTTTTTTCTGTCTTTACAGAAACACATCACCTCCCACCAATGTCTTCGAAGGACCCTGACCGATGATGGGTGCAATTTTCCTGTACGTGACATCTGCTTGTTGACACTGGCTACTCCTCCTTAACCTTGAACTCATATCATCTACATGTCCATTCCAGGTTTGATAGATGTTTAATCCATGATCGAATATGGGAAGGGGTTACTAAACATCATTTACCACGACCGTGTTTATTTCAACTCGAGGAATGTGCGAAATTTTCCAATAATCCTCACTTTCTCTGCCTCGATTCTGCAAGGTTTGAATATCCGAGTTAGGGATAGTTCCAAATATTTGAAGCAATTGAAGGCTGGTTAGATATTCAATTCCCGATGGCACCTCCTCCAACTTAGGACATAAAATGATAGATAGGTGTACAAGATGAGGCATTGCGCCCTGCTCCACATTCGTCCAGCTCAATGCTAATGCACCTGTAAGCTCCAATTTCTTGAGCCTCGTAAACCCTCCAGTCATAAAAACACAATCTCTCCCCACCAAAAGCAAAAAAAATTGAAAGTTCTAAGAGATTGGGCATATCTTGTAGGCATTCTAGTGTCTCGTCATTCATTAGCCTGCTCCAATGTAAGCATAGTTTGACCAAGCTATGAAGAGAAGATATCCAACTTGGTATCTTTTCTAAACGTCCATTCAAGTATAGCCTCTGTAGAAATGTAGGACCATGGGACAAAGATTTCAGACCAACGATCTCAGCCCTTTTTGTTGCACGAATAGATAAAGAGCGGAGTTTACTCAAGTTTTCAAGGGACGAGCTAAATGTCAATACGTTTTCGCTCTTCAATTTTGCAATACATAAAGTTCTTAGTTGAGTAAGCTTCCCAAGCTCTCCCATTAAAATCTTGTTGTTGCTTTGGTTTGCCTGGATTGCACCAAGATTTTGTACGCATGACAAATTTCCAATTTCCGTAGGGGCTTGAAAGCCCCTGCGAAATTTGCCATGATAAACAAGGAGATGTCGACGTTTCCAAAGTTTCCCTATTTGCATAGGCAACTTAGTTACAAAGGTATCTCTTAGATCCAAGGTCTCTAGATTCCAAAGATTTCCTATGGATTTTGGAACAGCTCCCACTTGCGTATTCCTCATGCTTAGATATCTAAGATGAAGTAGTTCACAAACTTCATCTGGGAATCTCGCCAACTTAGTACTTCTTAAATCTAACACCTTCAGCAATCTAGAACCACCAATTAAGATCCAAGACAGGGATAAATTGCGAACCGAATTTGAACCCTCTATTGTGAATAGAGAGCGAAGTTGATGAAAATGCTTTCTTTCTTGTACAATACCTGAGGAATCATGTACTGCTAGGCGTCGGACTTTTTCGTGCCACACTACATCTGACCCGGTAGCCAAAGTTACAATGTTCTGTTCTTTCTACTTGGAAAGAATAATTTGGCGGAAAAGATCATGGATACGACATTTAGGACTATCGTCCCATGCTTTCCAAACTGCTTGGATTAAGCTTCTATTGAGAAGTTCATCGAAATAGCCCGGCAACTTCTTCTAAAGTCTTTCTTTCTTTCTTTTGCACAAATCTTTCCGCAATCCATAGTCTTATCACTTTTGTCTTCTCAATCTCAAAATCCTCGGGAAAAAAGCTCAAGTACAAGAAACAAATTTTTAGATGGTAAGACAGATCATAATAACTGAGACAATATTTTTATCATTCTCTCAATTTTGTTCTTGCCTTCCAGTTCAACACTAAGATTGCGTTGAACCATCACCCACTCGTCTATTCTACTTTTGTCCTTTAAAGCCAATACGCCACCAATTGCAACAATTGCAAGTGGCAATCCCTCACATTTTCTTAATATGTTTCGTACAGATACTTCTAAATGTTGAGGGCAGCATTTGTCTTGAAATGTCTTGTTACAGAACAGTGTCCAAGACTCTTCATTAGACAAAGGCTTCATTTCATATATATATCCATGGGATTCTAAGCAGGAAGCACGAGCTACATCAAGTACACGTGTTGTGAGCAGTACACGACTACCGCAATTGCCATCAGGCAACACATACTTGATATCATCCCATGCATTTACTCTCCAAACATCATCTAACACAACCACATACCTTCGTTTTTCGAGGAATTCTTTGATAATTGCTTTCAGCTCATCGGCATCCGTGGTTTTCTCGCTTTGAGGCACCGCAAGTTTTTTAATCATTCTCTTAAGGAGCTCCATCATGTCGAATGATTGTGTAACAGTGATCCAAACATGGCTTTGGAATTGTCTGTTCACTTGTCTATCCTAGTAAACTTTCTTGACCAGTGTGGTTTTGCCTAATCCTCCCATTCCCACAACCGAAACCACTTTGAGTCTAGAATCACCCTCAAGAAGCCAGCTAATGAGCTGTTGTTTGGGCTTGTCGATGCCCACAAGCTCAGTTTCTCCTATTAGAAGCGCATCACCACGACCATCATACCATGTGTTGCTAATAACATCAGAGCCTGAGCCTTGCTCCATGCTCCTAAATCTCTCGTAACTTTTAGAAATATTTTTGACTCGAGACTTAACTCTTCTTATTTCAGAAGCAATTCGATGGCTAGCCTTCAGGTCCTTAATAGTGCAAGCAATCTTACGAAGAAACCACAGAAACCAGGGACATGATCATGCACCAACCAGAGCATGAATTCATCAAGAACATCTTCGGTATCGAATGCAACATCTCGCACTTGCTTAACCCAAACTTTGAGTTGTAGATCGGTCTCTTCTTTTGCATCAGCAACTTTAAGGAAGGCGTTCATTTCCAAGTCATCTCTGATGTGCTCAACTTCTTCCCGAACACTTCCTAAAAGTCTAGCCTCTTCTAGCAAGAAGGGTTTTAGTTGGTCGAGCAGAAATGATACAGCAATCTGAGCCATTTCGTTGTTGGGACTTTGAAACGGTTTGAGGAATTATTAGGAAGGTGCTTATTTGTGACTTCATCAGAAGAATGCTTATATAAGTTTCACCCAAATAGGGGGAGTGTTCAGGATCCAAAAGAATAACTTGGGTTCGATTTATACAACAATACTTTCTGCTGATAAGAAGATTTGCATACAGAAGTTTACAGTTTCATTGGAACTGATTCAAGGTTTAATAGAGCAAGTTTTAATTTCTTCGTATGAAATGGAGCAAGATTCCTTAACCTTTGTGCCTAAAAAAAGTTGACGTTTTCATCATATGAAATGGGATATTTTTGATCCCTTAACCTTGTCAAAAGAGAAGGTGATGTTCTCTTCCCGTGAAATGGAAAATGATTCCTTAGATCATCTCCTTCAATGGAAATTCAAGCTCTTACTTAAGTCGCAGAAGAACCAGCCTGAAATCGTAGAAGAGCCCGTGAAAATTGCCAGCCCCTCCTCCACCACTGCTGCACCCTCCGGTAGCCACCCCCATCCAAAAGTAAAATCTTGTTTTTAATTCAATCCAAGTATTCATATTAGTTATATGCTCATTAGTTATTTCATGATTTTTAAGCTTGACACCAATATTTCTCTAGTCTTTTGTTCTTTCATTAGCTAGTTTACTTGTAGAATAATTCATATTGAATAACTTGCAACAAAAATAAAATATTTTATCCAAATCTTTTGAATATACTAGCAATCTTCTATCAAGTGTTTTTTCATTTGTTAATTTGCGAATATAATGTATAGTGAAAAAATGTCTAGAGTGGTCATTCCGAGGAAAATCTAAATTATTATATCTAATTAGGCCATTTTCAACTAATAAATCTCTTAATTTCATATCAATATTTTTTTATTGACTTGGATCATAAATATTTATATGATTATAATCACTTGTTTCATTAAGATTTTGATTGTCTTCTATTTCATTATCTTTTATTTCACTATTTTATTTTTCAATATTTTCTATTTCGTTATCTTTTATTTTATTATCTTTTATTTCAATATTTTCTACTTCAATATTTTTTATTTCATTATCTTCTATGTCATTATCTTTTATTTCAATATTTTTTATTTTATTCTCTTCTATTTCATTATCTACTTGTTCATTTTTAAAATTTTCATCTAAATTTTTTGTTGCATTATTTTTGTTACTAGTAACAAATTTATCAAGAGATCCTTTTTGAAATTCTATTAGTTGATCTATTTTTCTTTTTTTTTTTTAAATTTTTCGTATCCACTTGGTTGTCTTCTAGGTGTCATATTATTAATATATTATAACTATATAACAACCAAACAAATACAATATATAGTATAGTTAAAAATATATAACAAAAAAATTTAAAATTATAAAACAATAGTGCTTGACTTGAATAATCTCAAATGCTGACTTTTAGTTCTAAACCATGTCCTTTATGTTGTAATGAAAACTCAAGTTGATAATAGAGGATAGAGTGAAGCCTGTGGAGGCCGAGTCACCATCACCAAGTTAGTCACCGTTGATGAGTGATCTGTGAGTTCTCCGTTGTAGTACTTGGCAAAAAAATAAAAGTGATATGTGAGTTTACTGAGTTGAGACTTGAGAGCACTGTGAGAGAGAGAGGGAAGAAGGAGAGTTTTTTTTTTGTTTTTGTTTAATGAGAGAGAGAGAAAGAAAAAAAATTATTTTTGTGTTGTTGATTTGGTTGGTTTAGAGAGAGAGAAAGAAAGTGTGTGTGTGTTAAAAGGAAGATATGATTTGATTTTTTAATTTTTTTTGTGGCTTTGATATGACTTTTCAATGCTTTATATATATATATATATTGTTAATTTTTTTTAGATATTTAATGTTTTGATTGAATTATGGGCCTAAAATAGTTAATTGAACTTATATTTTTATAAGATTTTTTTTTACGTAGGTTATTTCCGGTGTTTAAAAATTTGGACCCTTCCTTTGAAATGGGACTTAAAGCCCAGACTTTTTTACACTTGCTGTTGGGCCGGCCCTGATGATGTTAATGGTGCATTTAGGGGCAAATGTGGATTGATAAATGAAATTTACATTAATATGTTGTATAATAAATAAAAAATTCTAATATTTAATTGATTAATTTGATAGATTAAGAAATTAAATATTTAATTGAAAAAATTTTAGTTTATATATGAAATATAAAGTAGAGAAATAATAAATGAGAGATGAGATAAAATTTTAGGTGTAAGAAGAACAAATATTTGAATTTTTAAACTTAATTTTGAAGGATATTTTTGATATTTCACAAACTATTATTGATAAAATCAACTTTATCCGTTAACCATTCCAATGTTGGTTTGTTGAAACGGGTGTTATTGTTATAAGTTTTAAATGTTTAGGAAGTTTTGTGTAATTGTTAAAACGTGAGGGGTGTCCGTATAATAAAACCATATTAATAAAAAAGGTGAGTGTAATTTATCCAATCCGAAATATACACTAATTAGTCCACTTCCGCTGTCACAGTTTCAAGGCCTGGCGGCATGTCTTCAAAATGGTGCAACTTGCGATAGCTATTTTTTCTTCTATACCAAAGAGTGACTCGATCAAATGCAACGATACTAAACCACACACCTGAATTTCAAATTACGAACCCGAATTACAAAATTCACAAGTTGGAACTTCACATCTTCCTCTAAAAAAATGTGTAATGTTCCTTTTCTACTGAAATTAAAAAGTTTTTTTGGGTGTAGGCATTATCTCTAAAAATTGTAACTAGTCACATTGGATCCCCATAAATACAACAATCTCTCCTTCACTTGGTAGGCCACGGGCATCAACCTTAGTAAATTACGGTTTTGTTTTCACGAGCAAAAATACAATTGATTGAAATAGGCAACAAAGAAGATGAAGGAGAAGCAGACAATGAAGGAACAACAACTTTATACGATATTGGACAAATTGCCAAGACCCTTTTTGTTTTGGGTCTAGTACCCGAGGTACACATTGGGAGTAAACCTCCCCTACCCGAAAACCCTCTACACCCAGATGAAGGGAAGATTTGATCCATTTTAATTTGGAATTGAGTCAAATTTTGTACTTTTAGAAGCAACACATATCCTCTCACCTCGAACCTCAGATAGGCACACAGAACTCAACTTTTACTGTAGTACTCATATTCTGTCACTTGAGCAGCAAATGACTTAAGATATTGGAGGGACAAGAGGTAGGTATGAAAGATGAGCTATAGTGCCTTACTCAACTCTCATTCATCTCCAAGCATATCCGCATAAAACACTAACTAGTTGAGCCTGGGAAACCCTCCAGCCTTAAAACACCATCCATACTCTACATCATAAGCACTTTCGAATTCGACTTTTAATAGATTGGGCAAATCTTGTAGGTATTGCAAGGAGTCGTGCATCAACTTGCTCCTGGTGGATAATTGCCATGATTTATCATTAGGCAACACATACTTGATGACATCCCCCACATTTATTCTCCATACATTTAACACCACAACAAATCTTCTTTCCGGGAGGGACTCNCCTCGAACCTCAGATAGGCACACAGAACTCAACTTTTACTGTAGTACTCATATTCTGTCACTTGAGCAGCAAATGACTTAAGATATTGGAGGGACAAGAGGTAGGTATGAAAGATGAGCTATAGTGCCTTACTCAACTCTCATTCATCTCCAAGCATATCCGCATAAAACACTAACTAGTTGAGCCTGGGAAACCCTCCAGCCTTAAAACACCATCCATACTCTACATCATAAGCACTTTCGAATTCGACTTTTAATAGATTGGGCAAATCTTGTAGGTATTGCAAGGAGTCGTGCATCAACTTGCTCCTGGTGGATAATTGCCATGATTTGTCATTAGGCAACACATACTTGATGACATCCCCCACATATTTTTAACGAATGCTTTTAGCTTTGTCGTCATTTATGGTTTCTACTCTTTGAACCACCTCTTTTTTTATTTAGTCGTAAAGTTGCTCAATCATGTCCTTTAAAAGTTCCACCATGTTAAAAACAATGATCCAAATATGCCTTTGAAATTGTCTCTTCACTTGTCCATCATCGAAAACTTTCTTGACCAATGTAGTTTCGCTTAACCCTCCCATTCTAACCACTGAAACCACTTTTAAGTCCAGAATCACCTTCAAGAAGCCAACTAATGAGTTGTTCCTTGGGCTTGTCAATGCCCACAAGTTTAGCTGCTGCTATTAGAAGCGCATCACCTTAACCATACTTGAGCCTTGCTCTAAAGCGCTGTACCTCCGAGAACATATCTGGGAAATATTGTCTTGTCCACTCGGGGCTTAATTCTCTGTATTTCAGCAATTCAATGTCGAGCTTTAACGTTTTTAATAGAGCCAACGAATCTTACACCCAAGACCATGGAATCCAGCCCCATGATTATGCTCCAACCGCAGCAAAAAATCAAGAACTATTACTTCGCTATTGTGTCAAACTTGCTCAACCCAAACAAGATTAAAAAATAAAAAGCAAACAGTACGTGTGTTTGTGTATGCGAGCGCATGCATGTGTGTGTGTGAGAAAGAGAGAGATTGAAAAGCAAATTTTGTGCATCATGCACGCTTTCTATGAACAATAACGATATCAANAGCAATTCAATGTCGAGCTTTAACGTTCTTAATAGAGCCAACGAATCTTACACCCAAGACCATGGAATCCAGCCCCATGATTATGCTCCAACCGCAGCAAAAAATCAAGAACTACTACTTCGCTACTGTGTGCATTGTGTCAAACTTGCTTAACTCAAACAAGATTAAAAAATAAAAAGCAAACGGTACGTGTGTTTGTGTATGCGAGCGCATGCATGTGTGTGTGTGAGAAAGAGAGAGCTTGAAAAGCAAATTTTGTGCATCATGCACGCTTTCTATGAACAATAACGATATCAAGTAAAAGAAAAAAAATAACTAAGAAAATACAAAGTGGGTGAGCAAGGTGCAATTTGTGTAGTATTACTGTTGGCTTACCAGTTATTGCATAGTCGATGTTTATTGAGAAGCAATGGCAAGTGCACTCAGAACTATCGTAATTCCTTACAATTTGGGAGCAATTGCTTCCATTGATGATCAAATAATTTAGCTTCATTCTTTGAAGATTACATTCCTAAAAATACCAAAGAAGTCTGACTTCCTTATCTTGTGATAAGATTACATAACAAATGAAGTCATGGAATAGTCTGACCGACCATGCGAAAATCCCAAATGATGTAAGAATCCGACTGCATGCTTCCAAGCAATGAGCCACAAGCTTGTAGAGGCTCAACAAACTCACCCCGAAAGGNTCTGACCGACCATGCGAAAATCCCAAATGATGTAAGAATCCGACTGCATGCTTCCAATCAATGAGCCACAAGCTTGTAGAGGCTCAACAAACTCACCCCGAAAGGCTCCCAATCAACAACTGAGGGAGCCAAAGCAAACACTGCCATGAATATTGGCAGCTCGTATTGATACTCCGATTAAAGCCCAATGACGTAGCCATGCACATTATTAAGCCAGCGCAAAGCATTCTTTATAATAATTGAACGAGTGAACATCTACAAGTATTTGACCATCCCACGACCCTCTACACTGAGTTTTGTAGCTTGAAGCTGCTTCTTTTTTGGTGCTTTCAATTGTTGCAACTTCTTATTCATCTGCCATTAACACAACAATAAGCCTCCGTTTTGAATTAGTCTAGTGACAGTATATGTTAAAAATCAAATCTCAAAGCACACACAATACAGAGAGTATGAAAAGAAAACTAGAATACATCTCCAAAATACACAAACCACCCACAACCAACTCAGCATTAAGGGAGTATGAAATAATGATGCCAATCTTAGCTCCACATCTTGAGGAACTAGGGCACCTCCAATGTCCTATTGTTCGAAGAATAATGTCAGACATCCTACATCTGGCACATAGCTGAGGTTGAAAAAAACATGCAAACTACTACAGTCCTACATCATCTGAGATATCTCATCTTTGGGAACAGATATATTTTCGGACACCCTTTTGGGCATCAGCCACTAAAGGGTTTGAGAATATTCCCCTTTTATGCATTACGTCCAGTTGGTCAGCCAACTTTATGTTCAATGTAGTTTTTTGGGTCTTGTTTATGTTGTTTTTTTGCTTTATTTTGATGTGTCTTTGGTTTGTACGACTTGTCCACTTCAAAGAAATCTCTTTTGTACTTTCTTGGATCTTTTTTTACTAATAAAAGTATAGTTTCCAATAGAAAAAAAAAACTGAGATAACCTCTAGCACTTTTTTACCAGTAGAATGCACTTATCAGTTGTCTATTCAAACAAGATCCTATGTTATTAGTTTGTAATATAGACTGCCTATCCCCACCACACCCCCAATATTTTAAGGCAACTACTCCCACACTTTCCTAGAGTTCCTCCACATTTCAACTTCATTTTTGAACTTCACCTCATGGGTCTTACACTCCCCCCTTAGACTTGCCATATTTACCATTAATCACAGACCTCTGTGAACTGTTGTTTTCAATCCACACATCCACAACCACTTTCCCCAAGTAGCTTCATTAAAGCACTGCCTTCCAATCAACCAAATACTTAAGTACCATGCATGACATGGTTCTAGGAATGCAAAAGAAATGCCACATCCAACACTTCACCGACAATTACAAGAGAACATATAGACAAAGGAAAATCACATATTATTTGCCAGTAAGTCGGTAACTGAGATATAATGATCATATCATTTCCTTACCTTGCTTTTCCATCTGGTGATACAAGACCTAAAAGTTTCAAACACCAGATATATCATTCACAATATATGTGAACCTCTCCAAATCTACTAGTTATTTTGCAGGAAGCTATCTTTAAAATATTTACAATCAATGGCTTCTTCGTAAGCATCTTAACTGGCAGGTCCGGCACATATCTAGGAGCACGAATCACCAAAAAATGGGCCTCTTATCATATTGAAGATAACGTACAAACCCCCCCCCCAAAAAAAACATAGATTATATCATGCAAATGTGGAAGACTTATGTAAGCATATTTGAAGTATTCTCTGGAATGCTTTTGAACTAGTTTCAAAGTCAAATAATTCAATATCACAAAAAGAATTTCAGGTCCCAGGTGAGCTCTATTTTGTTCATGAAACTAAACATGGAGTGCAGTGGTAGAGGACCACTTAATCAAATAAGAATTTTGCTTTCAAATCAGTAGAAACGAGGGTTACTCCCTTACACAAGGTACGACTCATCTCTCCCTATAAGGTGAAACATGAGCCTCAAAGAATAACCAATGATTTTCTAACATTGTATGCGTACTAGATAACATAATGATAAGATAAAAGAGAGAGAAAATCCATAAAGGGCAAACAACTTTAGATATATCAAGTCACCTCATGGTAAAATCGGCAGTCTAAAAGCATTCTGGCATAATTATTATTTTTTTTTTGAAAGGAAACTAAACTTATGAAAACTACCAGTAAGATCATGAGTTATTAAGGAAGATTTGCCAACGTAATTCATTCTTAAAAATGTTAAACACAAGGAGAAATCACTTGAAACAATTATCCAATGACAAGGCAATAATGTTAATAACGTAATGGTGCAATGGATAGACACACAGGCAGGCAAATAGCTATGCCGAGAGAGAGAGAGAGAGAGAGAGAGAGATTGTGCTAATCACAAGATGAGAGTTTCTAAAAGCATTGATAAGCAGAACTTTTGTCTACTTATAGGATTCAGCATTATAGTTTTATATCCAGATTCAAACATCCATTATAGCAACAAACAGAGTCATAAACAGCAAAACATTCATATCCATATCAACTCTCAACCTAGATTTGTTGAAAAATTTAAGTTTCCAATGAGTGGAAGAGGAACCAACCTTCAGCCGGCGCTGATCTTGCACAACCTGTTTAGCTCGTGCCCTAATTTCATCTGGATCAATCTTTGATTGAGGGCGCACAAGAAAATCCATTGTCATAGCTTCAGGCCTGGAGGCATGTTGTCTAGATGATGACTGGCCAGACTTTGATTCCCTAAATTACCCACAGAAACACACTATTAAGTAACAAATTCGACTGCCTGACAAGGAACGAACAAATATTCTCTTATAAGATCTTACTGTGAGAATTCTGCTAAATCAAGATCATCATCTCTGGATTCCATTCCTGCAGCTTTATTCATTGACCTATCGGAAAGTAACAAGAAAGCACACAAGTGAAGCAAGATTATTGATGTTACAAACAAAAACTACAGGATGTCTAAATCGTATGCAGATAGAACATGCACAAGAGGTGATTGCAAAGATGATAGATACTTCTTCACAGATGGCCTCCGGAAGAGAACTCTTTCATCATCAAAGTTCCGCATGTCCTCAAACCTTGTGCTCTTATTGAATATTGGTCGACTCTGCATCAAATAGGTCTCAAACTGATAAGAACATTACATAGAAAATAATTCATACAGAGCTCCACATGTAGATGTTTCCAATCTTATTAAACTACCTCCAAAAAATATCCAATATATGAAAACAGATTAAGATACAGATAAAATTATGTTTTCAAATAAACTAGATAGTAATATCAATGATGTTGATGTTGATGTTGATTAAGAAATATAAATGTTCAAACATAACGACCTGACAACTGAAAACATTATGAAATGGAAGCATTTTGACATTCATGACAAGTTTTGATCAGCCTCTGGAAGAAGATATCTCCCACGAATGATATTCTAATGCCAGAATAATACATCCACCACCCACACAACTTTCATACTACATCACATGACACGAATACCAGACAATTTCTCAAAGTGAGCAATTACAGGGCCTGAGTGATCTTGTAATGGTCTTGAAGGGGGAAAGAAAGGAAGAATAATTACCCATTTATCAACCAAATCCTTAGCCAGTCTTCTGTTGGCCGTGGTCTCCTCATCAGACTTTGACAAGAACATTATGACCTGTGTGATGTAATGGTACATTTCATCAACAAAGCTATATACTTCACAAATAAAGCATGGTTGCAGTTTCACGGGGTGGAATCTGACCTTCCCAATACCACTCTTCTTCAGTTGTTCTCTTCTATCATACTGCTCTAAATCAATTGGGAACTGCATCATCAACGAAACATTTTAGGGCCAACAAAATTTGCCACTCAAAAGCAATGATAATCGCTATATGGCAAAGAATAAGGTGGAGAGATTCTTAAGTGTACATCAGTCAAGATCTTCAATACTGCCGCACGGATATTGATGTTGGGTAAGCTTCCATCTGGCAGGGGCTCAAGCCAGGTCTTCAGAAGTGCTAATACCCCATGATCTAAGAATTCTTGTTGAAGTTGCTTCCTGCAACAAAAGCAATTGGCACCTAAAGATAACAAAACATACATACAATGGGAACACAGCGCCCATAAAAAACAGAGACATCACCATACTTTGAAAGGACCTCTGTAAGAAGAGGCAGTTTTTTGAGTTTATTTATTGCAGGTTTGGACTGCCTATTCAGTTCAGCATCTTCTTCCGCCACAAATTCGAGTTCAGCCATGACACTTTCAACAAGCAATGCAATTTCTGCAGCACTTTTCTCAGTTTTCTTCTTCTTTTTGCCCTTAAAGAGCTGCTTGATTTCATCATCCTCTTCACCCTCTTCTGCCTACAATAAGAGTATGAGCAAAAACCATTGAGTTCTTCAGAAACTTAAATAGTTAGTTCTCCTACATAGCCTTCCGGAAAGAACACAAAGCTCAACCTCCTAAAAATCCTAAAGCAACAACAGTACTGCATTTTCCAGTACTTTGACCATGCAAAGAGCTTTACAAGAAGAAAAATGTAAGTACATTAAAATCACAGCAAGAAGCCTTCAAAGGTGATACACAGTCAACATTAAACATGTTCATACAGAAAGGACAGGACTAACCTCAGGAGCATCGCCGGGAGAGTGTGGTTCATTCTCGATTCCATACCGATCATCAGGATCTACCCCCGTGTCATCTATGAAGTTATCATCATCCAGTGTCCTAACACCTTCTTGGTCATCCTATACAATTTTAGAAGTAAAACATAATGATACGAAAATAATGAACAAAAAGAATGTACACTAAGAAAAACTATTTTTAAAAAGTAGAACCAAGCACAATGAAAAGAAAATGAGCTTGGTCAGGAAATTTCAGAACCACTTAAACAAAAACAGTCGGCATCGCTATCTTGCACATCACACATACAAATTAGTAAGAATCTCAACAAAAATAAAGTAGTTTGAACATTATAAATGTCGTCNAGAAAATGAGCTTGGTCAGGAAATTTCAGAACCACTTAAACAAAAACAGTCGGCATCACTATCTTGCACATCACACATACAAATTAGTAAGAATCTCAACAAAAATAAAGTAGTTTGAACATTATAAATGTCGTCAGACAAACAACAAAACTATAAATTAGAGAATTACTTTTGGGAACCGCAAATTACAGATCAACTCAAACTAGAAAACTTTGCTTTCCATGGAGTACAATTTCCTCCCACTTATGAGAACCCGATATACAAAATCCTGCATATAATGCACAGAAGAAATCCAACCCTTTTGAACATCTGATTCACCATAAATTAAATAGTTGTTGACACAAATAACATCATGTTTACAATAGCATCACAAATAAAATAAACGAAAAACGGCCACATCTTTTCTATTTGGGTTAAAGATTTCATCAATTAGCAACCCAGTATTCCTTTAAACAAACCAATATATTTTATCCCTGAAAATTGGGAATTCCTAAAATATGCAAGATTCAATTGTATCACACTACCATATGAAAAACATATTTAGCGGTAGAAGCTAATACCGGGCTAAATTACCATAATCACATACATCACAAAAAATTGTACAAAACTCGAAAATCCATGTTCCATTAAAGAGCACAAACCTCAGAATCGCCACCGGCAATCGTGTCCCACATCTCCTTCACCTCCGGATCACCTTCATGATCCCTTGACCGCCCTCCTGGATACCCTCCATTCTTCCTCACCTTATACTTCTTCTCACCCATGACAGCCCCATGCTTCAACTTCAATTTCTTCTCTCTCTTCTTGCCAGCATTATCTTTCCCAATCTTCTTCCTCTTCCCACCACCACCTCCAGACGAGGTCACACCATCACCGTCCGAATCATCCCTCACGAGCCCCGGCACGTCATCATTGTAATCGCCATCAAAATTGTGATTATCATCAATATCAAAATCTTCAGTGGTATCTTTACTGGATGTGGCTTTCTTAATCAATCGTTTTCTAGGCTTGGATTTCAAATCGGAATCATTGTAGACCGGTGTCGGAGACCTCTCCTCTCGCCGTTGACTACGCCAAACGTCGTCGTCGTCGTCGTCGTCGAGATTGTCATCGAGAAGGTTGGGCCTGGGATCGTCTAGGGGTTCTTGATCGGATTGGACTTCGTCATAGTCCATCAATGGCTCTCCATCTTCGTCTCGGTACCTGAAAAACAAAGAATTAACCGATTGAATTTCAGAAACCCTAACCCTATTCTATTGAGATAGATAGAAAGAGGAACTCACGGATCGTTCTCGTAACCCATTGGCACGTGTAGATAGTTTCCAAGGGAAAAATCGGAAGAGTAAAAACGGAAAATTCGTGTGTTTGAGAGAGAGAGAGAGAGAGACAGAGAGCTTGTGATCGATTGAAAGCTCAGACCGTGTAACCGAAGCGACGAGGGTGATGCCGTGATGGCGGTGGTTAAGGGGATTTTGCGTTTTAATAGGATGAGTCGCCGTTTGTTATGTGCGTCAAGGACTTATAAAATCACGCCACGTCATGAGTGGCTCAATTTATTCACCGCCACGTAACCATATTAGGGTGATCTGATTGTTTTAAGAATTGGGGGAAAAGTCAATGGTTTGTTTAGGCTCTAATCGAATTTTCGAAATGTTCGAGAATAATAGAAAACACAAATTACATTTAAAGACGAAAATACCCATGTCCTAACCCTACTACAATCCTTAAACTTTTTACAGAGTTTGCTATCTAAGAGTATTTTCAAAGTATTCTCTATTTTGGATGACATATTTTTTTGAAATAGAGAGCGAAATATTTTAGGCAACATTCAAGGGGTTTTTTATTTTAATAGACAAATACTTTTATAGTCAATAATATTTAATAAATAATATATATGTGCCATTTTTTTATTCAATAAAAAAATAGAGAGTGAGTGAAGCTCTCCAAATATAGCGAGTCATATTTGACTATCTATTTTAACTAGTTTAAATATAGAGTTGAGTGTGAATAAAGAACATATTAGAGATATTCTATTATGTGTTCTTTAAACCTTCGTATTTTTAAAATTTTCAAAGCTATATTACAAAATCAAATGGTATAGATAGCAATAAAAGTGATAGTTAAAGGGCTACAAAAACCATATGCAAGATACTGACTTAATTATCGGAGTAGAAAAATAAACCATAGATTGGACTTAGAATATATTAGTGTAATTTTATGAAATTAAGGGTGTAATTTGATAATTTAATATTTTAAGATACAAAATAAAGATTCAAAAAACTTTTTAGGTTCAAAGTGTTATTCTCCCTATACAAAATGGTCTTATCATTATTCCATTGTTTTCTTTTCACCCAACATTCACATTCTTATTTGTTTTTGGTATTATCAGGGCATTTGAGTTAGTTTATGTAGTGCCCAATTCACGTCGGATAGTTTTTGAGTGTGTGTAGNTTAAGATACAAAATAAAGATTCAAAAAACTTTTTAGGTTCAAAGTGTTATTCTCCCTTTACAAAATGGTCTTATCATTATTCCATTGTTTTCTTTTCACCCAACATTCACATTCTTATTTGTTTTTGGTATTATCGGGGCATTTGAGTTAGTTTATGTAGCGCCCAATTCACGTCGGATAGTTTTTGAGTGTGTGTAATTTATATAGATGCTATGACACTTACGCTTTTTAAGTATAAGTGTTGTAATTATCGTATGATAAAAAAAAATATGGGATATTCTAGGGCGTTTATTGTGAGCTCAATTGTATCCCTCTTCAGGTCCGATCATAGGTTGGATAGGCCTTAGGGCCTATAGTGGTGATGGACTGAGGTTTTCATATTGGATAGTTTTTGANATCGTATGATAAAAAAAAATATGGGATATTCTAGGGCGTTTATTGTGAGCTCAATTGCATCCCTCTTCGGGTCCGATCATAGGTTGGATAGGCCTTAGGGCCTAGAGTGGTGATGGGCTGAGGTTTTCATATCGGTTAGTTTTTGAGCGCGTGTGTGATTTATATGGATGCTACGACACTTACGTTTTTTAAGTGTAAGTATTGTAATTTCTATACATCTCATCTCCATCGGTCTACTTTGGGGTTCAAGATTCACAATTCTGGACCAACGGAGCCGAGCACTGGTCCGATCCATATTCCCAAAACACCTACAGTAATTTTAATTTTATATAATATATCAACCACTCAGGAACCGCAATACATTGGCATATCTCCAGCCGTTAAAAACATTGACAAATCGATCTAATCGTCAGTAATCAACCAATAGAAAACCACAGGGGAGAGAGAGAGAGAGGAAGGAGGGAGAGATCGAAACCTCACTTCGTCTCTACAATTCGTCGAGACAGCGATACTCCGTGTCAATGATCTCACATACGAAACCCTGACCGTGTTTTCTCTCTCCAACTCTTCGCATTTTTTTTTGGCTTTCCATCTATAGAATCAACAGTTTCCCTCTGAAATTCACTATCGGATTGCCTATTTTCGAATTTGTTCTTGCTTGTTTTCGGCTCAGGAGCTGTGTGGTTCGTGGCTGTACAATTGCTGTGTTGACTACTGGTTTAGATTCACTGAGCTAGTGCTGTTTTGGCGGTATTGAAATCACCAACTTTAAGTCTCTATTAGACTCATGCCTATTATTTTTTCTGTATATTGAGCTTTTGTTGACCACCTTAGGGTTCTCAATGTTTAATTGCCTATTATCTTCTTGGACGAATTGCAGACTCTTTCTCTCTCTCTCCCAACACACACACGTACGTACAGACTCATAGATACAGCTGTATATAGACAATTTGTAATTTAGGGTTTGTGGGTTTTTTTTTTCCTTCTAAATCTACTTCCTGGTAGAAATTAAGTGGGTGATAGTTATTACGTGAAATTGATTTGGCTGTGTTTGTGAGTGAAGCAGTGCTAACTTTTCTATGGGTATTTATAAATTTACAGGTATTTCTAGTTATGCCATTGCTTGGTAGAACATGATTCATACCTGACCTTAGATTTTGTTTAGTTGTGCATTGTGTTTTCCGTGTGTTGTATTTTAATACAATAACATTGTGCTAGGAAGCATGAAGTATATACCTTGAAATTGAGATTGGAGGAGAATTTAATTGAACTAACATGGTCTTCAATATAAATTCCAAGCCACGAATTCCATGCTCTCAAACACAATATAATTGTAGCGATCGGACTTTGACTGAGATGATATGACATAAAGTGCACATATTGCAGGATGGTTTGAGAATTTGTGAAAAGGTGGTGTAGGTGATTTATGGGTGGTGAGATGGATAAATCCACCAAAGAGGCCAAGGAGTCAAAGGAGCCAAAGACTCCTTCACCTCAGGTATGCTTACTTAATTTGTTGAATTTGTTTTGGAGTATGTTGGTTTTTGGCTACCTTTTCATTGCTAATTTTTATCTCGCTTCATTGTTCAGGAGCAGGCTTCATCTACAAGTGCTGGTGTGGTCAATCCAGACTGGTCTGGGTTCCAGGTTCCATTTCTTCCTCTTACTCACTGTTTATTATCAAGATTTTTGCAGCCTTGTTCATTTGGGATGGATTATCTTTGTATAGGCATATTCTCCTATGCCTCCACATGGGTTCTTGGCATCAAGTCCTCAAGCTCACCCATATATGTGGGGAGTTCAGGTATGATTTTTCATTTACAATTATTGAGTGTTTTGAACTGAGTCAAGTAGTTGCGAAACTTATTCCAAACCCAAGTTGCTCTGCTAAAGTTGTGATGCCCAAACGCAACTTAAGATCTCTTGGGTTTTGGGTAAACAAATCGAAAACCACCTAGGGAAAACGGTTTTTCTACCAATTGGGCTAGTGAAAAAACTATATAATTGGGTCAATATTTTCATATGATGCTTCAGAGATTTCTTTTCTTTTTTAGGAGATATAACCACGGGAAAGATTTATTTTCAAATTTCTTAGGATGGACGATTCTCCTGTTTCTAATTTTCATTTTCACTTGCAGCAATTTATGCCACCCTATGGTACTCCACCTCACCCATATGTGGCCATGTATCCCCACGGTGGCATATATGCTCATCCATCTATCCCTCCGGTGATTTTTTGTTGATATGTTGTAATTGCACTGCTCAAAATATATGTTTATTCTTTGGATGCCGCTAACTTTATCTACTGTATAATAAACATAACCAGGGATCTTATCCTTTCAGTCCCTTTGCGATGCCTTCTCCAAATGGCATTGTTGAGGCTTCTGTGAGTTACTTGAACCAAAGTATTTTTTATATTGCTTGTGAATAAACATTTCATTGGTCTGGATTCCTTGAAGTGTGATATTTTAATTTGCATGAAGGGTAATACTCCAGTCAGCATGGAAATGGATGGTAAGTCTTTGGAGGGGAAGGAAAAGCTGCCCATCAAAAGGTCTAAGGGAAGTTTGGGCAGTCTGAATATGATTACTGGCAAGAGTGGCGATGCTGGTAAAAAGTCAGGAGCATCTGGTAATGGAGTCTATTCCCAAAGGTATTGTGGGTAGAGGTTGATTGTGCTCTAGCAACTATTACGTAAATTTAATCCAAAATAAATATCATATAATCCTTTTGTTCGCAAGGTGCTGGTGGTAATTTCAGATTGGTTAATTATTCTAGGAGAGCACCTGCTCTATTTGATGACTTGCATTGTCATTAATGAGCTCCATTCATACATATAAAAGAGAGCACACATAGCAAATGAGCTTTGACAGTCGTGCAAAGACTAGTGGACACTATTGGTAAGGACTGCTGCCATGTGACACTGGGGTGTAAGCGAGCCAATATTTATCTCATATGCACTCCTTACGGGGTGTTCTGGAGATTTGACAACAGCAGATGGGGTTCAAAAACTTCATGGTTGGGAAACGAAGAAGTCCTGAAGTTCATTTCTTTTAGGGTTTTCATATTTTTCCTTATTGTTCCCTTCTTTATCACCAGTTCATTTTCATAGAAAGCACAAAAAATTTAATATATATATAAGAATTTATGTATATCTATATAATAAAACACATAGCAACTTGAATTTTTATCCCCTACATATTTTCCCCCATAAAAATATCACATCACTCATTTTTATCGCATGTTTAATCATTGACATATTTCCCCCCTCAAAACATCTCATCACTCATTTTTATCATATGTTTAATCATTTAATATTTGATTAATTTATAGTTAATATAATTTTTAATTCAAACATTATCCATATATGATAATATACACATGGTAAAAAAATTTAATATAATAGGATCAATTTTTTGGACACTCGAATTTTATGTTTTATCGGGCCTTCAGACACGGTTATGACTAGTGTAACAATATTTCGAAAGNAACATTATCCATATATGATAATATACACATGGTAAAAAAATTTAATATAATAGGATCGATTTTTTGGACACTCGAATTTTATGTTTTATCGGGCCTTCAGACACGGTTATGACTAGTGTAACAATATTTCGAAAGTTTGTTGAATTGTAATATACTCACATGCTGGGGCTTATGTGGTCTATGTCGTAATAAATCTACTTATCAGCCTTGTTTGTTTTTGCTGCAAATGACTTGATACTGACATGCTTTGATGTCATTGGATTTGCAGTGCGGAAAGTGGAAGTGAAGGTTCAAGTGAAGGAAGTGATGCGAATTCTCAAAGTGTAGGCATCATGCAGCATAGTCATCTGTGTATTATAGTTTTAGTTGATTGATCAGACTAGGGCAGCCATCCATGTATTATATATGGCAGAAGTTATTTATTTTGAACTAAAAAACTATATTTCCTTGTGCTGCTCCTTTTTTTCTGATCTTTTGTCATTGATTTTGTGCAGGACTCGCAAATGAAGTCAGGATCTAGGCAAGATTCTTTTGAAGGTTTGGCCTTGAGAATTTTCTTTCCTAATGCAGTCTCTAAATTGGCGCTAATCTGTGTTATTGATGAAAAAAGTATTTTTGCTGTCTTTGCTACAGCCGAAGCATCTCAGAATGGAAATGCTGTGCATGGTTCACAGAATGGTGGACCAAATACACCTCATTCAATGGTGAATCAAGGGATGTCCTTCATGCCAATATCCGCAGCTGGTGTTCAAGCAGGTGTTCCTGGTCCCACTACTAACTTAAATATTGGTATGGACTACTGGGGGGCTGCAACTTCATCTACTATCCCTGCAATGCGTGGGAAGGTACTTTCTGCTCCAGTAGCAGGAGGAATGGTCCCTGCTGGATCTCGGGAGAGTGTGCAGTCGCAGCTTTGGATACAGGTTTTTTTATTTCATTTTAACCTCCCCCATCTCCTGTACATACATCATTCCCCCCCACACCCTTTTTTCCTCTATTAAGTCCCTAATTGTAAGTGTCTTTATATATATTTGCTTTACTATCATGGTTTGTCTGTAGTGGTATAATTTTGTTTAGACATTCAAATAAGTTTGGTGCGTTTAAAAAAAATCACTTTCCTGGTGCATAGTGGTGTTCTTGTTAAATATATGTTTGAAGTGTTCAAAGGGATCGCCAGACGTATGACTAGACGTCTATAACCAATCACCATATCTTCGGAGGGCCTTGTATATTAATTGTTTGATTTGGGCTTATAAATAGGTGTGCTATTTACAGAAAAGCTTGGGTAAAAAAAAAATGCAAATAGATTTCTAGGGGAGGCATGCATCATGGGATAAGGTGAGTTTTTATTTTGGTGCGTTTCTTCCTATTCTGCATAAGTGAAATGTTTGGCAGTTGATGAACCTATTACTTAGACGAGTGGTCCTCTAAATGATTTCTCCAAGTATTTCATCTGTTCACCCCGAGATGAATTGCAAAGCACTTATGACTTATCAGAACAAGCATACATAAAATGAGGAAACCTATATTCTCCCTCCAACATTAGAGACCTGTTTGGCGCAGTTTCTGGAAACGAATTCTGTCTTGGAGTTACAAAAAACAGAATCGATATAAAAATCTGTTCAGTTCTTGTTTTGGAAAGTGTTTTCAGAAAGCTTTGTGAAAAACAACCTGCTGTTTTGAAACATCAGGGTCTTGTTTTCTGTTTCTCATTTCTCGTTTTGCATTTAAAACTACTAAAATCTCTGAAACACAATTGTTCTCTGAGTTATCTGGTTAAAGTTTTTGAAATGATTGACTTAGCTTGTCAGCTAGCTAAGCTTTCTTGTTCATTCATTAATGGAGATCTACCCCTCTGAGTCCTCCATTAACTGGGACTAAACTAGGTGTGTGCCAAGTGTTGGTATGTGTTATTGAGGAGTTTTTCGTGATAAGGATTTCTATTTTTAGTTTATTCTTGTCAATAACTTATTTGGAAAAGTAAAATCAGTGGGTAGTGACTTCCTTAAAAAAAAAATTTAAGGTTTTAATGTGGAATGGATGGTGCATGAATTATTAACTAAAGCACTAGGCCTGTCAGATGGGCTGCTGCCTTGGTCACTGTGGTTTTTGTTTTTGTTTTGCTTTCTTTTTCAGTATTACTAATCTATTAGATGAATCTGACTTGATCTTTTACATGAATAACTTATTTGACAACATTTGATTTTCTCTCCGTTTTAGTTTTCATTGAAATTTGATTTCAATTTTGTCCTGTGGAAAAATGCTTTGAGGCGTTTCTGGTTGGCTCTTCCTGATTCCTAATCAACCATTAAGGCTAAACTATAGACTGTGCAGAGTGACATTTGAAGGCTCTGTGTTGTGTACATCTCATCATCCAATAAACAGCTTCACTCTATCTCTCTCTCTCTCTCTCTGCACACAGGCGTGTTTGTCTCAGACAATGATACTATCTTCTCTGGATTTAATTCAGCCTAAATAGAGTGTCATGATTTTCTTGCCCTATTTTCTCCATATTCTATTTCCCTCGNCTCTCTCTCTCTCTCTCTCTCTCTGCACACGGGCGTGTTTGTCTCAGACAATGATACTATCTTCTCTGGATTTAATTCAGCCTAAATAGCGTGTCATGATTTTCTTGCCCTATTTTCTCCATATTCTATTTCCCTCGTAGTATATTATTCTATAAGGTACCAATTGTTTCATGGATTAGGATGAAAGGGAGCTTAAAAGACAGAGGAGAAAGCAGTCTAACAGGGAATCTGCTCGCCGATCCAGGTTGCGCAAGCAGGTAAGGAAATGCCCCTTTTTAAAATTTCTGTCCAACTACCTTTCGCTGGGTGACTCCTTGATGTATATGTGTTTATGTGTGAGTGGGACTCAGGCAGAATGTGATGAGCTGGCACAGCGTGCTGAGGCGTTAAAAGAAGAAAAAGCCGCTCTTAGAGCAGAAGTAGGTCGCATCAAGAGTGAGTATGAACAGCTTCTTGCTCAGAATGCGTCTCTAAAGGTAACTGAGAGATTTCGGATACAAACATCCTTTCAATCTGCTGCTACTTGCTGTGATGCAATTATCAATAACATATTGGTTTTTTTTTTTCTTAGTGTGGGCATTTCCTGTAAATTGTATTGTAGAAGATTTATTGCACTAAACTCAAGAGAAGACACAAATTGATGGATATTTTGAGTCACTGCCTGATAACTTCTTGATAACAACAGTATTGTGGAAGTGATACAAGTAGGATAAAGCAATTTTTTTCTTCCAAAAGCATTCACTTTTTAAGCTAGAAGTTTTTTCACTTTTTACTTTTTATTTCTTGGCCTTTTGTTTTTGGTCGTGACAACTACTTAGAAAGTTCACTGCTGAAATAGTTTTTGCTTTGTACTTTGAAGAGAAAATTATAGAAATGATAATCATGCTAAACGGAAAACCTTTCTGGTGTGTGACATAGAATTTGATTTTTGCAGGAGAGACTCGGTGAAGTTCATGGGCAAGATGATGCAAAGTCTAGTAGGGATCACAAAAATATGAGCAAGGATACTCAACAGACTGCAAAAGCATAGCTCACACGGAGTGGTCAATGAAGTTATAGCCTCCTTGCTGCAGAATGATTTCTAGTTGGCTTAACCTAACCAATTTGTAACAAGAATGTTTAGTCGGTTTAGATAGTACGTAGTTTAAAATTAATTGATTTTGACCCTCCTGGACTCGGGATCTGTTTGTAAAATATTATCCATCGTTCTCAGCTTGGCCACTCTTTTAAGGTCGAAGAACCTGGATGGTAATGCAGAGTGGGCAATCCTATTGCACCCTTTTACCAAAGGGTAGACTCTTCATCATTGTTTGATGAACATGCTATTTTAGAAAGGTAGNTTAAGGTCGAAGAACCTGGATGGTAATGCAGAGTGGGCAATCCTATTGCACCCTTTTTGCCCTTTTACCAAAGGGTAGACTCTTCATCATTGTTTGATGAACATGCTATTTTAGAAAGGTATTGATACATACATTGTGTACTTTATAAGAGTTTACTTGTTTGTAACACAGGATGTTTATAAGTTTTACCTTCTCTGTTTTGGTGAAATTAATGTGATGATAAATTATTTGGATGGATTTTTGTGTCAGTGATGTTGTGTGTTTTTTTTCCTGTAGGTTTTCTTTTCAGTGGTTGTTATCTGAAGTTTTTAGAACTTAAACCATGCCGTTTTTACTTAATAAAACTTATACTTACCTTTTTAAATGTTGTGCATTGTATTAGTTTCGACCATAATGTATAGCGGAAGATATTATCGTTGATGGTTAAGTTGTGCTTTTTAAAGAATTACGAGTCATTGGGATTAATCATGATTAATCCATTCCACCATTGAAAGTATGTTCCTATCCTTATCTAGTCTCCTTATCCCACAAATAGCACAATGAAAAACCAATAAACTAATCCAACTGAACAGCCAACAACCAAACACCCAATACATTAGTCAATGCAGCCAGACATAACATCACACAACACTAAAGCAATGAAATAATAAAATAACCCTTTTCAACAACATCTCATACCCAATAAACTAATGCAACTTGAATAATAAAACAAATTAACTGAACATAGAATCTGACAGAACTAATCACAACATCACACCCAGGGGTATTAACCACTCACAAACACAAAAAATGCAATATGTTTGATAATGGAAGCAAATGCAACCCACAAACAAAACACACAAAAAATGCAAAACCTCAAATAAACAGAGCACTTACACTACATCTGATTTGATTTGAAAGCAGAACATCATCTCTACCACGTATTAACCACTCCATTGATGATTTGCTAGAGATTTATAGACGCTTCAAGTGATGGGTTAGGGTTTTTGTGTATTGCTATTCAAGATTCACATACGATAAAAGACCAACCATCTGTAATGTGTTTAATACGAATTGATTAAAATATTTTTGTAATATCATGTGAATAACACACTCTACAAATTTTCATTAGAACATAACGGAGGCAAATAAAAGGGTTTAATTGAAATAATTAGAAAGTTTAGGGACTTAATTAACTCAAAAAAAAAGTTTAAAAACTTAATTAATACAAATATTATAATTTAAGAATCAATTTACTCCCACTTTTATAATAATCTCTCTCTAGTCTTGTTTTGGTTTTTATTTTTCTCTTAAATTCATACCCTCGGATATGAGCCACGTCATCATTCCGGACAAAGATCAACAATAGCGAGTTCCACAGTTAGCTAACCGTGGCAGAAAAATCTGCGTCAACCACCACCTTGCGCCAAACTCGAACATTCTCTCTCTTCCTTCAAAATCGTATAATTTTCAAAACCCTAGAGTCGAGGGATTGCAACCACAATAGAGAGATGATGATGCAGCCTCCCGGTGTCTTCTCCGACGTATCGGTGATTCTTCCGTTCACCTGTGGTTATAGGTCACCGGAAGTCAGGAATTTCCACATATTCTCCGATTCCAAGCCCCTCTTTCCTTCCGGATTCTTCAGAGTAGTAAGCTTCTAATTTCTTTGCTTCACTATATTCATGTGGGGCCCTGGATTTTGAGCGTCTGTTTTGTTGCTGTCTCATTAGTAGAAGAATTTAAAACAACTCCATTTTGAATCCTTTTTTTGAGATTTCAATCTTTGTGTTGATTTATGTACAAACTAATTTTTTTTCTCAATGTAAATTTACTAACCTCCCATCCTGCCTGAGGAGAGTTCTTAGAGATGAGCTGATGAGGAAAGGGTTGGGATTGGTTAAACTCAGTTCATTGTATTGGAATCTGTTATTAGTAATGAAATATTTTATGTAAATTTTCAACTTTTTTTTTATTCATGTTGTATGTTGTGTATCTGTTTTGCAAGTAGATTATCCACACTCTACAACTAATATTTGGTACTGTTCTATAATTTGATGCTCAATGAATAATCATTTGATTTGAGCCATCTGATTTAGTTACCAATAGTTTTGTAATAACCCCAAAGGATAGATACTATGGCCAAGAGCTTGCTTCAGAAATATTGATAGTCTGTGGTTGTGTCTCCCCCTCGCCTGGCTCGGCCTGCGTCATGTACCCAGGGAACAAGTTGGATGTTCTAAGACGTCCCGACACACCTGGACAAGAAAACCATGATTTTGTTATGCTGTGATTGCTTTCCATGAAAATGTAGCAGGGAGAAAAAATTAAAATTTTGAATTTTCGTTTGTTCCTAAGTTAAACCTTTTTTGTAGGTAATACAAATAGAATCATTTGCAAAGTTAAGATGAGTGTTTTATTTAAAAAAAAAGAGCAGGAAAAATATATATCTACCATATCAATGAAAAGGATTATTTCTTCAGAGTGTTGGAGTAAACCCCACAACATATTGTGTTGAACGTATATCCATACTATATCAATTTTGATGTAGAAAATCACTAATATTGAATTCTTTTTTGGATATTGCTGTATTGCTTTTCTACAAGTTTAGTCATACACTTTTATGAATCCTAGATTCTAAATGTTATTATTTGATTCTTTTCAGTGTGTAGTTTTTCTATTTACTGGCTTATATTTTTCTCACAATCTCCTTGTTGTTATAGAGCTGTCCTTCATTTTCTGTTCGGAATCTAGGAATCGGATCAGATAAGTATCGAGCAAGAAGCTTAATGGTGAGAGCAGCAGGAACTTCGGATGGTGAATTAGTTCCAGTTGCTCCTCTTGAGTTTGAGTCCCCAGTTGGGCAGCTGTTAGTGCAGATACTGCAAAACCATCCACACCTGCTCCCTGCTGCCATTGATCAGCAACTTGAGAACCTTCAGAATGATAGAGATGCCCAAGGAGAAGAAACTCCATCTTCATCCCAAGATCTCCTGTATAAGTAAGTAATTGTTTATCTGATTCGCCGCCCAGTTCAGTAGCTTTTTTTTTTTTGATAAACAGTTCAGTAGTTCAGCAGGGATCCTGTATTTTATAATCCGATGGAGTGATGTCAATTGTGGACCACATTCCTTACTGTTGCATAAGGGCTTCGATCCCAAAAATAAGCGCAATACTGGTTCAGGTGTTTAATGATAGTTTGAAATGAAACAGTAAGACTCTTTGGCCGCTTAGATGAATACGATAAGGTTTGGTACAACAGAATTGGAACCAGTAGACTTCTGGCTATTGATTCCTTACGTAGGTTTGTGGTAACTACGTAAGTTAAAGTACTACGTGGAATGATCAATCTTTTTTTCCCCCCAAGGATATCGATTATTGGAAAGGTCCACAATTTTGTCAAATAAATAGCTTTTTATCTATGGCTTGATGGAATCATGACATACTACAAATCCTTGGTATTTTCCTTTTTTCAAGTTAAAAATTTGATCCTAGATAAACCTTTCATAAGCTGGAGCAGCCCATATCTTATCATAATCAAATAGCTTTTTATCTAGACCCATCTCTTATCATACTCAGTCTTGTCTTTGCTTCATATGTTTTTAGAAAGTTGGATCTTTGAAAGGCTGTTAACCAACCATTTCCTGTAAAAGTTTAAGTTGTTACGTAGGGTATGAAATATCTCTTAATAATTAGGGTGGTAGCGAGATTCAAACACAGGACTTTCTGCTCTGATACTATGTCAACCAATCATATACTCGAAAATTTTAAGCAGTTAGAATACTTAACAAAAACAAAGGCTGGTGGTGGTAAGCAATAGACTTATGACATAAAATTTTGGATTCTGATGAGCTGGTTTGTCCCAAATTTAATGTGGTATAAAAAGTTCACTAAAAATAATGTCAAAGCTAAAGGTCACACCCAATCCACCTTTCCCAACACCACCTTGGTTTTTAATAGGGACTTAACTGGTTAAATGTTTGTCGGCTTTTTCATACAAAGGTTAGTGAAATACTTACCCCCCCCCCCCCCAAAAAAAAAAAAAAATTGGAGCAGCACTGACCACCTATTCATCTAGGAGAATGAGTCAGTTGATTCTTGAGTAGATTTTTCCGGTTTATAAATGGAAAGAGCACTAACCTATACAAAAAAAATGATGCTGTAATGACACACATTCCAATTTTCAATCCATCCACCCACACCTTTTTAATTGACAAGTGAAAGCCAGCAAGCTACAAGGAGGGCCTCTGATCTGTTTCATTATAACTGTCCGTGGAGTTGTTAGTGCTGAACAAGGGGAGTTAATTGGGCTTACTTCACCAACTTCCAGAGGGATGGGTGTACATAGGATGCATGCCTCGTAGTTCCCTACAGTTTGTAAGACTTCTCTTCTTTCTCGGACAGTTTCATGTGGTCTTACATATTTGTCCATCTCATCAATTTATGAATGATGATTTTAAGATCAACGCTGGAAACTTATTTATGCCTTGGTTCTTCACATGTAGGATTCCTTATATATAGGCAGTATTTTATAACCTCACTTGTTTCCAACATTTTCTAAAAAAGATTAAATGCTGTTGACATGACCAATATAACAGAGGCAGTTTTTCAGGAGAATTGCTGAAGTGAAACAGAAGGAAAGGCGAAAGGCGTTAGAAGAGATAATATACTGCTTGGTTGTACAGAAATTTGTAGACAACGACATTTCATTGATCCCAAAGATATCACCAAGCTCAGATCCTACTGGAAGGGTTGACATTTGGCCGAATCAGGAACAGAAACTAGTATCTGTTCATTCTACTGAAGCATTGGAAATGATACAGAGCCACTTAACCCTTGTTCTTGGGGAGCGGGTAGTTGGACCCCTGGACACCATTGTTCAAATCAGCAAAATAAAACTCGGAAAGCTGTACGCTGCTTCAATTATGTATGGATATTTCCTTAAAAGAGTTGATGAGAGATATCAACTTGAGAGATCCATGAACATCCTTCCTGAGGGATTCAAAGAAGATCGGGTAAGTTTTAAAGAGCCAGCACCAGAAAAGCAGCTTTGGGACCCAGATTCATTAATAAGGGTCCTGCCTGATGATGCTGATGGGGGAGGTTTAATGGATTCTGGAGAGGAAAAATCATATAGGCTGAGATCATATGTTATGTACTTGGATGCTGAGACACTTCAAAGATATGCGACCATAAGATCTAAAGAAGCAATTTCTTTGATTGAGAAGCAGACACAAGCATTGTGTGGAAGGCCTGATATTAGGATTGCAGGAAATGGTTCCCTCGAGGCATCTAATGATGAAGTGGTTGCTGTTACATTCTCCGGATTGACAATGCTGGTATTGGAGGCAGTTGCCTTTGGATCATTTTTATGGGATGCAGAAGGCTATGTTGAATCCAAGTATCACTTCTTCAAAATCTAGAGGTAGTGCTTCTTTTTGTTCTGCTTTCTTTTGTTTTATCTTCCTATTCATATAAATGAATAATGCCCTTTTGTAGCTTTGTAACCTGTACTGATAAGGAAACCCGCTAGTCGGCATCTTGTTATGTAAAGCAGTAACTCGTTTATCCAACACTTTTTACATGCATAGAGTACATTCAAACTGGAAATCAAACTTTGTCGACATTTCATGCCTCCCCCATTAGAAGGCCTTTTATTTGCTGACATCCAAAATTAGTTGCACTCCACATGCATGCACACTTTGAGTTATAGTCTGAAGTTGGAGTTTCTGAAGTCATTTTATGAGGCATTTATGATTCGGTTGAGAATTTTGCATGAAACTTATGTCATTTCTGAAGACATTTTAGAGACCCAGGGAGCTGTGAGTCATAATCACCAGCAAACGAGAAACATCCAAAATTTAATCCTTCTTGAATTGTTGTCGTAAACAAGCCAATTATTCTCATTTGATTTCCAAAATTTAATGGATTCTTGACTTGTCACTTATTTTATTTTTCTTCACATACTTGGAGCTAAACGTTTCTACAGTTATTCCTGTTAAAAGAGAGCAGGCGAGTGGTCCCACAGAACCTCTTATTAGGTGCAGCAGCTTGGAGCATCATAGGCCCTTTTGAAGTAATGTTGGGTTTTTTGCCTTTTGGCCTTGGGTTGTCCAATATTCGTGTTTTTCTCCTTCCCCACTTTGTCATTAGTAACAGAGGAGCTTGAAAGAACCTAGTCACACGGGATGACCAGTATTGTGCCATGGAGAGAGCAATGAGTGAGTTACAAAACGCAAACCTAGCAATTAGTTCGGCCAGCCCTGGATTGAATAGATTACTCATTAGATTGAATGAAGAGAAGCAGCTTGGAGGAACACTAGTCACTGACGGTGGCTGGCATTATGCAATGAAGATACAAATTGGTTACTAAGAATCTGCGAACCTAGAAACCAGTGTAGCCACTGTGTGCACAGAAGATTCAAAAACTACCCTTAGCTCTTCAAAATGCTTTCATAAAGCCATCATTGGGTATATAGCTCCTACAAATATTTCATCTCACACTAGTTGAAAATTTTCACCTTCTTGTGGACCGTGTATGGCGACCTTGTCTAAGTCATATGCTCAATCTTTCTCTTTGCTAATGCATGATGTCTAATGTATTGCTATGTTTAGTTTAGTGATGTAGGCACTGAATTGGTTTTTGTGGTCATTTGATGAGTCATTGGCCTTTGGCTTTTATGGTGTCATGCCAATGTGTCTTTGAATCACGTTATAGGATCCAAGAGACCTTTATGACAAAGTGAGTTGAAGAGGAAACTATCTTCTTTTGCCGAGCAATTGTGGACAAATATCAGGTGATATGTGACCTCAAGGTTAAACTTTCTTGTTTATTTCTTTCGGTTCTGCTCACTAGGATGAAATGGCATGATGAAGTGACCTGGGTAGAGTTGCTAATGGATCATGTCGTCTCAAAATTCACTATGAATATTTCAAATGCAAGAGTGTGCAAAATGTCTGATTGGGCCAATTTTATTACTCTTCAAAGCTGAAGGTTCAGCGTTCGATTTTTTTTTAAGGAGGGGAAGGGGGACCATATACGCCTGAGAAGATTAATCGGGTATTCTCAAAAACTTGCATATTTTTCGTTTAGTTTGATCTTAGGACATGGTGAAGTACTTAAGTGAAAGACATAGTCCGTCATTATCTAGTGATTTTAGGCTAACTAATAAGAGCATTTACCTCGTTTTGTCCACGTAGTTACAATTCTTTACGAGGACAATGCCTTGATTTCACTTATACTTGTTTATATTAATGTTTTATTTATATTAGTATGATGGAAACATATATAATTGAAAATATAAGAGACGAATAATCATCATATTTGATTAAGAAGGAAAAGAGACCCATCATAATCTAGTCTCGTAACATTTTCATCCAAGATAGACATAAACAAAAAAAAATTCATTCCCCCAATTTACTTAAATGACGCAGCTTAATTACGAAAGTAATTATTTCTTAATCTAAAGAGTTTTTTTTTCGTTAAAGGCATCGAATTAAAAGTAAATATTATTATCATCATCATATGCGGACAATAAAAACTTTCGTCTTTGAATAATCTCATCATGCTATTGACATATTCGACATACTTGACCACCCGAACTAACTCATGATAGTTAATGATGAGTTTAATTCCTAACCTTACTCTCATTTAAGATGTCAATTCATACATCACATAAACACATGACATCTATCTATGTACATGCCATGCAATGTNGTTACGAGGACAATGCCTTGCTTTCACTTATACTTGTTTATATTAATGTTTTATTTATATTAGTATGATGGAAACATATATAATTGAAAATATAAGAGACGAATAATCATCATATTTGATTAACAAGGAAAAGAGACCCATCATAATCTAGTCTCGTAACATTTTCATCCAAGATAGACATAAACAAAAAAAAATTCATTCCCCCAATTTACTTAAATGACGCAGCTTAATTACAAAAGTAATTATTTCTTAATCTAAAGAGTAGTTTTTTTTTCGTTAAAGGCATCGAATTAAAAGTAAACATTATTATCATCATCATCATATGCGGACAATAAAAACTTTCGTCTTTGAATAATCTCATCATGCTATTGACATATTCGACATACTTGACCACCCGAACTAACTCATGATAGTTAATGATGAGTTTAATTCCTAACCTTACTCTCATTTAAGATGTCAATTCATACATCACATAAACACATGACATCTATCTATGTACATGCCATGCAATGTCAAGAGGCAAAGGAGTTTAGTACCAGCGCCGCTTTAAACACGCCGCCGTTAGTCTCGGACGCGGCTTTTCCACTTCCTCTACACAATTAAGAACCGTCTCTCTCAATCAACGCCTCTTCTTTTGCTTCTTTTTTTCATGGACCAGAATACCCTCCCACAATTATGAACCGACTCTCCATGTGCATGGTTTTATGGATGATTTTGACTATTGGAAGTCTGTATTTAATTATCAGTAAAAAAAAAAAAGTTAATAGCACTTTTTCCTTTGGTGCAACGGGTAGAAGTAATTGGATTAATTCATGCGCACTTTGATTAATCTCCTTCTCAATTCGATCAAATGCAGGTTATTCATGTTGGGATTATGATATTCATGAGAGATAAGTCTCTCATGGCCTAGTCCAAAGTAATTACTAAGATTCGAATTCATGATATTTGGGTTTACAACTCATTTATGTTGCCATTTGAGCTATCCTTTAGGATTGTTTAATAACATTTTTGGTTTTTAAAGTATGTCCGTTTCATCAGTTTGGTTGTCAATGTATTAGTGTTATGAATTTGATCCCTAAAATTTTTAATTTATATTTAAATGGTCCCTACACAAACGAGTTATCAGTTTTTAACGAAAAATATTACATATCATTCTTTCAGACGGTATTACGAGATTAATACATGATCATTTTTGTCAAAAATTTAATGGCCCATTTGTATATGAATCATTTAAACACGAATTATATACTTTAAGAACTAAATTAACAAATATATATATTTTAGAGACTAAAATTTTTATTAATCCTAAAAATACGTGATTGAATCGATTAATATCAGAGCATTTTGATTACTCCTCAAAAAATTGAGGTGATTGGTCAAAACTATTTGTAGTCCTTGGGACAACATTTNACCCTCCCACAATTATGAACCGACTCTCCATGTGCATGGTTTTATGGATGATTTTGAGTATTGGAAGTCTGTATTTAATTATCAGTAAAAAAAAAAGTTAATAGCACTTTTTCCTTTGGTGCAACAGGTGGTAGAAGTATTTGGATTAATTCATGCGCACTTTGATTAATCTCTTTCTCTTTCTCAACCCTAATTGGTAGAAGTATTAGGGTTGTTTAATAACATTTTTGGTTTTTAAAGTATGTCTGTTACATCAGTATTAATTTTATGAATTTGATCCGTAAAATTTTTAATTTGTATTTAAATGGTCCCTACACAAACGAGTTATCAGTTTTTAACGAAAAAGATTACATATCATTCTTTTAGACCGTATTACGAGATTAATACATGATTATTTTTGTCAAAAATTTAATGACCCATTTGTATATGAATCATTTAAACACGAATTATATACTTTAGGAACTAAATTAATAAATATATATATTTTAGAGACTAAAATTTTTATTAATCCTAAAAATACGTGATTGAATTGATTAATATCAGAGCATTTTGATTACTCCTCAAAAAATTGAGGTGATTGGTCAAAACTATTTGTAGTCCTTGGGACAACATTTCCCCAAAAAAAGTATGAAAAAAAAAAACCAATCATTGGTTGGGAAGTTACTAATCGACAATGGCTTACTTTTTTGTACACGATGAATGCACCCGACTCATTAGATTATCGAGTGAATCTCTCTCTACATGAACTCTAAGGTAGAACCCTGTGAATTCCAAGGTAGAACATATAATCTGATTCTGATCAAATGAATCTAGTTACTAATGCTCCATGAAGTCATGATGTCCTTAACCTGAAGATAGCTTCAAGGAATAACTTGTAAAATTATACCCCTTAAATTTGAATGTAGATAATTTTTTGGGGTTAAAGTATGAAGAATTTATTCCCATAAATATCCTAGTTCAAGCACATATAGTCTCTTTTTGACCAAATTGTTGAAGGGATTAATCGAGAAACGTAAAAATTAATCCGAATATCCCCCCTAACCATTGAACCCAAAAAAAAAAAAAAAAGTTAGTTTTTGGTTTTTTTTTTTTAATAATGAGAAACTTTTCCAAGACATGCTCATAGTTGATTCACCCATACAAAGTATGCTCTGGGCACCTATGATCTGAATAAACACAAATATTATGGCCATGTTAAGAGTACCCTTGTCCTAATATAACAAAGGACCAAGGGTATTGCGGTACATTTATAGTATTGAAAACCAAATCAGAATAAGACTCTCTCTCTCTCTCTCTCTCTAAATTTTATTTCATATGTTTTAATTTATTTGATGGTGTATGTATGACTCATCAAGTAAATTAGAAAGGAGGAGAGAAAGGAGGAGAGNTCTCTCTCTGTCTCTAAATTTTATTTCATATGTTTTAATTTATTTGATGGTGTATGTATGACTCATCAAGTAAATTAGAAAGGAGAAGCATAATGAAAAGGAGAACAAAATATGGATCGCTTAGGTTCCTCTCTCCCACAAACCGTATCACCCATCTCTCTCCTCTTCCTGCCTCTTCTCCTATTCATCATCACCACCACCAAGATCACAACAGCCTTTAACCTCTCAACCATCACCTTCGAACAAGGCTATTCCCCTCTCTTTAGCGACTTCAATATCAAGCGATCCCCTGATGACAAGAACGTCCGTCTCCTCCTCAACCGCTTCTCCGGTAACCCATCTCTCTCTCTCTCTCTCTCTCTCTCTCCCCCCCATATATAATATATGTATATGTTTATATTGGCCATATTCAATTCTGGGTTTTCATGGTTACATTGTTTCTCAGGCTCTGGTTTTATTTCTTCTAGTTATTACCACTATGGCTTCTTCAGCGCAAAAATAAAGTTGCCATCGGATAACACTGCTGGTATCGTTGTTGCATTTTATGTGAGTAATGACTGCTTAATTTATCCATTCTGATGCATATACATGTATGCAATATGCATGCATATTTATTAATTTTTAGATNTTGCATTTTATGTGAGTAATGACTGCTTAATTTATCCATTCTGATGCATATACATGTCTGCAATATGCATGCATATTTATTAATTTTTAGATTATAAGCCAGTCGTAAATTATATATATATATATGTGTGTGTGTGTGTGTACAAAGACAACCTATATGAACACTGTATTTGTAGTTCATGCTGAATTTATATATATATCCTTTTTATGATGAAAGGTTAATGTCAAGGTTGATCAACATCATTTTTTTTAGCTGAAATAAGGTTAACCAAAGTACCCTTTTTCTTACATTTCGAATCCTCCAATGCAATAATCATATTATTTATAATTTATGAAAAATATTACCTCACCAACATTTCATGCATGTACAGTAGTCGTTAAAAACAATTTCTTTTCATTATTTATCGTTTATGTTTGCTAGTCAATTGTTTTTAATCCCACAAAGAGTAATGTTGAGTTTTTTTTGTCTATATACATACATTATGTTTGTAGACATCGAATGTTGATATATTTGAGAAGAACCACGATGAACTCGACATCGAGTTCTTAGGTAACATTAAAGGGAAGCCATGGAGGTTCCAGACCAACATGTATGGCAATGGAAGCTTATCCCATGGGAGGGAAGAGAGATATCGACTGTGGTTTGACCCGAGCAAGGAGTTTCATCGGTACAGCATTCTTTGGACCCCCAACAACATCGTGTAAGCATATCATATGATTGCATTTTCATTTTTTCTTTTTCTGGGAAAATTTAGTACCTGTGAATGTTTGAGCCTAAACGTGGTGTGCTTAACCACTTTTTTGTGAATCCACTTTTTGACCTAACAAGTAAAGAACAAGAGACAGAGAGAGAGAGAGAGAGAGAAAAGCATCGCTATATATATCAGTGTGGTGGAAGTGTCCCCATGGAAAGTGGGGAATAGTAATAAAATATTAGTAAATATCAAAATTTTGTTTTTAAAATTATTTTTTAAAAATATTAGTCAAAATAGAGCAAAGTATCATAAAACATTTCGAATTAATTGTGCAAATACATTGAAACATTACAAAACACCCTCGAAATATTATAATAAACTTCGAGGTATTAGAATTTCAATTTTATCGCTGATTTGTTTCGTTCTCCTTAAATACGAAAACATTTTAGACGTTTTGAAACAAAATTTTTTCCTTTATTCGAACTTCATTAATTTATGTTTGTTAGAAGTTTTCTTGGCAGCCAAGAGAGAGAGAGAGAGAGAGAGAGAGTATTAGGTGAATTTTAACATTGAGAAATGATATGTAGACAAAAAAATATTGGCACGTTTTACTGACTCCCTCTATCACAATTTATGAATAGGTTAGAATCCATAATTAAATCAATAACAGTAATTTTGAGAGTTAGCAAATGTTGTCGATATTTTTTGTCCAAGTGAAATTGCTGACGAAGATGGAAATGAAATGAACATAGCTAGGAATGAAATCAAATGTACATTATTATTTCAATGTTTGATAACAACTAGGATTAAGTATTGGAATAGAATTNTAGTAAATATCAAAATTTTGTTTTTAAAATTATTTTTTAAAAATATTAGTCAAAATAGAGCAAAGTATCGTAAAACATTCCGAATTAATTGTGCAAATACATTGAAACATTACAAAACACCCTCGAAATATTATAATAAACTTCGAAGTATTAGAATTTTAATTTTATCGTTGATTTGTTTCGTTCTCCTTAAATACGAAAACATTTCAGACGTTTTGAAACAAAATTTTTTCCTTTATTCGAACTTCGTTAATTTATGTTTGTTAGAAGTTTTCTTGGCGGCCAAGAGAGAGAGAGAGAGAGAGAGAGAGAGAGAGAGTATTAGGTGAATTTTAACATTGAGAAATGATATGTAGACAAAAAAATATTGGCACATTTTACTGACTCCCTCTATCACAATTTATGAATAGGTTAGAATCCATAATTAAATCAATAACAGTAATTTTGAGAGTTAGCAAATGTTGTCGATATTTTTTGTCCAAGTGAAATTGCTGACGAAGATGGAAATGAAATGAACATAGCTGGGAATGAAATCAAATGTACATTATTATTTCAATGTTTGATAACAACTAGGATTAAGTATTGGAAAAAAATTCACTCAAATATTTAGATAATAATTCCTAAAATCGACTGCGACCCCAAACTCGAAACCTAATCTAGGACCCGGACTCTCGGCCCTAGGTGGAGGTCATGCGGTGTGGTGATGGTGGTAGTTGGGAGTGAAAAATAACAAATTCTACATAAGTGAGATTAGACATTCCATGAATTTTTAGAACTACATACCAAACATTTGAATGAGCATTATTATCAAGTAATAATGGTCATTTCATTCTCATGCTTCACTACCACCTACCAAATTAATACNTATCACAATTTATGAATAGGTTAGAATCCATAATTAAATCAATAACAGTAATTTTGAGAGTTAGCAAATGTTGTCAATATTTTTTGTCCAAGTGAAATTGCTGACGAAGATGGAAATGAAATGAACATAGCTGGGAATGAAATCAAATGTACATTATTATTTCAATGTTTGATAACAACTAGGATTAAGTATTGGAAAAAAATTCACTCAAATATTTAGATAATAATTCCTAAAATCGACTGCGACCCCAAACTCGAAACCTAATCTAGGACCCGGACTCTCGGCCCTAGGTGGAGGTCATGCGGTGTGGTGATGGTGGTAGTTGGGAGTGAAAAATAACAAATTCTACATAAGTGAGATTAGACATTCCATGAATTTTTAGAACTACATACCAAACATTTGAATGAGCATTATTATCAAGTAATAATGGTCATTTCATTCTCATGCTTCACTACCACCTACCAAATTAATACACAGTATTACGTGCTCTCCTCTTGTACTCTATTGATTTTGAGTTCAATGTTGTAAAATGACATCAGAGTTAAGTTTTAGGACCCTCTCTCTCTCTCTCTCTCTCTCAATTGCTGGGGTTATTCAAACAAACGTTAGTCCCGGGTGGACTAACACTTATATTCCTTATGTATATTATCAGATTTTATGTTGATGATGTTCCTATAAGAGAGGTGGCGCGTAGCCAAGCAATGGGCGGCGATTACCCCTCAAAGCCAATGTCCCTCTACGCCACCATATGGGACGCCTCCACCTGGGCCACCAACGGCGGCAAAGACAAAGTAGACTACAAGTTCGAACCATTCGCATCGGAGTTCGGAGACCTCGTCCTCGAAGGTTGTGCGGTTGATCCAATTGAGCAAGTTCCCTCCACCAACTGCACCGATAGGACGGCCAAACTGGTGGCGGCAGAGTACGCCGCCATCACACCAGAGCAACGCAAGGCCATGCGGTGGTTCCGGGAAAAGTACATGTATTATTCTCACTGCTACGATAGCCTAAGGTATGCGGTGCCACTGCCGGAGTGTGTAGTAATCCCATCGGAGCAAGAGCTGTTCAAGGACTCCGGGAGACTCAAAGCAGCTCAGAAAATCAAATTTGGTGGCAGCCACCACAAGCATCGCCGCAGTGGAAGCTCAAGGCGGAAGAGCCGCGCCAAAGTTGCTTCGGGTTCTAACCAGCAGGCTGCTGTGTGATGTACAAAATGATATGTAATCTGAGATGTTAGTACTGTCCAATGGACACGAGAGATGGATACAAAACAGTATGAACAAATATACCAAAAAACCTAAAACAAAAAAGTACTGATAAAGGGATGATAAGATATTAAACGTGTGTGCGCCATAATTATTATTGAGGTAGACAATGTGTGAAAGAATCGGCACAAACCCGACATGATAATCCTTTATTATTTGCCACCCATTCTATGTTTTGACCACTAGTTTAACCAACAAGCTGACATACAACATCAACATGAGTAAACTGAATATGCAGGAATGAATAACTTGATAGGACTCACCATTATTATGCCAATATTTCGAAGAGATTGAGCAAAAAATTGAAAACTTTAAAAACTAAGACCAGCACAAAATAAACAAAAGAATCAGCTTTAATTTATACTTTCCCAAAGCATCTGAATTACAAAGAATGTAACACATTCTGCTATAGGAAATGTAAGAGAATGATAGTGAAGCCCTATCCAATTCGAGCCCTTCTTCATTTTTCTAGCAAGTTGCAGGTGAAAAACAAGTTGTGCAAAGTATATGACTGATCAAGAATGAAATTACCAGTGACTAGAGCTTGAGAAATCAAGGGAACTGGAAAGACCCTCCAATTCCACTACTACCAGCTGGTGGGTTGATCGCAACCCAAAGGAGGGAAATAGTAATAGCAATAAGTCCTGACCAAACGAATACAATTGTTGGTGTCCTTCCTCGCCTCCCCATAAGCCCTTTTGCGAAGGGATAGAGATGAGCAAGGACCCAGAAGCTGAAGAACACCCCTCCTAACAAGCGGCTCCACTGTGGGATTGTGCTATATATTGTTCGGCTAACACCAACGGCTATCGCAATCAAGTTGGTTAAGATGATTGTAATTGGTGGTATCATCAGGGATGTCCATTTGATAAGATAAAGATCAGCAAATTCATCATCAACATCATCACCAGCAGATTTGGATGTCAAAGTAAATGAGATCTCAACCCCAGCGATCACCTTTAGTAGCCCCTGGAGCACAGCAGCAAGATGGGCGCTTGTGCCTCCAATCAACCAAAATTGTTCATTCCGCCACCAATCTTCCAATGCGATGCCAGACCACTTGATCTCAAGGACAGCAAGCGCGCAAAGGGTCAAGGTGATAACCAGAAGGTAAGTGNCCAATCTTCCAATGCGATGCCAGACCACTTGATCTCAAGGACAGCAAGCGCGCAAAGAGTCAAGGTGATGACCAGAAGGTAAGTAAGGAAGGTGACATTGAGAGTCTGGACAATGAACTGGCCAGAGAAGAGAGAAAGTGCTGGAAGGAAGCAGTAGACAATGAGGAAAACTGAAGTGAAGGGGTAGATACCAACATTGAGGTAGGCAATTCTCTGCAAAATTTTCATCTTAGGACCAGCCAGAAGAGCATTATTGCGAGAAAAGAATATCTCAACAGAACCTGTAGCCCAACGAAGGACCTGGTGGAGCCGATCAGTCAGATTGATTGGCGCAGTCCCACGAAAAGCATCCCTCTTGGTCACACAATAAATTGATCTCCATCCCCGATTGTGCATCCTGTATCCTGTCACCACATCTTCGGTTACTGAACCATAAATCCATCCAACTCGACCGCCCCATTCAGTTTTATCTTCATACCAACACGAGATGACACTGATTGCTTCAGCAACAGCAGATGCATCAAGAAGCTCCCTAGGAATGGTAAGAGCACCAGGAGGTCTTCCATGCCTCACAGAGGGGTGATCAGCAAGTGATCGGCCTTGAAATTCGGCCACTGGGATGGAATCAACTAGGAGACTTGAATTTCCAAACTTCTTAGGAAACAGAGAAAGGTTCATTTCCTCGTCATCAGAATCTCCCATTCTAAGCGATCTGTTCTCTGCAGGGGCAGAAGCAACAGTTCTGCGATGAGGAAAACAACAGCTGCAGCAACCAGGATGGTATTCTTTTGATCGAGGTGGGTCAAAACCATAAAGGGCCATCCTACGAAATAGACATCCAGTACCAACATAGACTGGACCTTGAAGCCCATCAAGGGCACGCATGTTGACATCAAAGAAAACTGTGTTGTTATTTGCATAGCGATCAGATGGATCAATTCCCTCAAACCTCTGAGGAAACTGGACATAACATATGCGATCCCCACCACGATCCAACATAAAACACATGCCTTCCCTTATTGCCTCAGAGTTGTAAATGTAGTGGTCACAGTCAAGGTTAAGAATGAAGGGGCCATTGGACATGATGGCTGAGGCTCGAACCAAGGCATTCATGGCCCCAGCCTTCTTGTTGTGATCATAGCCAGGGCGCTTTTCACGAGATACATAGACCAACATTGGAAGCCTTATGTCTACTTCTGTTAGATCAATAGCATTTGTGTCTGCAACTGTGCCACGCAGTGGTTCATCACTAGGAGGTTTCAACATCACCTGCAGTTTACAAAGCCATCTCATCGGTCAAATATCTCAACAATTGAAAAAAAAAAAAAAAAAGATAGTAACCTAGATTAGCGTTTGCATCCACAAGCAGCATTGTGTGAGGAGCTAAATGTACCTCAAAGGATGAGAAAATCAACACAAGGGGATTTATTTCGCACCAGTACGGTACAACTGCAAATCCATNGTAACCTAGATTAGCGTTTGCATCCACAAGCAGCATTGTGTGAGGAGCTAAATGTACTTCAAAGGATGAGAAAATCAACACAAGGGGATTTATTTCGCACCAGTACGGTACAACTGCAAATCCATATGCGTGTAGAATAGTACAACAAATTTGTTTTGTTAGGCGAGCACAACAGGTTAATGTGATCTTTTAACTAGACTAACACAAGATCAACTAGGTGAGGCTTGACAATGCTAAGGATAGTAGGCCAACTACCAGGTCAGGTCACGATACTGAAATGTATTCTGAAACAATAAATATATCACGGAAGACGACGAATCTCACTTAATCTCGGTTTAGGGGAAAAAAGACAAGACATTTACTCTGATACATACACTAATAGTTCAAGAAGTTTTAAGTGCACAACTGGAATCAAATATTATTCATGATAATTTTATCAAGAAAAAGGGTCTCAATTCTTAAACATTACCATGCAATAGAAATGGTAAGACACGATGTGGAATTATATCTCATACCATTTGGGCTAGATACGGTTTCACATCTGGTGCAATACCTATAATAGATTATTATAATATAATTCAAAGTTCAATTAGGTCCTTGATAGAGCAAACATAATCAAAATTCAACCCCTGCTATCTGGTAAAAATGTCTTGCGACGTGAATTAAAGGAAACACTGATCTTACATAACAGTTCAATTACATAAATGGTGAATGAAACAAGCCTATGAAAGNCCTGCTATCTGGTAAAAATGTCTTGCGACGTGAATTAAAGGAAACACTGATCTTACACAACAGTTCAATTACATAAATGGTGAATGAAACAAGCCTATGAAAGGGAAAATAGCGAAAATACTCTAATGAAAGGATTGAAAATCATTGTGAAACAAGCTAAAAGTATTTGACTTCAGATCATAATTGATACATCTAATGCCGCAATCAATGGTAGTGTAATCCAAAGGATTACCTGTATAATTCCTGCATGATCACCCCTAGAGTGCTCGGGAGCTGGAACCATCCAAGTTCCAGGCCAATGTGTTCCATCAGCCATCCAGGTGACTTTAGAAATCTTCACAGGTTCCAATAATTCCTCCCCAGCATTCTTCCTTTGAAGCTTCATGGCTTTGATTTCCTCTCGAGCATTATAGGCATCAGAACGACGCCGAATTGAATCAGGAAGGCCATTGATACGAACCTTAAATTCATCATACTCACGCTTGACCCGTCTACGGTCCCTGACAAAATCTGGACGGACCTTATTCTTATAAGGATCTCTCTTCAAACTGAAGTAAGATTCTGGGTTCCTTGGCTCAATATCATGTTTTCGGCAAAATGGGACCCACAGGTTGGCGTAACTTGCAGCTTCTGCCATGGCCTCAAAGGTTAGAAGGGCACCTCCATCGTCTGACACATAGCAAGAAAGTTTTTGCACAGGGTAATCGGCTGCCAGAATTGACAGAATGGTGTTTGCCATAACAAGAGGTGGCTCTTTCTCTGGATCAGCAGTAGAAACAAAGATGTCTATGCCAGGAAGATCAGATTTTCCAGAGGGGTTGTGGGGACCAGGTGTCTCAAATTTTTCTTTCAAGACATCAAGGTCAGTAGCACGATTAACAGGGCAGAACTTGGGAAGCTGGTCAAGTAACCACGAGAAGGCAAACCAAATCTCACAGACAATTGACATTAACCAGAGCCATCTTGCATCATTATTTGGGTGACTGATCCTCCAAGCAAGAAATAACCCGAGAACAACCATACGAACGAAAATAAGAAGCCTGCATACATGGTGCAGCACATCAATGAATAAAGTTTCTGATCGGATAAATAATACGTGTCAAATCACAGGGTTTAAAATATGTAGAAGAATATAACTTCCAATCTACGATTTTATACACCAACTATACACAAGATCACGACAGCGAAGGTGAAAACATAATTACAATGGGAAAAGAAGAATGAAAAACAATGCATGGCAGACACATACTTCAGAATGCAATAAGAATACTGGAACTTGTCAAACATGGCTAGTCAAGTGCGTTACCAGCACAGATAAGAAACCACATGTTTAGTAATAATTAAAGCAAAACTCTCAGATTTGAAACTTAGGCGAGATTAATTTTAGAGTCATAGCTAGTGAGCATCATGGGAACTAGTAGAAATAGAATATCAACTATGTCAAAGAACATAAAATATTATGGATTACATTACTAATTTCAAACTGCAAGTTAGCCCAATAACCTAAATGACGCACCATTATAGTGGAAGTAACAACCCTTTCATCTCTAAATACATTACCCACTATAGAATAACAGCCCCCCATTCCTTTCCCTGACTATACACTGTTTGAAGGTCGAATAGGCACAGCAAGATCATATTGGTACATACAAAAGTTGGTTAATCATTAACACCAACAGTTAGAAAATAAATAATCACACAAAGAATTGATATTCTCTTGGTAAGGTCACATAAAAGAATGTCGAAAGAAGAGGTATAAGAGTTTCTTTGAGGACAAAAGTGTGTTTTACTTTATTTTCAAGAACCATTTTAACCTACATGGTTTCATCTACAACAACAATCACAAGCAACAAATAAGACCCAATGGGGTGATGAAACATTGTTACATGACAGATGAATATGAGCATCATTAGACACTGTTGCCATAACAGACAGATTATATTATGGAGTGGGAGTGGGACTGCAATGCTTATGGAAGTTTCCATGCCTTAAATTCAAAAGTTGTGTACATGNGGTGATGAAACATTGTTACATGACAGATGAATATGAGCATCATTAGACACTGTTGCCTTAACAGACAGATTATATGATGGAGTGGGAGTGGGACTGCAATGCTTATGGAAGTTTCCATACCTTAAATTCAAAAGTTGTGTACATAAAGCAATAACAAAAAAAATGATTGCGAAAATGTGATTTTACCGATATGGACTGATAATAGCAGCGGGAATCTTCAATTTTCGAGTGAGTGGCCTCCATGGTTTGTTAAGAAGTTCACTAGGCCCGCCATCAACATTACTCTCATCACTAAGTCCTTCATCCTTTGGCCATATAGCATTCCCATACCCATAAGTCCCCTTCGTCTCAAACAACCATCGGTTGTGATCAAAATCCCCAGTCTGGCTCCTCATCAATTGTGACTGGTTTTTGATCAATGCCGACTTATTAGTGGACTTCATCAAAGACAACCTCCTCTCCATCTTTGACATCCCAAAGTTGGGTGGCAAAGGCAAAGGCAAAGGCCCTCCACTGTCGACCGCCTTCTCATCCAAATTCGTATTCTTATAAGGCTCTTTACAACCAGGGCAAATCCCATCACCGCTTTTCACAGCATCAGCATAACAGTCCCTACAAATCTTGAAATCACATTCACAAGGGAGAATATCCTCACCCCTCTCATCACTCATGACCTTCCCATCACAACCCGGTATTAAACAAGAAGATCCCTTTACACCAGCCATCTGGGGATGGCTAGTGTCTGAGTCAATGACCTTATCCATCAAATGAGCACGAGTTACACTGCTAAACCCACCAGTAAACAAAGAATTCGACACATATTGCTCTTCAAACCTCTGGGAAATGGAAGGATCCATTGGCTGGTTATCGGGTGTTGGCGGTACTTGCACCGTGTAGTTTGCAAATTCAATACTGTAGTTTTCATTGTCAAGATCGCCACTCGAATAGTTCACATATCGGCCCGAGGAGGACCTCCGAGCAAAAGCCACTGTGGAAGGACCTGAAGCTTTGCCCATATGCGGGTCTGGGGCTCTATATGATCTTGAAGCCATATTAGTAAAGCTTCACCAGAAAATTATAAATGTGTCACAAGAACCTGGAATTTCATAGAGAAAACAGAAACAGAGAAACACATCAGCATAGATTCAGATTAAAAAAAAAACTCAGGCAGAGTTCAGATATAATTCAAAATCTAATAGTCAAAATCTCACTCTCTTTCCCTCCCTCTCCCTCTCTCTGTTGATTTTGAACTTACAAATCATAATTCCAGCATAAACCTATACAGAATAAAGCAATTGCAGAAAAAAGTACCTAGAAGATCGAGACACAGAACTGATACGAATGGAGATCAGTGGAATTTAGAACAACATTCCAGAACCCAACATTACCAGACCCCCAAACAGAGCCAAAACCCGAGAAAGATTGCTGATTAATCAAACATCCAGAGCCTTCTTCACATAAACATCTAGTTACACAAATGTAGAACATGTATATATATATATACCCTCTAGTCGTCGCCCAAAAGATGTGATAATAATAAAATAAGAGACGAAACGGCTTCGAAGGACTGTAATAAACTTTCAAAAGCAGACTTTGTGTGTTCGTTATGCAGTAGAAACTACAACGGTAACAAAGCTTTCGCCTTCACAAAAAGTTGAAAAAGACCCAGTCCCACAAATTCAAAAATATTATCATTTTAATAATAATACTATGCGCTCTCTCTCTCTCTCTCTCTCAAATCTCTAACAAGCAGAGACTGAGATTGAGTCTAACGTTACAAACCTCAAACAACACCCAAAACTTTCTGAGACCTTTCAATGCCGCCGGCTCTCTCTATCACACTCTAACAAAGCACGGATTCCTACCAACACACAAACGCATATACAAACACACATATACATTTGAGTACAGACAGAGAGAGAGAGTGAACCGATCTGATTGTCATTGTATGGACCGGAAGCTATATAGACACAGTCAGAGATTTGTTCACTACAAAAATGAAGGAAGGAACGTTTGCTTTGCGAGCATTTGGAACGTTTTGTCGATCATTAGCGGAGCTGCTGAGATTTTTCGGACAACACTGTGAAAACGAACGTTGTACGGCACTCCTAGAAGAGGTTGCGAGAGACTAGACAAAGACAAGCATTTTGTTTCACGTGCTGTCGCTGATTTCTTCTCTTCACTTTGTGCGGAAGAATCTCCTGCCAGAGAGAGAGAGGGGATGGGGCTTCGAAAGGGCATTTCGGGAATTTACTACTGCCCTAACAATTTCTTCAATTAATACATCTCCCACTTTTGAAGGAGATTTATTTTTGGGATATTTACTAACAAATTCTTTTTTTTTCCCTGGGCTAATCTCAACATGCATCCAGAAAAATCACGCACATTTTAATCTGTACTTTTAAAGTTTAAAATTATTAATTTATACCTTGAAATATATAAATTCGTATCAATATACCCCTGAGGTTAACTCCATCTATTTTTCCGTTAAAAAAGTTTGGACTAATTATAAATTATACCCTTCAAAATTTAAATATTTCATATTTATAATACAAATCTATTCATTTATACTTGTTAAATAGTTTTTATGTCTACAATTAGACACAATTCTTTTTTTTGTTAAATCAAATTAAAGTTAAATACAGATAACACAATTATAGATAGAAAATTATTATTTAACGAGTATTATAAACAAAAAATAAGTATTTTTAATTTTTAAAAAATATTATATAAATTATTGTAAATGTAAAATATATGACACAATGCAATTAACTTGACACAAAAATATTTTTTTATCGACTCAAACATGCCACAAATATGTTATGACACGATACAATTGTTAGTTATTTAATGAACATTAATTGATGAAATTATTTTTGAATCATAAATGTGAAATATTTAAACTTTGAAGGATACAATTTATAATTAATCTAAAANAAAAAATTTTAATTTGTACCCTCAAAGATAGAAATTTGTATCAATGTGCACTTAAAACTAAATTGATAAATTATCCTAGATCTCCTCATGCTTATTACTTAATCATTTGAACCATTTCACATTTAGAATATTACTCTTACATCTCATGACGTTTGTGTTCGTATAACACGTAATCTCTTTTTATTGATATCTGTTAATATAATCGCTAAAAAATATAATTTTATCCTAATAAAAATTATAATTTCATATTATCCTTTATTTTGGNCATTTGAACCATTTCACATTTAGAATATTACTCTTACATCTCATGACGTTTGTGTTCGTATAACACGTAATCTCTTTTTATTGATATCTGTTAATGTAATCGTTAAAAAATATAATTTTATTCTAATAAAAATTATAATTTTATATTATCCTTTATTTTGGGAGTCCGATATACTCTAAAGTTCAAAATCAAACTTATCATTTGAATGTCCAATAGAATGTAGATATTTATATAATATTTTTATATCCAATGCTATATATCATTCAATGTGCAACTTTTTATTCTATTAGACATTCAAATGGTAAACTTGATTTTGAACTTTATAATATATTAGACCCATAAAATAAAGAGTAATATGAAATTATAATTTTTATTATGATAAAATCATATTTTTTAACAGTTATATTAACAAATATTAACGAAAAGGGGTTACGTGTTATATGTGCACAAACGTCATAAGATGTAAGAGTAATATTTTAGGAGTTGGAATGTAAATAACTAATGGATATACTAACCAACATTAACTGCAAGAGGTCTATGTNTATATGTGCACAAACGTCATAAGATGTAAGAGTAATATTTTAGGAGTTGGAATGTAATTAACTAATGGATATACTAACCAACATTAACTGCAAGAGGTCTATGANATAGCATTTATATGCAATGCTATTATAATTTAGTCAAAATTAATTTGAAGGAGACAGTGGCAGAGCCGTACTGGACTAGGCGCCCCCTAATTTTTTTAAAAAATTATTACCTATGAGTATTTTAAATAAATTTTAATATATTTTTAGGGTGCCCAACCTAAGAATTTTCTATGTATATTTTAAATTTTTGGACAGTCCTCGTGCATTTTACTTTACGGATACATCTAAATAGATTTTTGATATGTCATACTCAATTTTTTTTTTTTAAATTATTAAAATGTGTTGCATGATTGAATTATATATAGTATTAATAACGAAATTATCATGTAACGCTTGGGAAACCACCATCTCATCTTATAATAGGAATCCGGACAATGGATTATTTTATTTATTTATTTATTATTAATTTAAATTTTTTAATTTTAAAATTGAAATACATTGTGATATNCCACCATCTCGTCTTATAATAGGAATCCAGACAATGGATTATTTTATTTATTTATTTATTATTAATTTAAATTTTTTAATTTTACTATCTTTAATACATTGTGATATAATTTAGAATCCTTATTTGATAATCTAATATATTATAGTAATGGTATTAAGTGTCTCAACATTGAATACAATCTAGTATTTTGGTAAACCGACGACAATGATGCGCTAGCTAGGTCTCTAATTACATGTTGTTAAAATTTTGGTTGCCACTAATCCAAGTTTTTGACTCTACCCTTGCTTAAAACGAGAATTAATACCCAACACGACTAAAATCCAACACGAGACCATTGATCTCCCCAAGATCCAACCAACTTTGAATTTTGGCACCTAGCTATAAGCGTACAATTTGAGCCGGTTGGTTAATTCAAACCTAACTCAAAAAGATAGAACTTAGAGTTAAAGCTTTTAAAATTTGTATTGGGGCTTTGAATTAAAAAATATCAAATCGAATTGAATTAAAGTCATACTCAAATTAAGACATCAATTTCTTGGGTTCAATTTGAATCCAATCCGAGTTATTAAAATCAGACTTAATCCAAATTTATTTATAGTTTGAGTGTTTAACCTAAACTTAAAATAAATATATGTATAATATATATTTATATATTCATAAAATTTAAGTGTATTTTAATTTTTTATTAAATTTAAATTGATCAAATTATTGTGTCATACTTGAAATTGAACCTAAATTACGAGTACGAACCAACTTGAATTAAGCCCGTAATTAAGTTGGACAATACTTGAATTGAAAGTCGGGTTCGATTTGTAGCAGGATTGAAAATTTTTCTGACTTAAATTGGGTATGAGTTGATCATCTTCACCGGCCTAACCTGCCCGAGATGCAGCTCTAGCTAGCTCACCCGCGGGTAATTTTCTCACTTCCGTCCACCAAACGATCCAAAACACCCACCCAAACGCACATCTCCCTCCTGATTCTTTTCTCTGCTTACAACTAAATTGCATTTCCATTTCCTCTCTCTCTCTCTCTCTCTCTCTCTCACACACACACAATCTCCCTCCAGACTCCTCTCTGCTTGCAAGTAAATTCCCTCTCCCTCACACACACATGGGGACTTCGATTCTGCTCTCAAGCCCCTTGACTTCCTTCACTCACTTCCCCAAACCCAGACCTGCCCTCTCCAATCCCACCTCAATCCTCACTTACACAAAACCCATAAAAACCTTCAACTCCATATTTCTTCACAACCCTCAATTCTCTTCCAAACCCTTGAAGGCTTGCCAGAAAATTTTCGTCGTGGGAGAATCCGATGGAAGCGTCAGCAGCACAGAGGTCATCGTCGGCGAGGATTCAGCGGAATTTGAATTCTCCAAGCAAAAGATTTCATCGTGGTTGTATTTCAGTGGCATTTTGGCAGTCGTACTGTTTGTTCTTGACGTAGCTTGGATTGATAATTCTACTGGTTTTGGAAAAGTCTTTATCGAAGCTGTTTCGAGCATATCAGATAGCCATGAGGTGATTTAAAATTTATCTATAATAATTATGGTTTTCGTCTAGGATTAGGGGGTGAGATTTTTTCTACAGGCCATTAGGTGATCATTTAGTAAAATAAGTAGAAATTTTTTAAGCTATTGCAGTGCAGTTCTTCTTGTACTTTTAGAAACCTTTCTATCCATTTCGGAAACAGAATGAAAAAATAAAACTGTTTGTCAGTTTTGACATTACCTGTGATTATATTATGGCTGATTGAAATTATATCTGGTGGAAGCTGTGCAACTTTCTGTGGTATGATTGAAATTTCCATAGCAGTTGGGAAACACAAATTACTCTCGGAAACACATTTTTGGGAAAGAATTTAATCATTCAGAAATTGATTAAATCAGAACATGGCGTCTCTTTTGAGGTTACGGATGGATGTATCTTTGTTTACCTTAGGCAACTGTTTTTTTAGTGATTTGGGAAGGGGGTATCAAGTTAGTAGAAGAGTTGATTCTCCAAAAAGGAGGAAGATTCTTTTTTTCGTTTCGTTAATCAGCGCATGGTCAGTTGCAATTGTTGTCACACGGTCATCATATGTGTTATAGAAGTGAAATGATATATCCTTTTGGTGCTACTTTGATGTTCCTTAATAGTTGCCTTGGAAATGTTCCCACATTCCACTCGCATTCTGTTACTCTTCCTGATCGTACTTCAAGTATTGTAACATTTCACACCTGCAATTGATGCATATGAAACAACACTTAGAGGTTGTTGTATGTGCCCTTCATCTTTTCGTTCTGGTCACTGAGGATTCTGTGGGCTAGTTTCTTCTTTGTGTTGATAGGCTGCTTATTACCTAAACCATTTTTTATGCAGGTTGTTATGTTGATCCTTACTCTTATTTTTGCGCTAGCCCACAGTGGATTGGCCAGTCTTAGAGACCCTGGTGAGAAACTCATTGGAGAGCGTGCTTTTCGTGTCTTGTTTGCGGGCGTATCTCTTCCATTGGCTGTTAGTACTGTTGTAAGATTCCAACCCATATGAAGGACCAAGTCAATTATTTAGTCCTGCTTGTTGATGGCCTTTGATCAATGGTTGTTCGTCAAGTTAATTGATGTTTCAAAGGGTTGTGATGCAGGTGTATTTCATTAACCACAGATATGATGGTGTTCAGTTATGGCAGTTACAGAGTGTTCCTGGTCTACATCAATTTGTTTGGCTCTCTTCTTTTATTTCCTTTTTTTTCCTCTACCCCTCAACCTTTAATTTGTTAGAGGTAGCAGCAGTTGACAAGCCTAAAATGCATCTTTGGGAAACTGGGATAATGAGAATTACCAGGCACCCACAGGTATATAATTTATTATCTTAATACTTATTTACAGTTGCTGTTAATCCTACAATCCTAGCATTTCGAGGAAACTTCCTTCGGTTGAACCTATGAAGTCGCATATGATACGATGTTTAAGGATTTAAACTAGCCTAATCTGGCGAACACGAGTTAGGGGAAATGGATAAACCTACCACCCATTCCTTTTTTTTCTTTAATGCCAATTTTGTGTTCACATCTCCTTTGGCCGACAAAGGCAGGAACACAAATGATATAAAAAGTGGATGTCCACTAATACTATTTCAATGAATATATTTATGAACTGTTTGAATTCTCTTTGTAATTGAATCCGTCAATCTAAAAATTTATATGGATAATTAGGTTAAAAATAAAGCATTTCAAATTGTTTTGGTGTCACTTGAAGGTAAAATTTGAGCAGCCACTGCTGAAGTTGGCTCCACCCAATTCGTTTCATGATACTCTTAGATCACCAACTTATGACCATTTACATTGTTGTTCATTTGATTTTTCATTATCATAATCAACATTATTCAGCACTATCTTGTCGGATAAAATTTACATGATTTTGTAAATCCAGCAATATTATTGATCATTGTACATGCTTTGAGAAAATAGACTCATGTCAAGCGCTAATTGAGAATACATATCACTACCATTTCACTTATTTTCGACGAATGATGTGCATGCACTGCTTTGATCTCACAATAGTTTATCAATCTGTTTGTTTGCTCTGCTAATCATGTTTTTGTTCGATACACAGATGGTTGGGCAGGTGATTTGGTGCCTGGTTCACACGATGTGGATTGGGAACTCAGTGGCAGCTGCAGCCTCGGTTGGCCTAATCGGGCATCATCTATTTGGCGTCTGGAATGGAGACAGGAGGTTGGCCATACGATATGGCGAGGCTTTCGAGGTAATGAAGAACCGAACAAGTGTCATCCCATTTGCAGCCATCCTAGATGGCCGTCAGAAGTTGCCCAAATATTACTGGAAGGAATTCGTTCGATTACCATACTTAACAATCACTGCATTAACTTTAGGTGCATACTTTGCACACCCACTTATGCAGGCTGGCAGTTTTGGGCTTCATTGGTAGGTTAACTCCGACTTTGTAGCAAACCAGAGAAAACGCTAATACAAAGTTGTATAATACTGCATGTATGTAGTGAAGCAGTGTGTTCACAGTTTCTCTTTTTATGGATTCGGAAGAAAAAAATTCGACAATTGTCAAGATAGCCAAGTAAGAAGATGAAGAATTTGTCTCTCTTTCTGTATTTATGTCTTCTTATGCCTAGAAGCTGAGGATTGGCAATGGGCCGGGATAGCCCATTTCGAAAAACTATGGGCCATGTTCTAGTTGTTGAGCCAGCCTTGATGGGCCTGTAGAGGATTGACCATCGGGTTTTCCTGATGGGTCTCAGTCAGTGGACCAGTTAATGAAACCAAGCCAGTTTGACATATAAATTACTCATTCAATTAAGGGGAAAAAAATTATTGCTCCAAAAAAAAAAAAAGGGGAAAATTACACTTGAATCCCTTGAAATTTGTCAATTAATCATTTAGATCTCCTGATATTTTAAAGGGCTAATTGCAAGTTGTACCTCGAAAGATAGTTCGAATCTCAATTTAGATTTTCAAAGATAAAAAATTTTAATTTGTACCCTCAAAGATAGAAATTTGTATCAATGTGCACTTAAAACTAAATTGATAAATTATCCTAGATCTCCTCATGCTTATTACTTAATCATTTGAACCATTTCACATTTAGAATATTACTCTTACATCTCATGACGTTTGTGTTCGTATAACACGTAATCTCTTTTTATTGATATCTGTTAATGTAATCGTTAAAAAATATAATTTTATTCTAATAAAAATTATAATTTTATATTATCCTTTATTTTGGGAGTCCGATATACTCTAAAGTTCAAAACCAAACTTATCATTTGAATGTCCAATAGAATGTAGATATTTATATAATATTTTTATATCCAATGCAATATATCATTCAATGTGCAACTTTTTATTCTATTAGACATTCAAATGGTAAACTTGATTTTGAACTTTATAATATATTAGACCCATAAAATAAAGAGTAATATGAAATTATAATTTTTATTATGATAAAATCATATTTTTTAACAGTTATATTAACAAATATTAACGAAAAGGGGTTACGTGTTATATGTGCACAAACGTCATAAGATGTAAGAGTAATATTTTAGGAGTTGGAATGTAATTAACTAATGGATATACTAACCAACATTAACTGCAAGAGGTCTATGAGTTATGCATGTATAAATCTTGAAGAGTCTTTGTAATGTTTTAAATATAAGGGTTCTAGGTGAATAAGTGACAAACTTTAGGAGTTTAAGTGTAATTTTTCCTTCATTTCTTCTCGTAAGTCTTTTCATTTGAAGCTGTAATAAATCAGAATCTAGGAAGGAATCCGACATATTTAGATCACCATATTTAGATGGTCGGTTAATTGGTAATGATGATAACATCATTCCCAACACTTATTTTCGAGAGTATGCTGTTGAGCATCTGTACCAAACATTCTACATTACTGCTGATTTGAAGGTGAAACCACTTGCTGTTGAATGTTGATCCCAAACAGGTTACACGACACAGATCAAATAGGTTGCACGAGTCGTGATCGTGTCGTGTATCCTTCAGTTGAGCCAGCTCCTCGTAGTTTAATGCAAACCCCAGAAATAGAATTTGTGATTTGAAGGTGACACCACTTCCTGTTGATGCCAATTAGGTAACACGGGTCGGGTCGTGTTGTCGTTTAACCTTCAGTTGAGCCAATGCAAACCCCAGAAGTAGAACCTTGTTTGTTCTTGATTAACACATACAATGCACAAGCATTTGTATGCAATCATATATTATAAAAGCAACACAAAATCTCAGTGCAGAAACACACACACAGGAGATATATTCTCCAAGAGCCAAGAGCTATCTATCTTCAACCCACACCATACTGATACAACCAAAATGCATTCTTCAGACTTCTCACATAACACACAATGGAATTCAAGCCAAAAAGCAATCCAAAGACAATGATACTAAGACACTTGCAAAACCCACAAATGATACCTGCTATTTAGGGGCACAAACAGCTGTAATCACAGCCCATGATTGATTTGTTAAAGCCAAAAGGAGCTTTCCTGGCAGTTAATGAGACAAAAAAAATGAAGCATAAGCTCTCTAATAAGCTCTGCATTCAATATGCAAGGTCAAAGTGAACACACTTGCAAGATAGATCAATAGGAAGGATCCTTTAAATGAATTCATTTTCAAAACAAAAGTCTAATAATATACCACTATCAAGGAAACATAAATTGTATACCCTTAAATTCTTAACTACTTCCTCCTTTTCGCACACTGCTCCACAGTTTACAGGGATGTTGACCAGTTCAGCAATCTATACAAACGCACAACATCTACTTTTCCTGCTTTTTGTCGAAATCGCTATGTATACCCACCCACCATAACCTATCACCAACATGAACATTTGGTGCACGGGCATGAACAATTTGTGCACGAACACGAACATTCAGGGGAACAGGAAGAACATTTTGTGGACCTGCATGAACTTTTCTTGCAACAGCATGAACATCTCAAGCAGCCAGGTCTTAAACATACCAGGCATTTGGGTTGGCATTCTGGGCATTTTGGCCGCCAGGAACATTTCAAGCAGCCAGATTTTGAGCATTCTAGGCATTTGGGTAGCCTGCATTTGATCTTCCAGCACCTATTGGTAGCACTTGTGCTATTCCCATATGACCTTTTTGGCATACGGAGACTCTGCCGGATATTTTTGAGGCGAACTGCAGTGGTCATGTTCTCCATTTCTTGGATAAACCTGCAAAGATGGCGGATGTAATCTGGGTAGAGCTCCAAGTTGCAGTGCCCACCTCCTTTAATCCACAAGGGCTCATAAGGTTCCCTAGCCATTTTCCATAGTCCATTACCATGTAACCAATTAACTACCTCATCCTCTGTACCCTGCAAAATGTTTACCAAAACCCACACGAAAGTTTAGTGCCTATGAAGTGAGGGTGTGACCTAAGGGCTCACTCAACCTCTTCCCCTTCAACCCCCCCCCCCCCNGCACATCTCCCTCCAGATTCTTTTCTCTGCTTACAACTAAATTGCATTTCCATTTCCTCTCTCTCTCTCTCTCTCTCTCTCTCACACACACACAATCTCCCTCCAGACTCCTCTCTGCTTGCAAGTAAATTCCCTCTCCCTCACACACACATGGGGACTTCGATTCTGCTCTCAAGCCCCTTGACTTCCTTCACTCACTTCCCCAAACCCAGACCTGCCCTCTCCAATCCCACCTCAATCCTCACTTACACAAAACCCATAAAAACCTTCAACTCCATATTTCTTCACAACCCTCAATTCTCTTCCAAACCCTTGAAGGCTTGCCAGAAAATTTTCGTCGTGGGAGAATCCGATGGAAGCGTCAGCAGCACAGAGGTCATCGTCGGCGAGGATTCAGCGGAATTTGAATTCTCCAAGCAAAAGATTTCATCGTGGTTGTATTTCAGTGGCATTTTGGCAGTCGTACTGTTTGTTCTTGACGTAGCTTGGATTGATAATTCTACTGGTTTTGGAAAAGTCTTTATCGAAGCTGTTTCGAGCATATCAGATAGCCATGAGGTGATTTAAAATTTATCTATAATAATTATGGTTTTCGTCTAGGATTAGGGGGTGAGATTTTTTCTACAGGCCATTAGGTGATCATTTAGTAAAATAAGTAGAAATTTTTTAAGCTATTGCAGTGCAGTTCTTCTTGTACTTTTAGAAACCTTTCTATCCATTTCGGAAACAGAATGAAAAAATAAAACTGTTTGTCAGTTTTGACATTACCTGTGATTATATTATGGCTGATTGAAATTATATCTGGTGGAAGCTGTGCAACTTTCTGTGGTATGATTGAAATTTCCATAGCAGTTGGGAAACACAAATTACGCTCGGAAACACATTTTTGGGAAAGAATTTAATCATTCAGAAATTGATTAAATCAGAACATGGCGTCTCTTTTGAGGTTACGGATGGATGTATCTTTGTTTACCTTAGGCAACTGTTTTTTTAGTGATTTGGGAAGGGGGTATCAAGTTAGTAGAAGAGTTGATTCTCCAAAAAGGAGGAAGATTCTATTTTTCGTTTCGTTAATCAGCGCATGGTCAGTTGCAATTGTTGTCACACGGTCATCATATGTGTTATAGAAGTGAAATGATATATCCTTTTGGTGCTACTTTGATGTTCCTTAATAGTTGCCTTGGAAATGTTCCCACATTCCACTCGCATTCTGTTACTCTTCCTGATCGTACTTCAAGTATTGTAACATTTCACACCTGCAATTGATGCATATGAAACAACACTTAGAGGTTGTTGTATGTGCCCTTCATCTTTTCGTTCTGGTCACTGAGGATTCTGTGGGCTAGTTTCTTCTTTGTGTTGATAGGCTGCTTATTACCTAAACCATTTTTTATGCAGGTTGTAATGTTGATCCTTACTCTTATTTTTGCGCTAGCCCACAGTGGATTGGCCAGTCTTAGAGACCCTGGTGAGAAACTCATTGGAGAGCGTGCTTTTCGTGTCTTGTTTGCGGGCGTATCTCTTCCATTGGCTGTTAGTACTGTTGTAAGATTCCAACCCATATGAAGGACCAAGTCAATTATTTAGTCCTGCTTGTTGACGGCCTTTGATCAATGGTTGTTCGTCAAGTTAATTGATGTTTCAAAGGGTTGTGATGCAGGTGTATTTCATTAACCACAGATATGATGGTGTTCAGTTATGGCAGTTACAGAGTGTTCCTGGTCTACATCAATTTGTTTGGCTCTCTTCTTTTATTTCCTTTTTTTTCCTCTACCCCTCAACCTTTAATTTGTTAGAGGTAGCAGCAGTTGACAAGCCTAAAATGCATCTTTGGGAAACTGGGATAATGAGAATTACCAGGCACCCACAGGTATATAATTTATTATCTTAATACTTATTTACAGTTGCTGTTAATCCTACAATCCTAGCATTTCGAGGAAACTTCCTTCGGTTGAACCTATGAAGTCGCATATGATACGATGTTTAAGGATTTAAACTAGCCTAATCTGGCAAACACGAGTTAGGGGAAATGGATAAACCTACCACCCATTCCTTTTTTTTCTTTAATGCCAATTTTGTGTTCACATCTCCTTTGGCCGACAAAGGCAGGAACACAAATGATATAAAAAGTGGATGTCCACTAATACTATTTCAATGAATATATTTATGAACTGTTTGAATTCTCTTTGTAATTGAATCCGTCAATCTAAAAATTTATATGGATAATTAGGTTAAAAATAAAGCATTTCAAATTGTTTTGGTGTCACTTGAAGGTAAAATTTGAGCAGCCACTGCTGAAGTTGGCTCCACCCAATTCGTTTCATGATACTCTTAGATCACCAACTTATGACCATTTACATTGTTGTTCATTTGATTTTTCATTATCATAATCAACATTATTCAGCACTATCTTGTCGGATAAAATTTACATGATTTTGTAAATCCAGCAATATTATTGATCATTGTACATGCTTTGAGAAAATAGACTCATGTCAAGCGCTAATTGAGAATACATATCACTACCATTTCACTTATTTTCGACGAATGATGTGCATGCACTGCTTTGATCTCACAATAGTTTATCAATCTGTTTGTTTGCTCTGCTAATCATGTTTTTGTTCGATACACAGATGGTTGGGCAGGTGATTTGGTGCCTGGTTCACACGATGTGGATTGGGAACTCAGTGGCAGCTGCAGCCTCGGTTGGCCTAATCGGGCATCATCTATTTGGCGTCTGGAATGGAGACAGGAGGTTGGCCATACGATATGGCGAGGCTTTCGAGGTAATGAAGAACCGAACAAGTGTCATCCCATTTGCAGCCATCCTAGATGGCCGTCAGAAGTTGCCCAAATATTACTGGAAGGAATTCGTTCGATTACCATACTTAACAATCACTGCATTAACTTTAGGTGCATACTTTGCACACCCACTTATGCAGGCTGGCAGTTTTGGGCTTCATTGGTAGGTTAACTCCGACTTTGTAGCAAACCAGAGAAAACGCTAATACAAAGTTGTATAATACTGCATGTATGTAGTGAAGCAGTGTGTTCACAGTTTCCTTTTTATGGATTCGGAAGAAAAAAATTCGACAATTGTCAAGATAGCCAAGTAAGAAGATGAAGAATTTGTCTCTCTTTCTGTATTTATGTCTTCTTATGCCTAGAAGCTGGGGATTGGCAATGGGCCGGGATAGCCCATTTTGAAAAACTATGGGCCATGTTCTAGTTGTTGGNGAAGATGAAGAATTTGTCTCTCTTTCTGTATTTATGTCTTCTTATGCCTAGAAGCTGAGGATTGGCAATGGGCCGGGATAGCCCATTTCGAAAAACTATGGGCCATGTTCTAGTTGTTGAGCCAGCCTTGATGGGCCTGTAGAGGATTGACCATCGGGTTTTCCTGATGGGTCTCAGTCAGTGGACCAGTTAATGAAACCAAGCCAGTTTGACATATAAATTACTCATTCAATTAAGGGGAAAAAAATTATTGCTCCAAAAAAAAAAAAAGGGGAAAATTACACTTGAATCCCTTGAAATTTGTCAATTAATCATTTAGATCTCCTGATATTTTAAAGGGCTAATTGCAAGTTGTACCTNCAAGCCAGTTTGACATATAAATTACTCATTCAATTAAGGGGAAAAAAATTATTGCTCAAAAAAAAAAAAAAGGGAAAATTACACTTGAATCCCTTGAAATTTGTCAATTAATTATTTAGATCTCCTGATATTTTAAAGGGTTAATTGCAAGTTGTATCCCGAAAGATAGTTCGAATCTCAATTTAGATTTTCAAAGATAAAAAATTTTAATTTGTACCCTCAAAGATAGAAATTTGTATCAATGTGCACCTAAAGTTAAATTGATAAATTATCCTAGATCTCCTCATGCTTATTATTTAATCATTTGAACCATTTCACATTTAGAATATTACTCTTACATCTCATGACGTTTGTGTTCGTATAACACGTAATCTCTTTTTATTGATATCTGTTAATGTAATCGTTAAAAAATATAATTTTATTCTAATAAAAATTATAATTTTATATTATCCTTTATTTTGGGAGTCCGATATACTCTAAAGTTCAAAACCAAACTTATCATTTGAATGTCCAATAGAATGTAGATATTTATATAATATTTTTATATCCAATGCTATATATCATTCAATGTGCAACTTTTTATTCTATTAGACATTCAAATGGTAAACTTGATTTTGAACTTTATAATATATTAGACCCATAAAATAAAGAGTAATATGAAATTATAATTTTTTATTATGATAAAATCATATTTTTTAACAGTTATATTAACAAATATTAACGAAAAGGGGTTACGTGTTATATGTGCACAAACGTCATAAGATGTAAGAGTAATATTTTAGGAGTTGGAATGTAATTAACTAATGGATATACTAACCAACATTAACTGCAAGAGGTCTATGTGTTATGCATGTATAAATCTTGAAGAGTCTTTGTAATGTTTTAAATATAAGGGTTCTAGGTGAATAAGTGACAAACTTTAGGAGTCTAAGTGTAATTTTTCCTTCATTTCTTCTCGTAAGTCTTTTCCTTTGAAGCTGTAATAAATCAGAATCTAGGAAGGAATCCGACATATTTAGATCACCATATTTAGATGGTCGGTTAATTGGTAATGATGATAACATCATTCCCAACACTTATTTTCGAGAGTATGCTGTTGAGCATCTGTACCAAACATTCTACATTACTGCTGATTTGAAGGTGAAACCACTTGCTGTTGAATGTTGATCCCAAACAGGTTACACGACACAGATCAAATAGGTTGCACGAGTCGTGATCGTGTCGTGTATCCTTCAGTTGAGCCAGCTCCTCGTAGTTTAATGCAAACCCCAGAAATAGAATTTGTGATTTGAAGGTGACACCACTTCCTGTTGATGCCAATTAGGTAACACGGGTCGGGTCGTGTTGTCGTTTAACCTTCAGTTGAGCCAATGCAAACCCCAGAAGTAGAACCTTGTTTGTTCTTGATTAACACATACAATGCACAAGCATTTGTATGCAATCATATATTATAAAAGCAACACAAAATCTCAGTGCAGAAACACACACACAGGAGATATATTCTCCAAGAGCCAAGAGCTATCTATCTTCAACCCACACCATACTGATACAACCAAAATGCATTCTTCAGACTTCTCACATAACACACAATGGAATTCAAGCCAAAAAGCAATCCAAAGACAATGATACTAAGACACTTGCAAAACCCACAAATGATACCTGCTATTTAGGGGCACAAACAGCTGTAATCACAGCCCATGATTGATTTGTTAAAGCCAAAAGGAGCTTTCCTGGCAGTTAATGAGACAAAAAAAATGAAGCATAAGCTCTCTAATAAGCTCTGCATTCAATATGCAAGGTCAAAGTGAACACACTTGCAAGATAGATCAATAGGAAGGATCCTTTAAATGAATTCATTTTCAAAACAAAAGTCTAATAATATACCACTATCAAGGAAACATAAATTGTATACCCTTAAATTCTTAACTACTTCCTCCTTTTCGCACACTGCTCCACAGTTTACAGGGATGTTGACCAGTTCAGCAATCTATACAAACGCACAACATCTACTTTTCCTGCTTTTTGTCGAAATCGCTATGTATACCCACCCACCATAACCTATCACCAACATGAACATTTGGTGCACGGGCATGAACAATTTGTGCACGAACACGAACATTCAGGGGAACAGGAAGAACATTTTGTGGACCTGCATGAACTTTTCTTGCAACAGCATGAACATCTCAAGCAGCCAGGTCTTAAACATACCAGGCATTTGGGTTGGCATTCTGGGCATTTTGGCCGCCAGGAACATTTCAAGCAGCCAGATTTTGAGCATTCTAGGCATTTGGGTAGCCTGCATTTGATCTTCCAGCACCTATTGGTAGCACTTGTGCTATTCCCATATGACCTTTTTGGCATACGGAGACTCTGCCGGATATTTTTGAGGCGAACTGCAGTGGTCATGTTCTCCATTTCTTGGATAAACCTGCAAAGATGGCGGATGTAATCTGGGTAGAGCTCCAAGTTGCAGTGCCCACCTCCTTTAATCCACAAGGGCTCATAAGGTTCCCTAGCCATTTTCCATAGTCCATTACCATGTAACCAATTAACTACCTCATCCTCTGTACCCTGCAAAATGTTTACCAAAACCCACACGAAAGTTTAGTGCCTATGAAGTGAGGGTGTGACCTA